ATTTAGGGCTTTCGCAGTTGGGGAAATCAACTCGAACACAAAACGCATGACAAACTTGATTTGTCACAAAGTTGCCCGAGGGTATTCTCGATGCGGCGAATTTAGGGCTTTCGCAGTTGGGGAAATCAACTCGAACACAAAACGCATGACAAACTTGATTTGTCACAAAGTTGCCCGAGGGTATTCTCGATGCGGCGAATTTAGGGCTTTCGCAGTTGGGGAAATCAACTCGAACACAAAACGCATGACAAACTTGATTTGTCACAAAGTTGCCCGAGGGTATTCTCGATGCGGCGAATTTAGGGCTTTCGCAGTTGGGGAAATCAACTCGAACACAAAACGCATGACAAACTTGATTTGTCACAAAGTTGCCCGAGGGTATTCTCGATGCGGCGAATTTAGGGCTTTCGCAGTTGGGGAAATCAACTCGAACACAAAACGCATGACAAACTTGATTNATTTTTCTGCTTTGAGGCAAGCCAAACACAGTGCGAGGGACTGCGCTTTCATTTTGTGGGAAACACGGCCTACACTTGATTTGTCACAATTTTGCACGAGGGTATTCTGGACTGGAGACTTTCCTACGGCCTAAACTTGATTTGTCACAATTTCGCGCCAGGGTATTCTGGACTATAGACTTTTCTACGGCCTAATCTTGATTTGTCACACTTTTGCACGAGGGTATTCTGGACTAGAGACTTTTCTACGGCCTAATCTTGATTTGGCACAATTTTGCGCGAAGGTATTCTGGACCAGAGACTTTTCGGCCAAACTTGGCCCGTGCCATACTCCTGGGAAGGACCCCTTTTTGGGTCATTTTTTTGCCCAGATTCCGCACTGAATCACGGGCATTTGCAAGCTTTTCATGGCAAATTGGGTGAAGATGGAAGCTTCTCTAAATGACTTCTGTTTCTCTCTCCGAAAAATATGCATGACAAACTTGATTTGTGACCAAGTTGCCCAGCGGTATTCTGGGCGATGCCATTTTTGGCTACTGCCTGGCAATGCCAGCTTTGGGCCAGCAGCGCTTTCTGCTTCCAGGCAACACAAACTTGATTTGTAACCAAGTTGCCGAATGGTATTCTGGGCGATGCGTTTTTTGGCTATTGCCAGCTTTGGGCCAGCAGCGTTTTCTGCTTCCAGGCAACACAAACTTGATTTGTAACCAAGTTGCCCGATGGTATTCTGGGCGAAGCCTTTTTTGGCCTTTGTCAGCTTTTTTCGGGCAGATTTTTCTGCTCTGAGGCAAGCCAAACACAGTGCGAGGGACTGCGCTTTCATTTTGTGGGAAACACAGCCTACACTTGATTTGTCACAATTTTGCACGAGGGTGTTCTGGACTGGAGACTTTCCTACGGCCTAAACTTGATTTGTCACAATTTTGCACGAGGGTATTCTAGAGTAGAGACTTTTCTACGGCCTAATCTTGATTTGTCACAATTTTGCGCGAGGGTATTCTGGAGTATAGACTTTTCTACGGCCTGATCTTGATTTGTCACAATTTTGCGCGAAGGTATTCTGGACCAGAGACTTTTCTACGGCCTAATCTTGATTTGTCACAATTTTGCGCGAGGGTATTCTGGACTAGAGACTTTTCTACGGCCTAATCTTGATTTGTCACAATTTTGCGCGAGGGTATTCTGGACTAGAGACTTTTCTACGGCCTAATCTTGATTTGTCACAATTTTGCGCGAAGGTATTCTGGACCAGAGACTTTTCGGCCAAACTTGGCCAGTGCCACACTCCTGGGAAGGACCCCATTTTGGGTCATTTTTTTGCCCAGATTCCGCACTGGATTCCGGGCATTTGCAAGCTTTTCATGGCAAATTAGGCGCTGGAAGCTTTTCTGAATGATTTCCATCTCCGAAAAATATGCATGACAAACTTGATTTGTAACCAAGTTGCCCGATGGTATTCTGGGCAGCCCCTTTGTTGGCTCTTGCTAGCGCTGGACAGCATATTCGTCTTCGAGGCAAGGCAAACACAGCGCGCGACCGTGGGGCCTCCTCCCCACATGTAGGTCTGGCGTGAGAATACTCTGGCTTGTGCATATTGGTTTCCCGAACTCTTGTCAATTCTCAGAAATTTGCATGACAAACTTGATTTGTAACCAAGTTGCCCAACGGTATTCTGGACGATGCCATTTTTTGGCTATTGCCAGCTTTGGCCCAGCAGCTTTTTTTTCTTCCAGGCAAGACAAACTTGATTTGTCACAAAATTGCCCGACGGTATTCTCGACGCAGCGGATTTGGGGCTTTCACAGTTGAGGAAATCAACTCGGAGCACAAAACGCATGACGAACTTGATTTGTCACAAAGTTGCCCGAGGGTATTCTCGACGAAGCGGGTTGGGGGCTTTCACAGTTGGAGAAATCCACTCGGAGGCCTCTCTTCTTGAGGTGGCCTTCTCTGACTTGCTTTCCAAACTTGATTTGTCACAAAGTTGCCCGGCGGTATTCTCCACGAAGCGAGTTGAGGGCCTTCGCAGTTGGAGAAATCAACTTGGAGGCCTCTCTTTTTGAGATGGCTTGCTCTGCCTTGCGTTGTCGCCCCAATTCCGAATGTGAATCTGGCCAGTAGCAAGCTTGTCGCTCTAATTTTAGCTAGAAGACTTCGAGCTACATTTTTGCACGCGGCGCATGACAAACTTGATTTGTCACAAAGTTGCCCGGCGGTATTCTCCACGAAGCGAGTTGAGGGCCTTCGCAGTTGGAGAAATCAACGTGGAGGCCTCTCTTTTTGAGATGGCCTCCTCTGCCTTGCGTTGTCGCCCCAATTCCCAATGGGAATCTGGCCAGTAGCAAGCTTGTCGCTCTAATTTTTGGTAGAAGGCTTTGCGCTACATTTTTGCACGCGGCGCATGACAAACTTGATTTGTCACAAAGTTGCCCCACGGTATTCTCGAGTTGAGGGCTTTCGCAGTTGGAGAAGTCAGCTTGTAGGCCTCTCTTTTTGAGATGGCCTCCTCTGCCTTGCGTTGTCGCCCCAATTCCCAATGGGAATCTGGCCAGTAGCAAGCTTGTCGCTCTAATTAATTTTAGGCAGAAGACTTTGAGCTACATTTTTGCACGCGCCGCATGACAAACTTGATTTGTCACAAAGTTGCCCGACGGTATTCTCCACGAGGCGGATTTGGGGCTTTCGCAGTTGGAAGCGTTTTTTCAGCTTTTTCAGGTTTGGGGAACACTTCTCGGGGCAGACATGAAGCCCCTTACGCACATGTTGTTGCTCTAGGCTGGGAGTAGTTTGCCTTTCAAATTACAGCCTCTCGAATTCGTGTTAATCTTTCCCAAACTTGCATGACAGACTTGATTTGTAACCAAGTTGCCCAACGGTATTCTGGGCGATGCCTCTTTTGGCTAACAAACTTGATTTGTAACCAAGTTGCCCGAGGGTATTCTGGGCCACGTCGTTGGACAGCATTTTCTTCTTCGAGGCGAGGCAAACACAGCGCGCCGGGCGCGCACCCACGGGGCCCCCTCCTCCCCGCATGTAGGTCTGGTGTGGGAGTGCTCTGGCTTGCGCATTTGGGTTTCCCGAAGTATTGCCAATTCTCCGGAATTTCCATGCCAAACTTGATTTGTAACCAAGTTGCCCAACGGTATTCTGGGCGATGCCTTTTTTGGCTATTGCCAGCTTTCGGCCAGCAGTGTTTTCTGCTTCCAGGCAAGACACACTTGATTTGTAACCAAGTTGCCCAATGGTATTCTGGGCGATGCCTTTTTTGGCTATTGCCTGCTTTGGGCCAGCAGTGTTTTTTGCTTCCAGGCAAGACAAGCTTGATTTGTAACCAAGTTGCCCAACGGTATTCTGGCCGAAGCGTTTTTTGTACCTTTTGCAACTTTGGGAAACATTTCCTGTTTTGAGGCAACGCAATAAAGACAGTGCGCTTTGGGGCAACGCTAAGGCAGTCGCCCATTTTTCCCAGATTTGCATGACAAACTTGATTTGTAATCAAGTTTCCCAAGGGTATTCTGGATAAAGCCTTTTTTGGCTTTTTTTGGTAGCTTCGGGTAATATTTTCTGCTTCGAGGCATGGAGCCGCTTTCGCCAACGCTGGTATACGGTGGAAGTAGTTTGTCTTGCACATTTAAGTTCCTCAAAGTCTTCCCCATTTTTTCCAAGTTTTCATGAGAAATTTGCTTTGTAACCAAGTTGCCTGACGGTATTTCAACCTCAGCGCTGTTTTAGCTTTTTCCGGCTTTGAGTACTAATGTTCAATCCAGCAGGAGCTTTCAAGATCTTTCGCTGTAGTTGATTTTTTTAAGCACGAAAAAACAAATTCGGTCGCAAGAAAAAAATCGCTAGTGTTTCAGACTCAATCACTATGGTATACTTCTCCCAAAAAATAAAAGCCCATAGAATTGTCCCAAAATAATCTAAGCTTGTGACGCCTGCACGCATAATCGCCAAATCGCAAAGTCACTTGATCACCCCATAAGGACTGCAACTTGAGTTTTTTTCTTCAGAAAAAGTTTGCAAAACGAAAAACCATCGGTCGCATCGGCTGTTGTTTCTTTTTTTTTTTGAATGCTTATACAGTATTTGTTACAGTTCGTCACCCTGGCATCTTCGGTCGTTTCATTAATTGTTTTTCCACCAGCAAACGAGAGGGCGTAGTTGTCGTCGCTCCAAAAATTGTAGCCACAATGCAGCCCATAAGTACAAAATAGGAGCAGGGACGATGGAATAGTTCTTTGTTACACGAGTGAATAAAATGAAAACCGCCGAGTGAACAAGGAGATGAAAGAACTTTTTGCACAAAAAGCGTCCACCTTCCCGTCGTAGGATTCGAATCGAAAGTAGTGGTCTTCGGGATTTTTATTCGGTTTGATTTGTTTTGTTCCGTAGGGTCGTCCTCGTCGCAAAGTCAACTCAAGAATCACAGCCCCTTTCAACACTTGCGAGAGGAACAGAGAGAAACGACAACAAAACTACGAAACGATAATTTCTTGTCCCCACGAAATCGAATTCGACGTATTGCCCCACGGCAGGTCTTCACAGTCGCCACGAAGCATCATTTCAAGGCATCAGTTTATCTATCGCAATAGTTTACTTTACACTAGTTACCGTTTCGTCGTATTGGTTTCCGCATGGTGGTACGAAGATCTTCGAGACGACATCGATATAAATTATTCTGGCAACACAGTCCGGAAAGAAATCCAAATCAATCATCCGAAGTAGAAGAAGTGGTGCCTAAACGTTTTGTTCGTGACTTGATCTTCACCACTTCCCCAACAGTTCGTTGCAACAGTACAAGAAGAACATTTATTCGTCGTTGATTATTCTTTACCCACAGAGGACAATACAAATGGAGACCGGCGTGGGCCATCAACATCGATCACTTCGGCTATTGTTACAGCTGGTGACGCGCTGCTAGTCCTAGTACACTGACACGACCCATTAATTTCCTGCTCTTCATCAGCGACCGCCAGTACACGACCACTTGAACAATTGAAGAGATACACGACCCCGTCGAACACCCGTGTCCCGAGCTATATCAGCCCCGTTGCGTCATGGTGCTCGACAACAGTCTATCCTGAGTAAAAACGTGTCTACCCAGTGGTCAAGTTGGTAATTCTGCAACACAAATCTCCAACTTTGGGGAGGTGTGCATGACAAAGACAAGGAGAGGCGCATTGTAAAGACGCCTTTTTGTGCTTTGTACAGCATTACGAATCTTCCCAGAACACGACTACAAGCACAAATTCCTCTCATGCGGATGCGCATGACAAATGTTGTTCTGTTCGTGTTGATGCAAAATTTTGCATGACAACTCCGGGGTGGAGACCACGTTTTTGCGCGGCATACATTCCTTCAGATTGTTCGCGGCTCTTCAGGCTGGACCAAAAAGCCGTGCTCGTCCGGGAAGACGACTTCGAAGCGTATTTTGGGCCACTCCTGCGATGGGCGGCGCAACAAGCAGAACGGATGAAAAACTTGGATGCCAACAATGGAGCAGAAGCGGTTTATTGTGCTGCCACCTCAGGAGGTAGTAGTAGCTCAGCAGCAGGAGCATCGTCTACTTCATCTTCTTCCACCCCCGCCGTACAAGTAGCATCAGCTTCCGCAGAACCGGTAACAGTACCTTTGCTATGAACTACAAAAGTATCGTACTCATGTAAATGCATTACAAATTTTCTCAGCATGAGAAATAGAATCTGTAATGCTGATTTGCCTTGACAAGGAAATTTGCAATCCAAGACCTGCATTAATACGATTACGATACTTGTTTTGCACAGCATACTTGCCACCCTTCCGGGATTTCAACGAGTTTTTCCTACTGAACACCGAACGTGAGGTATCAAAATGAAAAATCCCCCCTCCCCATACTAAAAAGGGATACTCCTGAAAATTTGTGATGCTGATTTGTGGCCACAAATCGTCTCTGTATTGCATGAAGGCAAGAACTCCAGAGACTCCGCTGCGTTGTGCAGGCAATTTGTAATGCTGTAGCGCCTACAGAGGACGTGCCTGCCTTGCTAGGTGCCTACAGCAAAACGCCCCTCCTCAGGCTGCGCGCCTGGCTGCAGTCCTCTACTGCAACACAAAGCCGATTTGTGTAGACAAATCCCGCATCACAGATTTCCATTTTGATATGGGGCGGGGGGATTTTTCATTTTGATATGAGAAGGAACGGCGCGCGCTGGCGCAGCAGCGACGGGAAGCGGCGGAGCAGGAGAAAAAGCGGCTGCTGGGATCCGAGGACGAGAGCGAGGGCGACGAGCCCTTCTTTCCCGTAGTACGACGACCGCCGACGAGGAAGATTGAAACAAAACGTCGACCTCGACCGTTGTTGCACCCCGGCGGAGGTGAGGAGAATCATGAGGACAAGGTCGAACGTCTGCGGAGGGAGCAGGAGGAGAGAGCGGCTCGAGATAAGGCAATGTGGGATCCTGACAACCCGCTGAATGAGATGGCTTATCTGCAGTCGCACCAAGCGCTCGTTTTCCACAAGAGCGCCGTTGTGACGATCGGGCCAGACGAGGAGGCCCAGGACTTGGCCGTTGCCGCCATGGATGCGCAGAAGGGCCTGGTGGTGAAAAATCTGGCTTCGGGTTTGGGTCTGTCCGTTCTGATGTCGCAGACGGAAACGCAGGCGAAGAAAGAACAGCAGACCGAAGAGGACGAGGACCTACACCCGGTCGTGAAGACCTTGATACAAGAAGCGATAAGGAGCAACCCGCGCGTCATCGTTGACGAATTTGCAGCTTGGCACGCATCAATGCGGAGGGAATCTGGGGAGTCGGAGCTGTGTGCGGTGAATGATTTCTTTTCTCCTGGGGATTTTGCAAAAATGTCGGACCGTGAGTACGCTGCAGTGGCGCTGCAGCGGGCTCAGGACGTGAAAACGTTCTGTGACCAGGTGGAAGCGTATACCACACTATACGAGCGGACGCGGACCGAAGCGGACGACAGGCGCAGGGAGGAAAAAGATCAGTTGAATGACCACTATCTTAATCAACATCAGTTGGGGCTAGGCCGCGATCCTTTTCACAAAACGAAAAGTGGTCCTTCGCCGCTGACGAAGCTCGCGGCACAAACTGTGGAGCAGCTCCCGCCGGGATTCATACCCTTTGTCGAGTTCGAGCTGATGCGGCTGGACCAGGGCCCGGTCGTGCCCGGCGTCGACAAGCAATCCGCCGAGTGCTTGGTGGAGACCTTGCTCCTGTCACCCGACGAGGAGCACTTCGAGACGGGCCGTCACCGGGCCCAGGTCCGCGCGACGTTTGAAGGCGTCTTGAGCCGACGCGCGATGACCCAGCTCGGGAAGTTTAAAATCAGTGCCGGAGAGCAATTTTTGCAGCACCTCGGCCTTCCACACAATCTCCTAGAACACCGCCTGTCGCCCTTTGTCGAGTCGGAGCGGAACGATTACGGAGTACCACGGAAAGACAAGCAGGCGCAAATGTGGGTACGTCCGTCTAGGGTGATCGCAGAAAGCGGACTATCCTACGAAGACGATCAACTGTCGATCACATCAACGCCTTTCCCATCCGTCTGGACGGCCGAGCGGACGGCGCACGAGCAGTGGTGGCTTTCCAACTTTTCACCGGCAACCGAGGACGAGCATTTCTACGGCTTTCGAAAGCAGCACAAACTCTACAAGGATTGGAAAATCGCAAATTCACCAGACCCAGAGGAAGGAAAAGTATCAAACGACCGAGCCAGCTGTCTGCCTTCCGTCGAAGGGTCGGCGCACGATACGCTCTCGTTCGCCTTTTCAACGAGCATTTCCGGCGGAGAAGAGGGCATCCTGAACATCGGCATGTTCAAGCGGGAGCGGGAACCACCAGGCACGGCAAAATCTTCGCGTGCGACCAGTTACAGGGATTTTTCATGCTCCACCAAGCGGGGGCGGGACACTAAGCGGTATGAGCGACTTTGGCACGACCCGCTTGATTTTTTCTTCCTGCCGAACGCCATCGACACGCGTATTGACCGAGAGAAGATATGTCCCGAGGATCCGTCGCGACAACGCTGGGGGGTATGGGTCAGGGCTCGACACTACACCGAGGAATCCGAATCACCATCGCCAGTATTTGGAATGTCATGGAGAAGACGTGGCCCAAGCGAGCACGTGAAGGATGATCCCACACGGACACGGACCGAAGAGTTCTACTTCGCGACGGAGGAAGAAGCAGATGCGTTCGTGGCCGAGTTCGAGATCTGCTGCAGAATCGCACGCGAGTGCCGATTATCAAATGCAAAAATGTCTGGGTCTGGATCTGGAAGGTTGGAACTTGTCATGCTAAATCTGAATCAGGCAAAAAACTGTGTTGCGTGATTGCCAAAAGTTGTGCACTTTTGACCTGATCGAGAGGCAGTCTCTCATGCAGGATAGCCATTGGAAAGGTTTCGCAGAATCTGTCTTGCTATGTCCTGCATACCAGACCTCATGGGTTATGGAAAACCTGCATGACAAGTCTGGTAATCTTCCAGACCCAGACACTTTTGCAATCCATACCGATACGCGAAGCCGGTGGTAGAGATGATGAGCATGTACGAGCACGTCAAGAACAAAACCGTATCGTACGAAAAAAGTGTTTCACTGTAAGGGAAAACAAAGCTAAAAATCCATTATTTTGTTGCATGTGTAGCATGACAAACACTTCTTCGCAGATGCATTTTCTGCATTACAAGTTTACAGTGAAGCAATTTTTTCTTGCGATGAACCGGAGAGGACAACTACTGTTCCTGGTTTACCCACGTCTACCCCGACAAAGCTGGTGAGAAAAAGTGCAGCCGCATCTCCTTCATTCTCAACGAAGAAGGATTACCACTGCTCCTATCCACTGCGAATATCATTTCCGGGTCTGGAAACCTGTGATGCTGATGCATCGGGGGATGGGGATAATTGCAACACTTATATTTGGAGCCACGAAGCATGACAACTTTATTATTTTCATATAACGCTCTCTGAACCTGAAGCGACGTAGCACGCATGACAAGTATGTGTTTTTGTATCACAGATGAAAGTTTGCTTTTGCCTGTCACGGAGAAGAACAGAGATTCTGCTGGCCGCATGCCCGACACGCAATACAAACTGAGCTTTAATATTCTTTCCAGACCCAGACATATTTGCAATGCATAGTGCCCCACCGAGACCGAGGAGCTCGACCAAGACCAGGAAGCCGCAGAGGAGGAGCCCAGCAGCGAAAAGCCGCTCGCTACTCCCGACCTCAACACTGCTACGTGGGCCGAGGTCGCACGCGTCGTCTTTGCGCACCGCCTGAAGCAGCAGGGGCGATTATCAAGAAGAAAAGTCCCCCCTCCCCATACCAAAACGGAGATCTGTGATGCAGATTTGTGGTCACAAGTCAGCTTTGTCATGCTAGGAGGAAAGACGTGCGGAGTGTAGTGCTGGCTGGCGTGGGAAAGCCTCGCGCCTTCAGCATGACAGAGAGCAACTGGAAGTGGGAAACAGCATGACAGATTGCCTGCAAACGAGGCCACAAATGCGGCTCTTGGCCTTCTGGCATTACAAGTCGATTTGTGTACTCAAATACAGCATCACAAATTTCGTTTTCGATATGGTGGGGGGGCTTTTCCCTTTTGATAGCGATCGGAATCCTGGTGTCCTTCCGTGCGAGACCCGATCCGGTTTTATTGCGTGTTTGCCGAGGATATGCATTGCAAATATGTCTGGGTCTGGTAGTAGGGTGTAACTTGTCATGCTACATCTGGATCGTGGCAAAATTTGTGTTGCAAATGACAAACCTAGCACTCTTCCAGACCGAGACATTTTTGCATTTGATAAAGTATGAGAAGGAAGAAGGTGATGGTGAGGAAGTGCAACAATGAACCAGTTGGAAGATGAACTCAACTTGACGTGGCGAGGAAAAAGTAACAAAATATAAATGTGCAAACCCAAATCTTTTCTATTCAAAGAAGAAAACAGCAAAAGTTATGTCGAAGACTATGATTATGAGTCTATATGTCGTGTAATAAAATTTCGTCGGAAGCTAGTTGAATACGAATACAATTTCGACGAGAGCCAAAAACTTATATACTGTATGAAATTTGTGTTTGATGGTGACAGGAAGTAGAGCGCTGTACCAAGATACGATAAATCGGCTCATAAGTATTCCTTCGAGTGATCTTGACCGGCCTTCGTCGACCCTCGAACACACGCACCTCAATCAAAGAGCAAGGATTTAAGCTTTTTGATACAGCGCTATGCTTGATGGAAGCGGCATGTGTTTCTGGGGAGTGGAGGAATGGGCCAGCCACAGTTCTTTCACTAGCTTTGTGTTCGTGAAAAGAAGTCTATGTTTCGCTTTTTTCTTCGATCGATTGAAGACGAGTGCAAGCACTTCCCAAGGAAGTACTCAAGTAACCAGATCCACTTTTTCGACAGAGATGTTCGCTCGGATCGATTTTTTGTTGTTGTTTTTTCCTGTTTCGTCTTTTTCTCGATGTTAGATAGCAAGGAGCTGTAAGTGAGCATTCTTCTCGACCTTGAATCTTCATCAATATGAAAATGACAACTCTCCAACCCAAATGACAGTGATAGCGAGTTTTTTTTTTGTGTCCCTTTAGGGGGTAAAGAAAGCAAGCTATTATCGTAATACGTACCACTCCTGTGCCTTCATTTTCCTCTTGTGTCCAAAAATAATTTGTCCACCTTTGTACTCATAAACCACCACGAAACTTTTATTCCTCAAGCTCAAGCACCAACTTCGTGAAGAATTTGCGATACACTGTACTGCAGAAACGCATCCACTCCTCAAGCTTTCCTTTACTGCTGTGTACCAAACTATGTTTCTCACGTTATCTAGTCTGCAAAACAAACCCTGAACAAATAATAGCCTTGCATCACTATCTACGTCATTCAAATACACTTCTATTGATACAAGGAGGTTGAGTTTGAGAAGGAGGACTCGATTACTTGTCTTTTCTTGAAGAAGTTTCGTCACTACATTACGTACGATTTTAGTTTTACATTGATAAATATCTCTAAATTCATCAATACGGCGTTGCTCATCTGTGATATCTACCAATTTGGTGTTTATATGGTGCTATTATTATTTCAATTCTACTTCTGGTAGTCGTAGTCCACAAATAACCGCTATTTCCTCATCAAATCCACGTTCCTCATCGGCAATGGCTGCTGCTCTCCCTCCGGCTGGGGGCAAGAAAGCTTCTGCCCGAACGATGGGCCAGATTTCCACGGAATTTCACAAGCGTGAAAGCGAATTTACCACTTTAGAGGGCACAAGATTCTGTCCCTGGGTCGGAAAAATAATCATCGACGACAAGAAGAAGAAGCCAGAGGAACTCACCATCCTGGCTCGGGGGGACGCCAAGCTCGCCGTGGAACACCTGTGCAGCGACGGCGCATTCGGCAAGGTTGTCCGCCTGTGCATGAACCCCGATTCCGACCGTAACAGGAAAGTGCCCGCGGCCCGAAAGAAAAATCTAGCAGTGAAGGTGATCTCCAAGTGGAACGTATCCATTGAGTGTGTGTCCGGGTCTCGAAACTGGACTTGCACCCCTTCGATGTCTTGTAGCTTTTGCACTACAATCGAATGTTGCTGAACTGCATAAAGAAGGCGCATTGCATGGTACCATTAAGTGGCGTGCGCAACCTCCCTGATGGGTGTATACCTATCTTCCCGCATGAGAGGTGGTCACCACCACTCTCTGCTGGTGAAAAAAGGGTGGGCAGCTGCTCTCGGTACGCTTGCAATGCAGACCTCAGTTGTGATGTACAAGTAGTGACGCGTTGCCAATAACAAGACAAGTCGCAGATGACCCAGACACATATGCAATGCATAGGCCGAACAGGACAAGGTCGAACAGTTGCGGCAGATGCGCGAGGCGGCGATCAACCTGCAGTTCGAAAACGGCAAGGAGGGCATTACTCCATGCTTCGGTGTCTTGTTCAGCGTGATTTTATGCAGTGCAAAGGCGTCTGGGTCTGGAAGGGAACAGATAAGCACAATTTGTAATGCTGTTTTTCCCTCTGGCGCAGGGGAAGTGTCTGGCATGCACACAGAGCACCTCAATTTCTGTTCCTCATGCTCTTCTTGCATGAGAACTGCCGCTGCCGAATGGCGCAAACTGTGTGCTCCTTGCTGACCACTACTTACGCAAGGCAAGTTTCTCTCTCTTTCAAAATCAGTCTGAGACGTTTGCATGATCCTTCGAGCCCCAGGTACATTTGCAATGCATATCATAGCAACATTCTCATGTTCATCATGCCCCAGGCGATGATGAGCTGGGTGAAATTATCCCGAGGAAAAATGTCCCCATCCCACATTTGTGATGCAAGTCTGGATGCCCAAGAGTTCGGCATGCTCGTATTTGCAGAAGCGGAACACTTTGTGTACGCGGCTTCTACAGCCGTGCGCGAGTTCTACGCAAAGTGTCCAAATTTGATTTGTTATGCGAACTTTACCAGGGGTTCGAATCTCGATTTGTCGAGGAGCTTGCCCACCTTGACTATGGGATGGTTACGTTTTTCCTCAGGATGCCGCTTTGACGCGAAGAAGCACACCCAGGCGTTCTGCGCGTTTACGGTCCACGTTTTGAATGGCTACAGGTACTTATTTTTTTACGACTTGATGGTGGGTGTTTCTGAGCGCGATGTTTGACGTGCGTTGTAGCATAATGGAATTATGGAAACTGGAGCAAAACGGCGCTTCATTCCGCAAGAACGACACGAGGATCTACAAACAAACTTTATTTTTTAATCGCAAGCAGGTACTACACGTCGCAAGGGCTTCAGCACCGTGACATCAAGGTATCATAGTCAAAACTGCCCCACATAACCCATATGGATGGTTGGTCTGTTTTTAGTACGGTTGGTCTGTGAATGTTAAGTAGGTGGAAGCAGGATTCGTTGACATTTCTCGTGATAAAGATTATCTTCAACAACAAGTTTTATTGATCTTCCTACTCTCTTCTACACGACCTGTGGGACCTGGTAGAGATTTTTTGGATAACAAAAGTTCTTGCTTTTGCTGCAGAACGAGTTCGAGGCATCAGTGTGCATACTATAGCAGAAGACAAGTCGCATATGAGGCGGATGGCAGTTTTGAATGTGATAAATTCCCAGCAATATGTTGCTTCGGAGTGTATCGGACCTCTCTGAGCTGCCACGGCACTACGTTCCGGTTGATCACTATCAGAAAAAATCCGGACCATCGCAAGTACTACCGATGCAGGTTTTGCATTTAAAGATCGGTTCTGGGGCGTCACAGGTATATACAAATGTCGCAGAAACAGAAACACAATCGCCATTGGAAACAAGGCTGACTGTGATGTGCCTCTACGCCCGAGAACACGTTTTGTCTTGCAAAAACGGATAAGTACTCAAAAGTGGTTGCGATGATGTTTTTTTCTTGCATACTGAGGAGTTTTACGGGTTCGTCGCATGCTATTGTACAGTAACTGGTCGGCTCTCATCGATATTCGACAACACTTGCAGCGTCGCGTGTAGTCATGTTGAAAGAGAGGTATAAGTGGCGTGAAGCGTAAGCCTGTGCATCAGTTTGCATGATTGAAACGGCACTTTCGCAGCAGGTGCACCCACACAGTAATTTCCCTATCACTGTCGAAACAGAAAAATACGGCCGGCTGTTCTCCCTGCATACGCGCATCTGCGACTGGGGTTCGGCGAAGCACTTAACCGAGGAGACGGGCGAAAGTGGACAGCATAGTCCGCGCGGCAGGGTGGGCATTAGGAAGTGGTGAACTTTACCTGCCACACCAGCAGAGGCCTCATTGAAGCCGGGCAAAAGTAGTGTGAATCTATGCAGACAACTCTGTTGATTCTGATTTTTTTTTTCAAAATTTCTTCGTACAACTTTTTCTTTCCTTCTGATTTCGGATTTTTTTCATTTCCTTTTTCCAAAAGAAGCTAGATGCGTCATGTTGTATCTTTTTTGCGGGATGAAAAGTCTTGAACCTCCTATCTGTTATGCATGCCGACGTCTTTATAATTTTTTTGCATGCTCTTGTTTGCTATCGTGCAGGCAAAGTTTACACGTTCATAGAAGCCGACAACTACGCCTCCGTGGATTTTCGGATTCATTTCGACGAAGAGGTGGAGTTATCTTCGGATGGCGAGAAGGAGGAAGAAGACGCAGATATCCTATGTCAAAACGTCCCCATCCCATGGCTCTCATGCAAATCTGCATGCTCGAAGGATTTCTCATGCGGAGCGTAATCAGAGGCATTTTCTAGTCGTATTTTAATTTTGGGATTTGTCATGGTCCAATCGGCATACTATGTTCCAAATTTGTGATGCAACTGAACTAGCGAACAAGCAGGATGACATTTACTAATGCGAACTTGTAATGCGCAGCAAGGAGTAGGAAATAAGCTGGGTCTTTTGTCTAGCGGATTTCCCCTCTTGACTCTGGGGTGGGGACATTTTTGCTGAGGATAGAAGAAGAGGAAGAAGTAGACCCCGATTTGCCGGAGGCCGTATCATCTGCAAGTATGTCTGGGTTCCCTGAAAGTAAGATTGTAAAGTTGTAATGCTGATCATTTTGCACCAGAAGGGGGAAAATCTGTCTTGCATAGTCAGCACGAGATGCGCACTTTTTGTCTCCTGGACAGGGCGTTTCTTATTCAGGTCAAGCCTGAAGAAGCCTCCGCACAACGCGATCCGCTCTCAGTGCATTTCAGACCTTCAGGCAGACCCAAAAACAGCATGACAAATTAGCTCTGCATTCATCTTCCAGACCCACACCAGACGTTTGCATTTGATACGCGGGGGAGCAGATGGAGTACAACCCCGTCCTGCTGGGTGACGCGCCGATTCCGGACGATGCCTGCGCAGTGTGCTTGGAAAAAGGAAGCGACTTGTTCAGCTTCGGACTGATGTTCCGCGAAATGTATCTCGCTATGATCGAAGAACAATCCTTCCGCGCCGCAGGGTTCCTGGTGCGTTTGCAACTCCATCCGAAAATTTTCACCCCGGGGTGTGGGTGCGGCCGCAAAAGCACACGGGCAGGAACCCGGCGGCGTGGAAATTTTTCGAAAGAATATTTCGAATCAACATGGAGTCGAAGTATAACGAGGCGCACGCTTACATACTCCACCAGCAGGGCATCGACCTGAACAATCTCAAAATCCGCTCGCAAGAGGAATACAAGATGTTCATGTACCAGTTCTGGCACTTTCACTGCAGCTTGTTGGATCCCAAGGGCGTGCCGGAAGAACACAAGGACTACATCTACATGGATGTTCTGCGCAAATTCGGGCCAGGCAACAAGGGACTGGAACCAAAATTGAAAAAGGGAATCGAAGGTACACTATAAAGTTGTTTTTGCTGTAGTTCTTGAATGGAGTCAGATCACAGGTGGAGTTTGCAAAAATGCCTTGTAGAAGGAGGTCTTGGTGTGTGTCGTGTATTGTGCTGTGGTTCAGGACGCTGGAGTTTCTGGCGATTTTTGTGTTTGGGTGTTTACGATAAAAGATCATGGAATCGAAAATAAATGCCAATACAGCGTTCCTCAAAGAATCCAAGGCGGCCAGTGCGAAAAAAGATGGTCCCGACTTCCACCGCCTCTGCGTGCAGTTGACCAAGTTATCCTGCGTAAAAAGCGTCCTTGTCAACTACACAGAGAAGTCGTATGTTATTGGTTCTTGCATGCCCCTCCGAATAACCGGAACGTGTGTCATGCAACACTCATGAAAATCATATTAATTGCGACGTTTTTTGGACATTTGTCATGCAAAGTTTGGGATCAGAACTAGGTGAAAACCCGAACTCCGTGTAGCCGCATGTATGACCAGAAGCTGTGTGGGACGTCCTTGATGGCAAATTTGCCCGACTGGCCTCGGCTCCAAATAGCGGTCATCCCGTGCATCTCTATACAGCTTCTCGACTGAAGGACGCTGCACAATCATGAATCAAAGGCGACATGGACGTTTTTAGGCAGGATAGTAATGGGACCCGGCCGTGTATGCAAAGAAAAAAGTGTTACAGCTACATATTGTGTTGCAAAACATACAAGACAGGCGATCTCTGCCATGCGCAAAGTGCTTGCGAGTCTCCTTTTGTGTGTGTTTTGCCTTATGATCTCTGCATTGCAAGTCCTCTCCGTCATGCGAGGCAAATTTGTGATGCTGAATTCACTACAAATGTGTAACTCTAAATGTAACACTTTTTTCGTTGGATATCGTACGGCACAGCGGATTGACCGATGATTTCCTCCGCGAATGCCGCATTTTATCGAAACAGCGTTTCGAGGAAGCTGCCTCATCGGGGTCCGAGTTGATGTTCGACTTGAAGGCGCCGCTGCCAGTGCCGGAATCCATGGCGCCCAGGATTCAGGACAACGTCAATGACTTGCTCGGCCCGCTGCTAGAGGACGCCGATGAGGACTGCGATAGGGTGGAGGCCCGCGAAGACCTCAAGGGAAAGGAAACCGAGAAACGTCAGCTGTTAGAGGAAATCGAGGAGAAGGTCAAGGAAGAGACGAGCACAAAGATCGCCAAGAACCTCCATATAATGCTGTACAACGAGAGGCTATCCCAATGAAAGAGCTAGTTCCCCTGACACAAACCGAGACTTGTGATGGGAGATGTGTGTGCGCGAATCATCTTCTCTGGCGAGCAGACAGCAGGATGCTTCTGTGATGATTTCTTTGTGTAACAAGTTCAATTTGTCATGCACAGCGTGGCAGGAAAAGGAAAACCTTCGCCGGTCATACTGACTGACGAGATACGTTAGCTTTTCTGACTTCACGCGAGAAGAAGTTGATTGGTGTACAATAGAAATTGATGGGTACTTCTACCATCAATTTTGCACACAGATGACGCCCGGAGAATTTCAGTTTTTTCAGTTTGATAGACACCGCTCTTGGACGACGCAGGCAATTTTACGGGCGAGGTGAAGCCGAGGAAGGCACCCGGCTACGTGGCCGAGATGCAGCGCAAGCACGCCGCTTTGGCCCCCGAGTTCTGGGGCACCGCGTACACCAGCACGGGTGATGTGGTATCACATCATCTGACAAAGCTAGTTTACTTTTTCAATGACTTCATATGCTCACATCTATACGTAGAAATACATTCATTTCTGGCGTGGAACATTACATTCATTTCTGGTTGTGCTAGACGGATATTTTTTCTACAAATCACATAGCGAAGAAGATAAGGAGGTATTTTTTGTTTCCCAGGTGGAGACGATGACAGAAGAACAGCGTGCGGCGTTCAAGGACAAACGACCTATCAAAATGCGAGAGGCTTCCCACACCATTTCTCATCTCAAAGTCAATCCGCATCACCTGTTCTGCATTGAAAATTGCACCCACCGATACGAAGAGAAATTTGCCCACGTGAAGATCAATCCACGTATCATTTTGTGATGCTTCCCCGCAGAAGATGCTGCTTCGTTTCATGTCATGTTCGATTATGGTGCAGAGGGTTCTTGCAGCAGGATAAATTCGGATCCAAATTTCCTCAATCCCAACGAGATCGGCGAGAACGGCCGAGAACGTAGTCCGAGGCGCAATGCAGGTAAATTCTGTTGCGTTCGCTGCAGACCAGAAACCGAACATTGCTTTTAAATTTCGTGAGCTGATGGATTTATTTTCACGTTGCGACTTGTGATTGTGCCACAAATCTGGCGTTCTTCGTGCATGAAGACAGTATACGAAAAGTTGACAAATGATCCAAAATCTGCATACCACAGGCTTAAACAACAACCAGTTGAACCTGCTCGCTGATGTCGATGATATCGACGATGTCGACGCTCTGGCGCAAAATGTCGACGCCGACACAACCGTCCTGATCACCGTGAACGGCAACAGGAAGATATCCAATACAAAAATGCGTGGCGGTGCAATTTTTTGGATAAGATTCACTTGCTTGCGGCATGACAAACCGGCTCGAGAAGGGAATTCAACTACTATGCCCACCATTGCTAAGTTGTCTTTTCTGTTTCTTTGGCAGGGCAGGAGATGAAATGGTCTTGCGTGACAGGCTCTGTCGCCACAAATTTGCACTGAGCATTTTTTTTTTTTGGATAGCGTACGATCCAGGATGTGCTCAACGACTACGAACCGAAACACGGCTTTCCCGGCAACGGCAAAAGAGCACGGTATCAAGTGCAAAAATGTCTGGGTCTGGAAGGTTGCAACTTGTGATGCTGTCTTTGGAAGGTAAAAACAATCTGTATTGCATGACCAGCCAGGCGAGTTCAGTTTGTGCTACACGGAGTGGGCGTTTCTCATGCGGAATACGCATCAGAAGGCCCGTTAAAAATCTATGATGCTAGGTCATGCATTACAGCCATCATGGGTTATGCAAGATATGCATGACAGACTTGGCAATCGTCCAGACCCAGACATTTTTGCACTTGATACACGGACGGCGGAGACCAAAGAGCACTGGGACGTGATACGGCTGCGTGTCGTGCCGACGCCGGATGGCGCAGGAGCCGCCGATCCGACGGGTAACATCGAGCGCAACCGTATCCTATGTAAAAACGCCCCCACCCCAAGGTCAAGATGGAAAATCTGCTAGTCTTTCACGCTTCGGCCCAGGGCATCACTGTATTTAGCTATTATGGCCGCATCTAAAATTGATATTGAACATCAGACTCCATCAAAGCATGACAAATTCCAATGCGCCTTCTTTGGAAAGTGTCGCTTATCTTCAGGAAACTGCGCATGAGACACATCTTCAGGGTGAATATGGAAAATTGCATGATAAACTTGTCGTGGTAGGAACATTTTTACTGAGGATTGACCGAAAGAACTGGACGAAGCACTGGTTGCCAAACAACCCGCTGTTAGTTTACGGGACTCTCAAGCGTTACACCAGTGACTGTATACATGAATGATATTGTAATTGTGCAAGACTACCTCTACCAAAATAATCTGATGATGAGTGAAAGGGCTAGGCTTGCGAGTTGCTGTTGCAGGCTTGGCAGTGATTCTATTGCTACCTAGCGCATCCTCGAGCGCACATCGCACGATGTACATTGAGTGGTCGGGTGGTTTCACGGTCGCATTGATTCTGTCTGCATCGCAAAAAACTATGTAGCAGCGACCAATGTAACGGTTGAGAATGCCATATGTTGAACAAGTTCGGCGGAGCGCAGCGAAAACTGCAGCATGCAAGGAACAGCAAAGTGCTATACCCCCGGGCGCGCCCGAATGAGGATGTCGTGATGATGGAAGAATAGGCTCGGTTATGACTACTTGTGACAAGAAGAAGATGACTTTATTCGCTGGTGGACAAAATATTTGAAATAAAGGAAAGTATGTAGTTTACTATGAAAAGGCAAAGGTTGGCTTCGGTTTTTGTATGCAAAGGCTTCGTTCCCGAAGCCCCTGGAACGAAGCACAAACTCATCAGCTTCAAAATTTTTTGTGGTGTTTCTGTTTACTGTTAAGTAAAATAATTCGTTGTCGCCCCTTCTTTCTATTGTACGCACCTACCATTATTTGTCTTGCTGACATAGGATATCTTGTTTTCGATTTATATGCGATATTTATGTACATTTGCACGAGATCTAAGAAAAAATGGATTTATCTACGCTTAGTACGTCACGAACTAGGTCTTTCCTACGCAAATTGTACTGTATGGGAACCGTTCACAAGATGACTCATCCGTTAGAGAAATGGAAACGGACGAGTAATGCGTTAGACTATTCAGCAGCAACAGTAAACCGGAGAAACAGCAAGGCGGGCGCTCTTCTAGGTTTGTGAAAGGTGTAGCGCCGCAAAGTATACATCAAGCAGCAAACCGAGTTGTCGGGCTTTTGACTTCACAGGGGCCTACTGGATATTCAGGTGGGTCATTGGCCGTTTCAACATGGTCGATGCCCGGTCGGGTCGGGTCCATGGCCGGTCGGGTCGGGTCTCTGGCCGGTCGGGTCGGGTCCATGGCCGGTCGGGTCGGGTCCATGGCCGGTCGGGTCGGGTCCATGGCCGGTCGGGTCGGGTCCATGGCCGGTCGGGTCGGGTCCATGGCCGGTCGGGTCGGGTCCATGGCCGGTCGGGTCGGGTCCATGGCCGGTCGGGTCGGGTCCATGGCCGGTCGGGTCGGGTCCATGGCCGGTCGGGTCGGGTCCATGGCCGGTCGGGTCGGGTCCATGGCCGGTCGGGTCGGGTCCATGGCCGGTCGGGTCGGGTCCATGGCCGGTCGGGTCGGGTCCATGGCCGGTCGGGTCGGGTCCATGGCCGGTCGGGTCGGGTCCATGGCCGGTCGGGTCGGGTCCATGGCCGGTCGGGTCGGGTCCATGGCCGGTCGGGTCGGGTCCATGGCCGGTCGGGTCGGGTCCATGGCCGGTCGGGTCGGGTCCATGGCCGGTCGGGTCGGGTCCATGGCCGGTCGGGTCGGGTCCATGGCCGGTCGGGTCGGGTCCATGGCCGGTCGGGTCGGGTCCATGGCCGGTCGGGTCGGGTCCATGGCCGGTCGGGTCGGGTCCATGGCCGGTCGGGTCGGGTCCATGGCCGGTCGGGTCGGGTCCATGGCCGGTCGGGTCGGGTCCATGGCCGGTCGGGTCGGGTCCATGGCCGGTCGGGTCGGGTCCATGGCCGGTCGGGTCGGGTCCATGGCCGGTCGGGTCGGGTCCATGGCCGGTCGGGTCGGGTCCATGGCCGGTCGGGTCGGGTCCATGGCCGGTCGGGTCGGGTCCATGGCCGGTCGGGTCGGGTCCATGGCCGGTCGGGTCGGGTCCATGGCCGGTCGGGTCGGGTCCATGGCCGGTCGGGTCGGGTCCATGGCCGGTCGGGTCGGGTCCATGGCCGGTCGGGTCGGGTCCATGGCCGGTCGGGTCGGGTCCATGGCCGGTCGGGTCGGGTCCCTGGCCGGTCGGGTCGGGTCCATGGCCGGTCGGGTCGGGTCTCTGGCCGGTCGGGTCGGGTCCATGGCCGGTCGGGTCGGGTCTCTGGCCGGTCGAGTCGGGTCTCTGGCCGGTCGGGCCGGGTCCCTCCCTGGCCGGTCGGGTCGGGTCCCTGGCCGGTCGGGTCGGGCCGATGGCCGGTCGGGTCGGGTCCACGCATGGCCGGTCGGGTTGGGTCCATGGCCGGTCGGGTCGGGTCTCTGGCCGGTCGGGTCGGGTCCATGGCCGGTCGGGTCGGGTCTCTGGCCGGTCGGGTCGGGTCTCTGGCCGGTCGGGTCGGGTCGATGGCCGGTCGGGTCGGGTCGATGCCCGGGCCGCATACGCCTGTAGTTTATTTTTTCTTTCGCCCGCGACCGCGATCCGACTACTATTGTCACGTCTGATTGTAGGCGAAGCAAGTTCCTCTTGGTGCCGCAAGCTGAACATCTATCATAGATTTTTCGCGGAATTGTATCAAGAAACCAAGTAGCAGTTTCTTGGTAGAGGCACTACGAGCAGCCTGCTACAAGCGAAAGAAGATATCTGCGTGGCCTCGGTTTCTATGTGCTACGTGAACCTGTCTTGCTGGACCAGAAACCAAAAGCAGCCTTCTAAGACGCGGCAATTAGTCACGCGCTTCTTTCAATACATAATTGCGTTAGTTTAATTATATATCTCTAGAGCGTTTTTTCTTATTGGCGAGCCGTATTCGTGGCAGAAGATGAAGAGCAGTTTCGTATTTTCTTTTCGTTTATTTTGCGAGTCTGTATTGTGTACAGCTGCAGCAAGGAGGACGAAATAAAGTAAGTAGCAAGGCGAAATCTGCACAGTTCGTCCCGGAAAAATAGACAAATCAAAAGCAAGCAGAAAGAGCCAAACTCTTTGTACACAACACTTTGAAATACTAAAATGCGATCCCGATCGCGATCTCGATGTATCACCTCCGCCGTTGAAGCCGGCGCATGTGATGCTACATCACAGCCTAGACGAGGCACGACCGGTGTTCTAGCGCTTATCGACTGCTGCCTTCTTTGTTACCCGGCTGTGAGGATCGATATTAACGACAATGTTTTTCAAAGTGTGCCACTGTCTTCTGTCCAGCAGAAATAAAGATCAAGAAGCTGTGACTCCTGAGGTGGGCCAAAGACTGAATATCAGCCACCTAATATTTTCTATGTTGTCTGGCGCTGGCGGACTCGTCAGAGATGTGCAGCTTCCTGCTGCAAGTATGATTCAACGAAACGCGCCGGACTAATGCATGCGCACAAACGGTCGCAGTATTGCTAGTGTCCCATCCACACTTGCAGTACTTAACTTTCCCTTGCAGCAGCAGGCGTCTTGTTGCTCTCGCTAGAGAGGTAACCATGACATGCAAAGATATATTTTCATGTTCGCTTTTAGAATCACATCCGATATGATGTCGCGCAAATTGATATAGTAGTGCCTACTTCTTGGCGTGTTCATGGTCCGTCGCAAACTCGGAGAGAAGTTTTGTCTCGCTCGATCGAAAACGAGAAAAAGCAATCCACGAGACGCACTTTTTCGACGTGGTCGCCCGCGCATTCGGATCAGTTTTTTTCTTCGCTTCGTTTTTTCGTTTTCTTCCGGTCTTCCCCTATCGAAATCGAAAGCATTTGAAGTGGAAGCCGCAGTGCTCAAAGGCGCATTGATTTCATGATGATGACCATGAAAAACCTGCAACCCACATGACAGGGATGGTGATTTTTTTATTGCGGCACAATAGGGCCAACGACTCTTATTCGAAGCACCCGGGTAAGAAATAAATAGAAATTACATAGTAAGTTGTAGCAATAATACCTAGAAGTTGCCTGCTCTTCCGTGGCATCAACTAGTAGCGGCACAACCACACAACTCTTAGTACTGTGCCATCCTTCAGTAGAATCCTGTGCAGGGGTGCTTCGGTGCGGTTAGGGCGGAAAAGTCGGCAAATGCCATCACTTTTGCAAGCGCACGTTTTGGGAGGGTAAAAAAACTTTTTTTGTTGGGGGCGCAACATCTTGGAAGTCGACACGCCTCGCGTGTCACTTGATCTTTTCCGCAGGAAACATGATGGCTGAGCTTTGGAAATGCCGCAACACCAAGACCAGAAGCAGGCCACAGCGCCCTCGCCCTGTGCGCTGTCATTCAGATGGCCGGACGTTGTGTCGTGGGCCCGCTCTCCGATCAGGGGCCGGGCCGCCTCCGTGACCGGGGCTCGACGAGGCCCATCGCCTGGAAAAGAAGGCCCGGCAGGGGGGGTGGTCAGGGGGGTGCATTTTTGCCCCCTTCGGACACCCCTTCCGGGTACCCCTTCCGGGTAGCTTTTCGGTAGCCTACGCCGACCCCCAAATCCCCATTGGAAACTGCTGATTTGGAATGGCCCAAAATGGTAGCCCAACGGCAGCCCAAGCGGACCCCCTTACCCCCCCCCTTCGACACCCCCCCGGACGCACCCGACTGGCGGCGCGTCCGCATTTTCAACATCCGGCCGCAGAGGGAAGATGAGAAAATGTCTGGGCGCGTACGGAATTGGATGTGGGAGAGGGGGCGCGGCTTCTCGCGCCGGAGGGCCGCAGGCCTGTGCAACTTCAGCAAAGTGCTGCGGTTCTATTGGAAAAAGGGGAGGGCCGGATGGCGGACCGTGACAACGAACAGTGGCGCCAGCGGCTACATGGCCAACAGGAAAAAGAGCAGTGTCGATACCCCCAACAGCCACAATTTTTTTGCCCCCCCAAAATGCGCGCTCGCGAAAATGATGGCATTTGCCGATTTTTCCGCCCTAATGCGGATTGTAACTTGGATAACAGCCGGTGCGTTGTGGTGTAGCAGGATTGCAATCCAGTATATCTTCATCAAACTTATTACAACGGATACCCGTGTAACTTTCCACAACTACTTCTGGTCAGGTCGATATCTTTTTCTAGATTGCCGGTTCTATCTATGTGGGTGATCTGGTGTCGCATCCCGGCACCGGGTTTGTAGATACAAATTCGAATGCAGCGCCGCCTGCTTTATTTGGTTTTCGCAGAGGAAATCGATGTTGTGCAAAGTTGAAGAAAATCGGCCCCATATATTTCGCTCTTCATCGTCTTGGCGTGGTGGGTCGTAAGCAAGTAGCTCAGGTTCGTGACTAGACAACTTCGAGCGTCGAGTTTTTCTGCGACAAAACTTCGAGGGAACGCGACCCGATTATAAGAATCGACATCGGTTCGAACGTGGGAATCGTGAAAAGCAAAAAGATAAATCACAAACGTAGTCGCAAAACTACAAAATCAAAAATAACCAGTGCCGCTTGATACAAAATAACCGCGTGGGGCAGCCGCAAGCAGCCTGTCGACCTCACCCAGAATTTCACATGAACTCCAGGTGCTTGATGACTACTAGCACAGACAGAACTACGGAGGTTTTTTGACAAACATTATTGCGATCGCCAGGGTCTGCTCGTCTCGGCGGACTGAGAAGAAAACATCACGTCGTGTTGATGATTCTATCCAGCAGCCGGAGACACTAGTATGTGTTGTTGCGAAAGAGTCGACAAAGAAAGGCAAACATATATAGAATTTCATACCCAAATGGCAACATTGAAACTGCAGCCCTTCTTGTCTGACTTGTGAGCCACCAGCGGCCGTCTACCGCACCTCAGTTGGCATCCAGACCAGAATGATGAACAACAAGGGGAAGTGCAAAAATAGGAAGAGGGCCCAGAGACAAAGCATAATATCATGTGCGACAACTTGGTCTTCTGTTTCTCTTAAACACGACAAGTGCCGCAGGTGTCTAGTATTGTATATTGAACTGCTGAGAATTGTACATAGAACTGCTAGTGCCGGACCTGCAATACGTCACTAGAAGGACAATTTTGACATCTTATTTTTGACGCGACGCTTGAACTTGTTATGCTGGGGGCGAAAATGTCAGAGTGACATGAAAGCAAAAATTCGATTAGTGTGGTAAGAACTTCGAAGCTAACAAGTTGTCAAACGGGATACAGTACTCTCCTCCAGGAAGCGCAGTTCGACAAGTTCATTCTGCCACTGGTCCAAAACCAAGCAGCCTCATCCGGCGGACATCCTGCCACGCCTCTGTTCAGCAACTGGACGGAGTTTTTGCACCTTCTCAACACGTCGGAAGCGGACCGCCGCAAGAAAGAGCAGGAGACCCTCCCGCAGACGGAAGGACAAGCGGCGCGTGCACGTGCAGAACAATCGCGGACCACGACGTTGCTGCCTCAGGAATCTGAACCTGACAAAAATATCAAACCCGACAAGAATCGCGAACCTGATTCTGAATCTGAAGACGCAATAAACGCCGAACCCGAGTCCGACGGCGTCGATGGAGATCCCTTCTTGAAGGAGAACCTCTTCAAGGAGAACAAACATGGGCTGTGGACCGCAATGCCGGAATGGGCTGCGAACGACCCGCACGTGCAGCGCATCCTGGAAGCGGTGAGGGGCCCCGAGGAGCACCTGTCGTTCCCGTGCAAACGCGCCTTCGTAGCGGGGGTCAACGTCACGGGAGACGATTTGGAAGCGGTGCATGCATACCAACTGCAAGTATAATGTCTGGGTCTGTCGTGTCGGAGAATGAATGCAGCTCGCGGACCCTCGGGTTGGCAATGCTGTACTGGTTTTTGCAATAAATGTATGGGACTATTAAAAAATTTTCTCTCTATTATATCGAGCGGTGGATTCAGTTCATTTTTTGAACGGTATGCTGATCCGATGTGGAAGCAGGGTTTTCTGCTGTGCTGTAACTACACCACCTCTTTGAGGGCGCTTATCCACAATAATGCTGTGCTGTTACACCTTGGCTTTTTATAGTTTGAGTTGCGTACCAACACCGTGTGAAGTTGGTACTCTTCTCGACCCAGACATCTTTCCAATTGATAATCAAAGACGGAAACAGATAATTGTAGTTATCCACTGTGAAAACAGCTCCATCCCTCAATCTTCACGTGAGGTGTCAGAACATAACATGGCTTTATTGGGACAAAGAGCCATGATATGTTTTCGTTTATTATAAAGAAACACGAAATCGGTTATAGTTATACTATTTGAAGTTTTGCATGGATGGCAACCTTCCGTGATATTTAGGGCGAGGGCTGATTTTGTGGAGCATATGGGCCTTGTCCGCTGGACTGGATTTCCCGCAGAAGAACGCGAAGGAAAACGCACCAAGCGTGGTGTCCTTGGGCAACAATTTGGCCCTCAACCAGCAGACCGCGCAGGCGAAGAGAAGTACTGCAGTTTCGGCAGATCATCCCAGCGGTCGTGCATCGTCTCCCGACAGCACCGAAGCAAAAGATACTTCATCTGCGCCGGCCGAGGCCGTCGAAGAACGCACTGCTGGGGAACAAGAAAGCGACCACCGGTACTATGCGGATTCTAGCGTGAAGCAGCATCTGCTCAGCACCGTCGTTGACGACGTGGTGCGAGCGAACCCCCGGCGCATTACGAAAGAGTATGCAGTGATCCAGCAGGAGGGCGAGGCAGCTTCGGATGGAGTTCTCTCCGTGGATTTCGCGCACGCCGCATACTTAACCGACCGCCAGTACCTGGCGCTGGCCCTCCAGAGAGCGGAGGACGTGCAGGTCTTTCTCGCCCGCGTTGAGACCTACGCCGCACTGTTTCAGCAGGTGCTGCACGACAAAATTCATCACTTCCAGCGTCTAGCGTCGTACTGCGAGTCGCAGGTGAGGAGCATCGGCAGGTGCACCGGAAGGAGCAGCATATGGGCCGCCTGGAGTAACAAGTCGAATATACGATGGATTCCAAATCCTCACTCCAAGAAATCCGAAAAGGAACAATATGGCGGTAAATCTTGCGTGTTGCTTCTTTTACATCGGGACGTGTGCCATCCGTAGTTGTTTTTTATCATCATTTTTTGTGGTGCTCGGCTTACATATTCTGCGTGTCGAAAAAGAAAAACCAATCTTCAGCATATTTCCTTGGTAGCTTCGCTGGAGCGGGCGTCGACCATGTCCTGCGACGTCTCGCGAAGAGCGGGTTTTTTCCCGAACTGGCGTTCAGCGTGACGAATATGGGCGGGCACGCAGTCGCCGAGGGGAAAGCGGAATGTGTCCGGTCTGGGCCCCTCGAAGAACGGCGGAGTTCGCAGTTCAAGAAGAACCTTCCCTCGCGCATCCTGTGGAGAGCACGACAGGGCGAAGAAACCAAACGCTGGTCCCTGTCGCTGTCCGTAGAGGACACGCTCCACTGCGCGCTCAGCCAGAAGGCAGCGGCCGAGCTCCGAGAGTTCCAGGTGCAGTCCGGAAAGATATCAAATGCAAAAATGTTTGGGTCTGGAAGATTGCGAGACTTGTCGTGCTTGTCTGGGATGACCAAAAAGTTTGTGATGCGTGTCCAAGAAGAGACCCTTGTCTCTGTCATGCAAAAACGCAGTTTGTGATGCGAAAAACGCAACACAGCGAAGCGCATGCTTGGCTGGGCATTACAGAGCATTCACTATTCCCAACGCAGCATTACAAGTCTCCAGAACCAGACATTTTTGCATCTGATAAAAGAAGATTCTGCACCACTGCGGCCTCAGCAAGGAGCTGATTGAGGGCAAGTGGTTTCGCTTTGCTGACCATTTCACTAATCCCCTGTCACTTCCAGCTTCTGACCAAGGAACTTGGGCTCCACCCGCGGGCGCCCGGATCTCGTCCAGGGATCTGATCATGGAGGATGAAACGTTGAAACCGCCAGCGGCGTTCGCCGAGCCGGTCCTGTGGACGGCGCAGAACGGAGACACCCAGGAACAATGGCACAACGCTTTCAACTTTGCCGGTACCATGTCACCCCTGCACGTCTTCCGAAGAACGCACCGCATTGCTCGCGTCGCGAGCCGGTTCGCCCCCGACGCGCAGAAAAACGACTGCTTTTCGCGGCTGAGAACGCCTGAAGAGTTCTCGTTTGCCTTCGTCACCAGCTTCTCGCAAGACTTGACGTCGCTGCGGGCGGGGTTGGGCCCCTACAGCGGCATCACTGACATCGGCCTGACCAACCACTCGGCGGTCGGCAAAGACAGAGTTAGCATGAAGCGCAGAGGGTGCCCGTTGGACCTTTTTCTGTTCGCGGACAGCCTAGACCACAGAAAGTGGTCCGGGACCAGTGATGAAGAAAACCGCAAGATACAGCTTCGCACGACCGTCAACTATGCATTGCAAAAGCATTGCGCTAGTACAAATCGCCTGAGATGAAATTATTAATAATTGAATTTGTCATGCAGATTCAGATAAGGAAGTGTAGTTGGTTCGTCATGCAAGACTTTTCCGATTTCTACGAGCACGAGAGCTTTGCACAGGATATCGCATACGATATCACGAAAGTACAACCCGCGGATCCGCTGCAGGACAGATGGGGTGTCATTCTGCACATCGAGCGGCACGGCCCACCTGACCAGGACCAAGACGCGCCGAACGTGTTGCAGGAGCAGGCGACTACTCGGTACTACCTCGAAACGGAAGCGGAGGTGGATGAGTTTCTGGTAGAGTTGAATGCAATATGCAAGATCGGAGCGGAGGCTAGGGCGCAGGCGGTGAAGGATATTATCGCGCTTGGCACAGAGGCGATGACAGTGCCATACGAGCATGCGTTCACGCTATCTTCGGATAGAGGCCCGTACGTCCCGTTTGGATTGACGCATTTTCGGATCGAGGAGCTGGACAACATTGGCGAGGAGAACTCGGCTGCCAGCGAAGATGATCGCGTGGGGAACGAAGCTGCAGATGGTCTTGTCGAGGAGGAGTGCAATAGCCAGCAAAATGAACCGCAGGACGAGGAAGGCAACAGCTCCGACCGGGGGACCGATGACCACAACTCTGCCGACAACATGATTGGCCTCGAGAAACTCGGATTCCCAACTTGGCTGGAGCTCATGAAGCTCACGTTTTCCCACCGATTCCAGCAGAGCCGCAGCGCCGAACCAGTTCCAGCCCGAGCTCCGATTCAAATTTCCTGCAGCTTCGCTGTCCGGGGGTGGTCGGCGTCGTAACTGCCCCTTCTCCACGTGGCGAAGGGGATTGTCGCATCCTGCTGCGAAAGTGCTCGGAAGTGTTTCTTTCGTGGAAGTGTAAAATGATTGTTAAACGAAAACAGAGGGGAGAACGAAGTCTGAGTTTCGAAACAGCAGACACAAAAGCAATCGCTCTCTGCCACTTTCATGACTTCTAAATTCCTTTTATTGGGCGGGATGATCGATGTTGGACGGCAAGACTAAAAAAAGCTCCAAAGAACAAAAAAATCGCCAGTATCTTGCTTCGAAACTACTCAAAAGTATATTTTTGTTTCGTGTAAGTGCAATCAAAATGATTCATATTGCGTTCGCTTCTCTAGAGTTGATTCTTCGCGCAGGAGCAGTTACGAAAAAGTTGCGTGTCTCGGCTGGGATTGAAGAAGAATGTCAAGGTGGAAGAACATATCGACCCATTTTTTCTTGTGGTTGTGTCGTGATAATTGCATCGTCACCATGCAAAGGATCTTCAAATAGCTTATATAGAGGAGTTTTTCTAACGAGAGACACAAAATGTTCGAGATGAGATCGAGTTCTGAGTGCAATAAACACGCAGAAGGCCGACAGCCATATTTTTTCTTACAGCGCCCATACTTCTCCCCTTCACCGGCTACCCGCATTGAACAACCTACAACCACTTCATCGAGCGCACCCACCAAAATTTTTCTCGTGGAGTACTTTCTGCAACTGTAACTGACAAACAGAATTATAGCGGTCTTTTGCATAAGTGACACAAGAATTGTGCCACCTCCACTAGCAACCAAATCGGCGACGATACTCGTGATGTGCGGTGCCTTCTAGTAATCCCCGCTTGATCACGAATGACCCAGATGAGGTGAGACAAGGGAGCTGGCTCTTGAAGTGAAACGTGCCCGAGCCTGTCTTTGACCTACCACACGCAGCAAACGAAAACGAAGCGAAATTTGGCGTCGGGAGGCGTCCACTGCACAGCATAGGTCCATCTTCGAACTGCAACGGATTACTTAATATCATGCGCTTCGACATGAACGATTACGATCCCTGGGAGGACGACCGCGTGCAGCATTTTGAACTAGATTCGCACGCGTTGATCTTACGCCAAGGGGACTTCGACCGATGGATCTTGCCCTTGCTTCAGCACGTAGAGGCCCTGCGGGCGACGACTACTGCTTCCACGTCGAATCAAACCGGTGGCACCCAAGGTACTATGACTGTCGTGAAGATGATTGAAAGCTTAAGCATCTTGGTTCGTGATTTTTGACGTCAGTTTGCTGATAATTTGAAAACGGAAACAACAGACCTGGTATTGAGAGTTGTGAGTTTGAGTTTCCTATCCAGAAATAAACTTTGCAGCACATGATCACGCCGCACACAATCTGCCCTTCCGTAACTGGGACGAGCTAGTGGAACTTGGTTTCCAGGCAGAGGAGGCGAATAAGCGCAAGTGCGCCAGGGGTGCACTACACACTCCGACTAAGTGCCAGGCTGTTGTTCTGCGCAAGGGCACGGTGGTTACAATCGCTGGCGAGGCAAAGCGCTTCGCACAACTGCTGGAACAAAAACAAAAAGTAGTCGTGGAGCTGTTCAAAAAAGGACTTGGCTTACCCGGTCCAGTTGGAGGCACGATGCCCCCAACCACGAGCAGTTCTTTGACAGTCTCCGGCAGCGAATCAACAACGACGCCTGCCGGAGGTGCTGCGACAAAAGAAGAGGACCACTCCAGCCCGGGCACCTGTTGCGCGCAAGATAACCACGTGCAGCTCTTGCAGGACAGAATTATCCGGAAGATCTTTGCGGAAAACCCGCGTGTCGTCACGCGCGCGTTTGCGGCACTGCAAAAAAGTCCCGGCGCGGGATCACTACTACACCTTCCGACGAGCAACTACTTTCCGACTCACACCGACCCGAACGGCGCAGCACCGTCCGAGGAGTACGTGGTTGTGGCCCTGCAGCGCGCCGAGGATGTCCGCGTCTACAGTAGGAGAATGATCCAGTATAAGCAAATCTGCGAAGGCCTTGTTTGGGCAAGGAAAGATGCACTGAAAGAGCTGCAATGCTTCGTCGAAGATCAGGAGGAGGAAACCGAAAAGTGCTTGAAAATGGTGGAGGATTACAATACGCAGAGCCATGTGCAGTCCTGGATCGCAGATTTTCTTCCGAGTCTCCATCTGGACTTCGAAATCAAAAACGCCGGCTTTAACACAATTTTGAAGCACAAGGTCGAATGCCTCCCAGGCGAACTTGTCAACCTGATCAAGCTAGAGTGTGTGGGTTGGGGTTATGAGTTCTCTGCGTTTCACCAAGTCAAGACCACGGTGCACAGCGCGTTGGGGCGAGACGTGTTGCTCCGGCTGCTGCAGTTCCAAAACGCCACGGGAAAAGCGCTGCTTGATGAGGTGCATCGAAGTTTGGAAAAGGACGGATTGCTCCAGCCACTCGACGGTGGCGCGCCGCAGCTGGATGGCCGAGCGCATCCTTTCGTGCAGCAGAAGTCGGGGTTCACGATGGACTGTGTATCCAGGATCCTAGAAGGCGCGTCTTACAACATGCATCACGATGAAGCCGTTTCTGAGCAGATCCTACAGCATGCATCACCAGATGAAGAGCACGACTTCGTCGAGAGCGGGCGACCGTATCCAATACAGAACGCAGCGCTGTTGTCCGATCTCCGATGGAATCGCGATACTGTTCGACGAGAGGAAGCATGGCGCACAAACTTCTTGGATTCGAGTACTTGGACGACGGAGCAGAGGTTGAAGAGCAGCTCAGGCAAAACTGCGCAGCTCTTGTACCCCTTCAGAAAGGTGCACCGGATCCTTGGAACGCACACCCGGAATCCCAGCACCTACGACAAAGACGCGGCTGAGAAGAATCAGTCGCAAAGGGAACCGCAGTTCTGCTCGTTTGCCCTCGCGGCGGGCTTCCACACCAGAGTGGACGATGAGACGCCTGACCTCAATAGATATTTACAGCGGGCGGGAATCGTGAACATGGGCCTCTTCGAGAGGGAGAACGAATGTGAAGGCAGCGCGTTTAAGATCAAGGACTTGCCAATTGGGGACGCAAGGAGGGAAGTGACGAGAAGAGGAAACCCAGATGGCCCCAGCTACTTGTATTGTTTTGTCGGTGAGTACTTACGCCGATGGACGGTTCTCATGCCGGAGTTTACCAAGTTCGCCTTCGCACTCACCTCGACAGTCCGCGGCCCAAAAGGGCCGGAGCGGAAGCGGGTTCCCGTCACGCGTCGACGCAAGGTAGCAGTCCCGGTGAAGGGGTGGAAGTGTGATCACAGCGCACTGGATGTGAACATGGGCTATCGTTTTCGCGGGGACTACTGGGACCCTTTCGACACCTTTACCTACTATTCCCTCGCCGCGTGGACTCCCTACGAAGCACTATCTTTTGAAGAATCGGCTGCACTGTACTACTACCGAAAGGAATTTTCCCAGCAACGCGGCGTGCAGACGAGTCGCGGCAACGAAATAGCAACTGAGAATGAAGGGCTCACTGCCGGGAGCAGCATCTTTTCACAGCAAGAGCAGAGAACGGCTGATAACCCGACCTTCCTGCCGACTTCTGACGAGAACAACATCGAGGCTGACATGAAAGTTGCCCTAGAGATCATGTGGAGGGGAGACCCACCATCTAAAAAGGAAAACTCTGCCGGGTCGGGCGGTTCTACGGGACAGCAACAGGTGGAGGAGCAACAGGGGGAGCAATTGGTGGGCATCACGAGTGCCGCGGAAAACGCCACGTCGAGCGAGCCTCGGTGGACAGTGACAGCACAGCTGGAACACCTCGTCGCGCCCGTCGAATCGCTATGAAGTGCAAATCTGTTTCCGCTGTCCCGGGAAATAGACAATCATGTTTGTCATGCTCATGGTAATTTAGGCAGAGGGTCTGTGCTGCCACGGAGAAGGGTTCCGGAAGGCATGACAGATTTTGCCAGGGTCAGCAGCTTTACCATTTGACATGCGCAGTGAATCAATCGTCCTGTCTTCTTGCATCACGAGGTGGCAACCTTTTGGTTGGGATGAAATCAGCAATTCTTTCGGATCATGCATAGCAATTTTTTGTGCAGCTTCTCGTGAGCCGCCACAACCATGCATTCCTCCATGCAGACGAAGGCATATTTGCAATCCATAAAAGCTCCCGTCCTATGATTTTTGCTTCGCTACAGAAGCGGAGGCCAACGCCTTCGCCAACGATCTGCAGGCTTTCTGCCGCATCGGGATGGACTGCACCAGCGTGAGAAATACGCAGGCCCAGCAGCTCTTCAGCGTGTTTGATTCGCAGCTAGGGAAAGAGCTCTGCAGCCCCATGATGGAGCACGTGTTCCCCTTCGGCCGCTACACCAGTGCGGTGACCGGAAAGAACTACGCCTACAAACCGTTTGACCGCATTATCCGCATGTGGCTCACTGATGACGACTTTTGTCCTGATGAGGCCACCGATTTGAAGAAAAGGAAACTGGAGAATGGTGGGAGTGAATTTCCAGAGACAAATATCGGCAATACAACCTGGTTCGACGTTGCGCGGACCGTGCTGTCGCGGCGGCTCGAAATCGAGAATAACGCGGACCTCCTCGCCCCTATTGAGATCCAGTGCTTTTTCGGCAACAAGACAATCGAAGAGCTCAGACGCGAAAAGAAGAAAGAGCAAGAGGAAGCTATGGCCTGCTCAGGCACTGCAGCAATCTCACCTACCAACATGAAACATAAAAGGGTGCATGTGCAGGCAGTGGCTCGCTAGCACGAGTTTAGGTCATGTTACCTTGCTTCCACCGCCCAGTGTCTTGCATTTGCAAATGGTATAGAATATGTCCTACGGCTACTTCATAGTTTGGAGGGCGGATTAAGGCGGCGTAAGTGTGCGGAGCGTTCATACGATCTGACTGACTGGTCAAATTGTACTGCCTGAGCATTCCATATGCGACGAAAAGGAGGAGATACAAAAGATATAAAGTACTCAAAGCTTTCGATGTGCGACCGAGCAGGATTTCGTCTCTTCGAGGTATAGGACTGCAGGGATTTTCTCCTCCTCCGAGCGAAATTGAATTTGCAAATTATTTCGGATGAGCTGAATCGGAAAAAAAAATTAATATATTTTCCAAACGCGCGGCATTTTCAAGTAATGTTGATGGCAAGGAAAAAGACAGAGTATGGTCGCGGGCCAGACAAGGAGACCTTCACTTCTTTGTTGTACTACATTGAGCGCACTATCGGTATGGACTCCATATCGATGGTCACCAAAGAGTGCGAGAGGCGAAACGCGGTTTATTTTCTGCGAGAGAAAATTTCTGCGAGAGAAAAAGACGGAAGAACTTCGAGAGAAAACATGCGTGCAAATGTCGACAACGACATTCTCCCGATGATAATGGGTCCTTCGCAGCTACAGACTGAAAAACAATAAAACGCAGGCACTTCTTCTTCTAGCGACTCTGTATTTGTGGATGCTCGACTTCTACACCGCTAAAATGAGGGGTTTTCGGGGATCATGCTAGAGCACCACATGACTCCGAAAAAAGAGCAGGCTTTCAAGACTTCGGTCCCCGCGTGAAGGCGTGAGCGGTTTTTGCTGCCACTCCTGCAAAGCCTCACGGTATGTTGTTTTTTTAAATTTTTCTTTCTACGATAGTTCACAATTCCCCCTCTCCCCCATTTATCATGCGACTTCCCCCTCATTTGTCATGCTAAATCCACACTCCAGCTGCTGCCTTGAGGTTCTGTCAGCATGGCAAATTTCGGAGGCACGTCGAGCAGTACTATACTAAATCGGGCACGCTGATTTGTCATGCGCAGGCTCCTTCTGTGCTGGTGCTCGTATTGCTATGCATGCCATACGAATGAAGGACGAGGGGGGGGGGGGTTGTGCACTCTCCTACTTATGCACTCCTACAAGTAGTTGGAGATGAAGGAAGATACTACTAGCACGTAGATTTATGCATTGCAAATTTGTTAGGGTCTGGAAGACTGACAAATTGAAATTGTGATGCGGATTCTGGAATAGACAAAAATTTGTGTTGCATACTCAGCAAAAGATGTCACATTTCCTTCTTGAAAGTGCCTTTTACACGCTGGCTGCGCATGGAGAAGTTCGCCCAGAATTGGACAGGCTCGGCATGAAGATGCATTCCGCTTCCATCTTGCAAATGGAAAAAGAACCGCATGACAAGTTAGTACGATCCGCCTCCTTCCAGACCTCGACATGCTGTGTGCAACGGATTATAACGCCACACTCAGTTGTCTGCCCTCTCCTTCACGGCACCGAACGTAGAAGATCAAAGACAATTTCGATGTACAACTTTATCTTTTTCTCCACCTACAGGTACCATCGATGCTGTTCCAGCCTTTCTTCCGCGACGTGTACGGTTCCCATGCCAGTCGTTCTCGACGGAACGAAACACCTGGAAGCGCGATGGATTTCCAGGGAGGCGTTGTAGGCTATGGCGTTCTCAAATGTTACACTCTCAACTGTTTACATGAATTTGTGATGCAAGAATGTGAAAAGCAAAAGAAGGGAGCTTGCCCCTCTCCTCGCATTACAAATTTGGCGCAGCTTTTAATGCTGTTTAGCTCCTCGAAAATTTGTCATGCGAAGTAGGTTCGTCGTGTGGATGCTGGTGCGCATTATGCATGACTGTGGTAGTTGAGAATGTAACGTTTGAGAGCTCCATATAGTCTAGCGTGATGCAACGATGATTCTATCCCTGAAAGCGCCTCGGTCTATACGGAATCCAACAATGATACAAGGCAATTATCGATTTACTTTACAAGATACAATTATGATGAGATTGTTTATTATACAAGATACTTGACAAAAAGCGACAACAAGGAAACATTACAGCTGTATGAAATTGACACAGCAACAGAATTCCTTTACTCCTTCAGCCCCGATAGTAAACTCATTTAGTCGAAAGCTATGTCAATTCGAAATCTCCTGGGAGTACCGATATAGCGGACGATTTTTTGAACATTGACGACATCACTTTTGCCCGCAATGAGAAACACGAAAGACAGCAAAAAGTGTAGAAGGAGAACAGTTTTTTAAGCCGAAAAAAATTTCATCCAGGAAGAGACTCAGACTTCCGGAGGGGGCAACCGCTTATCCTGAAGCTTCTGTGCATGCTGCGTGCTTGAGCATTTTTCGTCTCGCGGCTCAGAAGTACTATGCTCAGAGGGGCACGGGCACGACGAAAAGGCAGCAATTGTGTTCGTAGCATACAAATTATTTGAGACAGCATTTCCAACATCGTCACAACCTGGAGGTCGGACTCATCGTCACAAATCGCAGCCAGTTGCAAATGGTTATACGTATTTCATAGTGAAGATGTTGCTTTCACAAAAAATCTTCGCAACAAATTTTGCTTTATTTTTCGGCTCAGTTCAAGTGCTTTTCGTTTTCCACACGACTAATTCATCTGTACATATAGACTCGTATAATTGTACTCCGCGTTCATAGTACGCTAAACAACTTGTTCGTCTCGAAGATCGACCAGTGTTGAGTGACAAAGAAATCTATTTCGACGAGAGGGTGATCGACGTGAAACGCTTTGTCTTCGTCACGCATCGAATGTCGTTGATCGTACTCGTAAGTAGCTGCTGGTTGTGAGTTTCGAATATTAGAAACGTCGCGCCTGCTTGATTTCTCATTGAGTGAAACAGGAGAGGTGGAAGACGCTGTGTGGCTCTTAATCGAAGGAAGTATAAGAATTCGAACATCGAAAAAAGCCGGTTTTTTACAACAACGCGACCTACTTCGAACTTTCGAGATCAGAGCAAAAAGATAGTCTGACCCAGTTCGTCGTCAGTGCGTGTAAAAAGCGAAAAACGCCTCTCTGTCCTGACGCCACTTGTTTCGCACCTGGAGAAGCAACAGGACCAAACAGCCAAGGAGTCGCAGGATTATGCAAGACAAATTTTACCTGAGTCCAAACTTTTGTAATATCATGTTAGCTTCATAAAGATAAAACGCATGACAAACAAAGCATCAAAAGGTAATTTTCTATACCATCTTGCAGGCAAGAGTGCGTGACGAGTTTGGGACGCTCAAAATTTGTCATGCATATCGCCCATCCGACACCATGCCGATTTCCTCCAAGACCTCGTCTATGCACTGCAAAAGCATCGTACTCGTAGTATTGCAATACAAAGTAGCTCAACATGACAAATGGAATTTGTCATGCTGATTTAGCTTGAAAAAGAAATTTGTAATGCATAACTGCAATTAGTACGAGTGCGATACTTTTGCAGTTCATATCGTCTGAGTGCAAATGATATGACAGTGCACAACTCCCCCCCCCTCATTTGTATAGCATGATCAGCAACAGAATACAAGCGCCATCGGGCCTGGAGCCTGTGCATGACAAATTTATGTACCGACTGTAGTACTGTTTGGGCTTTCGAGCAACGACATGCGTGCAAATGTCGACAACGACATCGTCGAGTACACTGCTTGCATCTACAGCATCACTCGGTTTGTTATTTCACTCATTTATCTTCTTCTTCTTCGTGCTTTTCATCTTCAGCTTGTTATTGTGAACAAGGAAATTTGTCGGAATTCGGAAAACGTCAGCGCTTGTCGCCGGTGCTGTTTATCATCTTGAAGTTCATATTTTTCGTAATCCGGTTGAGAATTTGAGAGCTTCTAGTAACGGTTCAAAAACAGCATTACAGATTCAGAAAAAGTTCAGAAGTGTCTTGCTGTCGCACCCTACCGCGACGCTCTTTGAGCGGTGCTTCTCATATCTATGTATTTCCCTGTTGTTGAAGAAGAGATTTTTATTTTTATATTTCCACAAAAGAAAACTAACCTTTGCCACGACCTGGGGCGGTCGGTGCTGTGCGTAAAAACGTAAAATGTGCGACGGTTTGCCGGTACAGCAATACAAATTTTGTGCGTGTCATCTTCTTCATCGTCTTCACGTTCTTTGTCCTTCAGCGCGTTTTCTTTCTTTCAGCGAAACGAAAAACCATCGGTGGACAAAACTTGCATGTACAGCTTTTTTCACAGAGAGATCGCGAAGAGCAACATCATCGGATCGTGAAGAACAGCACTATAACTTCATTTTCAAAATGTCGGTCGCCAGAGAACGGAAGTAGAAATATAAGTAAGCGCAATTCTAAAAACAAATATCTTTGTGCCAGCACCAGAGCCATCTCGTCTTCATCATCATTATCATCTTCTTTCTTTTTCTCCTCGGGCGGGTTTGCCAATCGTTCGGTTCAAAATTCGGTGTAGTAACTGTGCTGTACTGAAGTTAGTGTTTGCAAAACCCCTTCTGTATCTCGTGAAGTTGATCTTTCAGTCGCAGAATACCTAAGGCGGTGGTGAGATCGGCAGGTGGTCGAGGTTTCTCCGGAAGCAGGCCCGGATGTAACGCGCCCGATCCATCTGGTTGGCAGCCCACTGCTGTCCGTTGTTGTCGTTCTGCACTGCTGCGTTTTTCCGGTCGTCATGGATGCGGCCGAGGATGGTGGTCAGACGCGCCAAAGATAGATTTTGGAGCTTCTCGGCGATGCTGTTGTTCCCCGCCGCGGCGAACTGTGTGTCGTTCCGCGCCTGTGGAGACAGAATCGAAAAAATCCATCCCTTCTGGTAGTCGTCGTCCACGTTCCCAGCGCCCCAGTGCACGTCAACGGTGTCAACCCGCTGCACGATAGGTGCGCCGTTGATACCCGCTGGGGGGGCAGGTTGTAAGTTTTGGTTCGCGGCGGGAGCGGGGGGTCCACCTGCACCACCGGCTCCTCCTCCACCAGCAACTCCTGCACCGCCAGCACCTCCTCCACCAGCAGCTCCTGCACCACCCGCAATTCCTCCTCCGCCTCCGCCTCCGGCCGGCGGAATAGGTCCGAATCCTCCTGGCGGCGCGCCCGCACCTCCTCCGAATCCTCCTCCTAGTCCCGGCGGGGGGCCGGCCATGCCAACCGGATAAACCTGTTGCTGTTGCGGGTACACCTGTTGGTGCGGTTGGTTTGGGTACATCTGCTGCTGCTGATGCATCTGCTGCTGCTGATGCATCTGTTGCTGTTGGTACATCTGCTGCGGCTGGTAGTACTGGTGCGGGAATTGGTTTTGCTGTTGGATCATGCATAGCAATTTTTTGTGCAGCTTCTCGTGAGCCGCCACAACCATGCTTTCCTCCATGCAGACGAAGGCATATTTGCAATCCATAAAAGCTCCCGTCCTATGATTTTTGCTTCGCTACGGAAGCGGAGGCCAACGCCTTCGCCAGCGATCTGCAGGTTTTCTGCCGCATCGGGATGGACTGCACCAGCGTGAGAAATACGCAGGCCCAGCAGCTCTTCAGCGTGTTTGATTCGCAGCTAGGAAAAGAGCTCTGCAGCCCCATGATGGAGCACGTGTTCCCCTTCGGCCGCTACACCAGCGCGGTGGACGGAGAAAACTACGCCTACAAACCGTTTGACCGCATTATCCGCATGTGGCTCACTGATGACGACTATGAGGGCATCAATTTGAAGAAAAGGAAACTGGAGAACGGTGGGAGTGAATTTCCAGAGACGAATATCGGCGATACGGCAACCTGGCTCGACGTTGCGCGGACCGTGCTGTCGCGGCGGCTCGAAATCGAGAATAACGAGGACCTCCTCGCCCCTATTGAGATCCAGTGCTTTTTCGGCAACAAGACAATCGAAGAGCTCAGACGCGAAAAGAAGAAAGAGCAAGAGGAAGCTATGGCCTGCTCAGGCACTGCAGCAATCTCACCTACCAACATGAAATATAAAAGAGTGCATGTGCAGGCAGTGGCTCGCGAGCACGAGTTTAGTATAAATGTTATCTTGCTTCCACTGCCCAGTGTCTTGCGTTTGCAAATGTTATAGAATATGTCCTACGGCGACTTCATAGTTTGGAGGGCGGATTAAGGCGGCGTAAGTATGCGGAGCCTTCAAACGGCTTGCAGATCTGACTGACTGGTCAAATTGTACTGCCTGAGCATTCCATATGCGACGAAAAGGAGGTGGAGATACAAAAGATATAAAGTACTCAAAGCTTTCGATGTGCGACCGAGCAGGATTTCGTCTCTTCGAGGTATAGGACTGCAGGGATTTTCTCTTCCTCCGAGCGGAATTGAATTTGCAAATTATTTCGGATGAGCTGAATCGGAAAAAAAAATTAATATATTTTCCAAACGCGCGGCATTTTCAAGTAATGTTGATGGCAAGGAAAAAGACAGAGTATGGTCGCGGGCCAGACAAGGAGACCTTCACTTCTTTGTTGTACTACATTGAGCGCACTATCGGTATGGACTCCATATCGATGGTCACCAAAGAGTGCGAGAGGCGAAACGCGGTTTATTTTCTGCGAGAGAAAATTTCTGCGAGAGAAAAAGACGGAAGAACTTCGAGAGAAAACATGCGTGCAAATGTCGACAACGACATTCTCCCGATGATAATGGGTCCTTCGCAGCTACAGACTGAAAAACAATAAAACGCAGGCACTTCTTCTTCTAGCGACTCTGTATTTGTGGATGCTCGACTTCTACACCGCTAAAATGAGGGGTTTTCGGGGATCATGCTAGAGCACCACATGACTCCGAAAAAAGAGCAGGCTTTCAAGACTTCGGTCCCCGCGTGAAGGCGTGAGCGGTTTTTGCTGCCACTCCTGCAAAGCCTCACGGTATGTTGTTTTTTTAAATTTTTGTCATGCAAAAGTGGTTATACTGTGATGAGCCAGTGAAGCCACGGTAGCAATAGATGCATCACAAACATGCTGTAGCAGAGAGCACTATTGGGGTGTTCGCATGACAAATCAGTTCGAAAAAGCCCTACCTTTTTACCTCGATGCAGCGACGAAGGAAGTGGTCACCATCGGGGCACCGCTATGGGACGCAAATATGTCTGGGTGAGGAAACTTGTGATGCTGGACTGTGGATGATGGAAGGAAAACACTTTCGAATGCAGCCAAGCATGACAAGTTTGTAAAGCGCTTTTCCATACATAGTTCGCATGAAGAACTACGTTTTTGTATGTACAAAAAAGAGCACAACTTTCGCTGGTCATGCGTATACTATAGAGACATTTTGATTGCACAGGATCAGGAATATTTAGAAGACCAGCATTACAAGTTCCACCTTGTTTCGCATGTTTCAAGACCCAGACACCAGATTTGCAGTGCATAACCCCAAACCAAGTATAAAATGGAGTACGATGCCTTCTACTACCGCAAGCCCCTGATGCTCGGCAACGCGACGCACTGGTATACAGAATTTGGTTTTGTGGCTCTTCTTTTTGCATGACAAATGAAATCTTGGAGACGGTTTATGCATGACAAATTTTCATACTCTATCTTTTCTTGACATTTTGTAGATGCTAATGTAATTATGCAACTTGTGCTTCTGCTTGAGTTGAGAAAGGGAGTTGATTCAATTGACTTTCGGTACCGAGAAAAAAACAACAACAGGACCGTCGTGGACCAGAAGCCGGATCCTTTCTTATGAAAGTGGTGCACAAAAAAAGCTCCCTCTGTGCCTAATTTGCCATGCCAAATTCTACTTCTCACACAAGCCAAATCAAACGTTTTGTAGAGCCAGCCCCAGGTGCTGCTTGACAAGCTGCACATGAGCGACTTTTTATGCGGAATCGGACATAGTCGTCGTTTTGTCATGCATTCAAACAAAAGAGAGGGCGAGGGCGACGGTGAGGGAGGGGTATCAGTAACTTGTGCACGGTCATATTTATCGCGAGGAAAGTTCCCCCTCCCCATACTGCGCAGATATATTTTTGGAAATTTGTGATGCCGGTTTGTGGTCAGAAATCGTGTCTGTCTTGCAAGAAGGGAGGCCCAGACGCGGTCTGTGATGCTTTTGAGCCTACAGCATCGACTGTGGTCATGCTGAGCTCCTAGGCCAAAACCTCTGCACTCAGGCTTGATATGGGCCTGTAGTCCTCTACTGCACGACAAATCTGGTTTGTGTACGAAAATCCAGCATCAGAAACTTCGTCTTGATATGGTGGGAGAGAAGACATGCGTGCAAATGTCGACAACGACATCGTCGAGTACACTGCTTGCATCTACAGCACCACTCGGTTTGTTATTTCACTCATTTATCTTCTTCTTCTTCGTGCTTTTCATCTTCAGCTTGTTATTGTGAACAAGGAAATTTGTCGGAATTCGGAAAACGTCAGCGCTTGTCGCCGGTGCTGTTTATCATCTTGAAGTTCATATTTTTCGTAATCCGGTTGAGAATTTGAGAGCTTCTAGTAACGGTTCAAAAACAGCATTACAGATTCAGAAAAAGTTCAGAAGTGTCTTGCTGTCGCACCCTACCGCGACGCTCTTTGAGCGGTGCTTCTCATATCTATGTATTTCCCTGTTGTTGAAGAAGAGATTTTTATTTTTATATTTCCACAAAAGAAAACTAACCTTTGCCACGACCTGGGGCGGTCGGTGCTGTGCGTAAAAACGTAAAATGTGCGACGGTTTGCCGGTACAGCAATACAAATTTTGTGCGTGTCATCTTCTTCATCGTCTTCACGTTCTTTGTCCTTCAGCGCGTTTTCTTTCTTTCAGCGAAACGAAAAACCATCGGTGGACAAAACTTGCATGTACAGCTTTTTTCACAGAGAGATCGCGAAGAGCAACATCATCGGATCGTGAAGAACAGCACTATAACTTCATTTTCAAAATGTCGGTCGCCAGAGAACGGAAGTAGAAATATAAGTAAGCGCAATTCTAAAAACAAATATCTTTGTGCCAGCACCAGAGCCATCTCGTCTTCATCATCATTATCATCTTCTTTCTTTTTCTCCTCGGGCGGGTTTGCCAATCGTTCGGTTCAAAATTCGGTGTAGTAACTGTGCTGTACTGAAGTTAGTGTTTGCAAAACCCCTTCTGTATCTCGTGAAGTTGATCTTTCAGTCGCAGAATACCTAAGGCGGTGGTGAGATCGGCAGGTGGTCGAGGTTTCTCCGGAAGCAGGCCCGGATGTAACGCGCCCGATCCATCTGGTTGGCAGCCCACTGCTGTCCGTTGTTGTCGTTCTGCACTGCTGCGTTTTTCCGGTCGTCATGGATGCGGCCGAGGATGGTGGTCAGACGCGCCAAAGATAGATTTTGGAGCTTCTCGGCGATGCTGTTGTTCCCCGCCGCGGCGAACTGTGTGTCGTTCCGCGCCTGTGGAGACAGAATCGAAAAAATCCATCCCTTCTGGTAGTCGTCGTCCACGTTCCCAGCGCCCCAGTGCACGTCAACGGTGTCAACCCGCTGCACGATAGGTGCGCCGTTGATACCCGCTGGGGGGGCAGGTTGTAAGTTTTGGTTCGCGGCGGGAGCGGGGGGTCCACCTGCACCACCGGCTCCTCCTCCACCAGCAACTCCTGCACCGCCAGCACCTCCTCCACCAGCAGCTCCTGCACCACCCGCAATTCCTCCTCCGCCTCCGCCTCCGGCCGGCGGAATAGGTCCGAATCCTCCTGGCGGCGCGCCCGCACCTCCTCCGAATCCTCCTCCTAGTCCCGGCGGGGGGCCGGCCATGCCAACCGGATAAACCTGTTGCTGTTGCGGGTACACCTGTTGGTGCGGTTGGTTTGGGTACATCTGCTGCTGCTGATGCATCTGCTGCTGCTGATGCATCTGTTGCTGTTGGTACATCTGCTGCGGCTGGTAGTACTGGTGCGGGAATTGGTTTTGCTGTTGGATCATGCATAGCAATTTTTTGTGCAGCTTCTCGTGAGCCGCCACAACCATGCTTTCCTCCATGCAGACGAAGGCATATTTGCAATCCATAAAAGCTCCCGTCCTATGATTTTTGCTTCGCTACGGAAGCGGAGGCCAACGCCTTCGCCAGCGATCTGCAGGTTTTCTGCCGCATCGGGATGGACTGCACCAGCGTGAGAAATACGCAGGCCCAGCAGCTCTTCAGCGTGTTTGATTCGCAGCTAGGAAAAGAGCTCTGCAGCCCCATGATGGAGCACGTGTTCCCCTTCGGCCGCTACACCAGCGCGGTGGACGGAGAAAACTACGCCTACAAACCGTTTGACCGCATTATCCGCATGTGGCTCACTGATGACGACTATGAGGGCATCAATTTGAAGAAAAGGAAACTGGAGAACGGTGGGAGTGAATTTCCAGAGACGAATATCGGCGATACGGCAACCTGGCTCGACGTTGCGCGGACCGTGCTGTCGCGGCGGCTCGAAATCGAGAATAACGAGGACCTCCTCGCCCCTATTGAGATCCAGTGCTTTTTCGGCAACAAGACAATCGAAGAGCTCAGACGCGAAAAGAAGAAAGAGCAAGAGGAAGCTATGGCCTGCTCAGGCACTGCAGCAATCTCACCTACCAACATGAAATATAAAAGAGTGCATGTGCAGGCAGTGGCTCGCGAGCACGAGTTTAGTATAAATGTTATCTTGCTTCCACTGCCCAGTGTCTTGCGTTTGCAAATGTTATAGAATATGTCCTACGGCGACTTCATAGTTTGGAGGGCGGATTAAGGCGGCGTAAGTATGCGGAGCCTTCAAACGGCTTGCAGATCTGACTGACTGGTCAAATTGTACTGCCTGAGCATTCCATATGCGACGAAAAGGAGGTGGAGATACAAAAGATATAAAGTACTCAAAGCTTTCGATGTGCGACCGAGCAGGATTTCGTCTCTTCGAGGTATAGGACTGCAGGGATTTTCTCTTCCTCCGAGCGGAATTGAATTTGCAAATTATTTCGGATGAGCTGAATCGGAAAAAAAAATTAATATATTTTCCAAACGCGCGGCATTTTCAAGTAATGTTGATGGCAAGGAAAAAGACAGAGTATGGTCGCGGGCCAGACAAGGAGACCTTCACTTCTTTGTTGTACTACATTGAGCGCACTATCGGTATGGACTCCATATCGATGGTCACCAAAGAGTGCGAGAGGCGAAACGCGGTTTATTTTCTGCGAGAGAAAATTTCTGCGAGAGAAAAAGACGGAAGAACTTCGAGAGAAAACATGCGTGCAAATGTCGACAACGACATTCTCCCGATGATAATGGGTCCTTCGCAGCTACAGACTGAAAAACAATAAAACGCAGGCACTTCTTCTTCTAGCGACTCTGTATTTGTGGATGCTCGACTTCTACACCGCTAAAATGAGGGGTTTTCGGGGATCATGCTAGAGCACCACATGACTCCGAAAAAAGAGCAGGCTTTCAAGACTTCGGTCCCCGCGTGAAGGCGTGAGCGGTTTTTGCTGCCACTCCTGCAAAGCCTCACGGTATGTTGTTTTTTTAAATTTTTCTTTCTACGATAGTTCACAATTCCCCCTCTCCCCCATTTATCATGCGACTTCCCCCTCATTTGTCATGCTAAATCCACACTCCAGCTGCTGCCTTGAGGTTCTGTCAGCATGGCAAATTTCGGAGGCACGTCGAGCAGTACTATACTAAATCGGGCACGCTGATTTGTCATGCGCAGGCTCCTTCTGTGCTGGTGCTCGTATTGCTATGCATGCCATACGAATGAAGGACGAGGGGGGGGGGGTTGTGCACTCTCCTACTTATGCACTCCTACAAGTAGTTGGAGATGAAGGAAGATACTACTAGCACGTAGATTTATGCATTGCAAATTTGTTAGGGTCTGGAAGACTGACAAATTGAAATTGTGATGCGGATTCTGGAATAGACAAAAATTTGTGTTGCATACTCAGCAAAAGATGTCACATTTCCTTCTTGAAAGTGCCTTTTACACGCTGGCTGCGCATGGAGAAGTTCGCCCAGAATTGGACAGGCTCGGCATGAAGATGCATTCCGCTTCCATCTTGCAAATGGAAAAAGAACCGCATGACAAGTTAGTACGATCCGCCTCCTTCCAGACCTCGACATGCTGTGTGCAACGGATTATAACGCCACACTCAGTTGTCTGCCCTCTCCTTCACGGCACCGAACGTAGAAGATCAAAGACAATTTCGATGTACAACTTTATCTTTTTCTCCACCTACAGGTACCATCGATGCTGTTCCAGCCTTTCTTCCGCGACGTGTACGGTTCCCATGCCAGTCGTTCTCGACGGAACGAAACACCTGGAAGCGCGATGGATTTCCAGGGAGGCGTTGTAGGCTATGGCGTTCTCAAATGTTACACTCTCAACTGTTTACATGAATTTGTGATGCAAGAATGTGAAAAGCAAAAGAAGGGAGCTTGCCCCTCTCCTCGCATTACAAATTTGGCGCAGCTTTTAATGCTGTTTAGCTCCTCGAAAATTTGTCATGCGAAGTAGGTTCGTCGTGTGGATGCTGGTGCGCATTATGCATGACTGTGGTAGTTGAGAATGTAACGTTTGAGAGCTCCATATAGTCTAGCGTGATGCAACGATGATTCTATCCCTGAAAGCGCCTCGGTCTATACGGAATCCAACAATGATACAAGGCAATTATCGATTTACTTTACAAGATACAATTATGATGAGATTGTTTATTATACAAGATACTTGACAAAAAGCGACAACAAGGAAACATTACAGCTGTATGAAATTGACACAGCAACAGAATTCCTTTACTCCTTCAGCCCCGATAGTAAACTCATTTAGTCGAAAGCTATGTCAATTCGAAATCTCCTGGGAGTACCGATATAGCGGACGATTTTTTGAACATTGACGACATCACTTTTGCCCGCAATGAGAAACACGAAAGACAGCAAAAAGTGTAGAAGGAGAACAGTTTTTTAAGCCGAAAAAAATTTCATCCAGGAAGAGACTCAGACTTCCGGAGGGGGCAACCGCTTATCCTGAAGCTTCTGTGCATGCTGCGTGCTTGAGCATTTTTCGTCTCGCGGCTCAGAAGTACTATGCTCAGAGGGGCACGGGCACGACGAAAAGGCAGCAATTGTGTTCGTAGCATACAAATTATTTGAGACAGCATTTCCAACATCGTCACAACCTGGAGGTCGGACTCATCGTCACAAATCGCAGCCAGTTGCAAATGGTTATACGTATTTCATAGTGAAGATGTTGCTTTCACAAAAAATCTTCGCAACAAATTTTGCTTTATTTTTCGGCTCAGTTCAAGTGCTTTTCGTTTTCCACACGACTAATTCATCTGTACATATAGACTCGTATAATTGTACTCCGCGTTCATAGTACGCTAAACAACTTGTTCGTCTCGAAGATCGACCAGTGTTGAGTGACAAAGAAATCTATTTCGACGAGAGGGTGATCGACGTGAAACGCTTTGTCTTCGTCACGCATCGAATGTCGTTGATCGTACTCGTAAGTAGCTGCTGGTTGTGAGTTTCGAATATTAGAAACGTCGCGCCTGCTTGATTTCTCATTGAGTGAAACAGGAGAGGTGGAAGACGCTGTGTGGCTCTTAATCGAAGGAAGTATAAGAATTCGAACATCGAAAAAAGCCGGTTTTTTACAACAACGCGACCTACTTCGAACTTTCGAGATCAGAGCAAAAAGATAGTCTGACCCAGTTCGTCGTCAGTGCGTGTAAAAAGCGAAAAACGCCTCTCTGTCCTGACGCCACTTGTTTCGCACCTGGAGAAGCAACAGGACCAAACAGCCAAGGAGTCGCAGGATTATGCAAGACAAATTTTACCTGAGTCCAAACTTTTGTAATATCATGTTAGCTTCATAAAGATAAAACGCATGACAAACAAAGCATCAAAAGGTAATTTTCTATACCATCTTGCAGGCAAGAGTGCGTGACGAGTTTGGGACGCTCAAAATTTGTCATGCATATCGCCCATCCGACACCATGCCGATTTCCTCCAAGACCTCGTCTATGCACTGCAAAAGCATCGTACTCGTAGTATTGCAATACAAAGTAGCTCAACATGACAAATGGAATTTGTCATGCTGATTTAGCTTGAAAAAGAAATTTGTAATGCATAACTGCAATTAGTACGAGTGCGATACTTTTGCAGTTCATATCGTCTGAGTGCAAATGATATGACAGTGCACAACTCCCCCCCCCTCATTTGTATAGCATGATCAGCAACAGAATACAAGCGCCATCGGGCCTGGAGCCTGTGCATGACAAATTTATGTACCGACTGTAGTACTGTTTGGGCTTTCGAGCAACGACATGCGTGCAAATGTCGACAACGACATCGTCGAGTACACTGCTTGCATCTACAGCATCACTCGGTTTGTTATTTCACTCATTTATCTTCTTCTTCTTCGTGCTTTTCATCTTCAGCTTGTTATTGTGAACAAGGAAATTTGTCGGAATTCGGAAAACGTCAGCGCTTGTCGCCGGTGCTGTTTATCATCTTGAAGTTCATATTTTTCGTAATCCGGTTGAGAATTTGAGAGCTTCTAGTAACGGTTCAAAAACAGCATTACAGATTCAGAAAAAGTTCAGAAGTGTCTTGCTGTCGCACCCTACCGCGACGCTCTTTGAGCGGTGCTTCTCATATCTATGTATTTCCCTGTTGTTGAAGAAGAGATTTTTATTTTTATATTTCCACAAAAGAAAACTAACCTTTGCCACGACCTGGGGCGGTCGGTGCTGTGCGTAAAAACGTAAAATGTGCGACGGTTTGCCGGTACAGCAATACAAATTTTGTGCGTGTCATCTTCTTCATCGTCTTCACGTTCTTTGTCCTTCAGCGCGTTTTCTTTCTTTCAGCGAAACGAAAAACCATCGGTGGACAAAACTTGCATGTACAGCTTTTTTCACAGAGAGATCGCGAAGAGCAACATCATCGGATCGTGAAGAACAGCACTATAACTTCATTTTCAAAATGTCGGTCGCCAGAGAACGGAAGTAGAAATATAAGTAAGCGCAATTCTAAAAACAAATATCTTTGTGCCAGCACCAGAGCCATCTCGTCTTCATCATCATTATCATCTTCTTTCTTTTTCTCCTCGGGCGGGTTTGCCAATCGTTCGGTTCAAAATTCGGTGTAGTAACTGTGCTGTACTGAAGTTAGTGTTTGCAAAACCCCTTCTGTATCTCGTGAAGTTGATCTTTCAGTCGCAGAATACCTAAGGCGGTGGTGAGATCGGCAGGTGGTCGAGGTTTCTCCGGAAGCAGGCCCGGATGTAACGCGCCCGATCCATCTGGTTGGCAGCCCACTGCTGTCCGTTGTTGTCGTTCTGCACTGCTGCGTTTTTCCGGTCGTCATGGATGCGGCCGAGGATGGTGGTCAGACGCGCCAAAGATAGATTTTGGAGCTTCTCGGCGATGCTGTTGTTCCCCGCCGCGGCGAACTGTGTGTCGTTCCGCGCCTGTGGAGACAGAATCGAAAAAATCCATCCCTTCTGGTAGTCGTCGTCCACGTTCCCAGCGCCCCAGTGCACGTCAACGGTGTCAACCCGCTGCACGATAGGTGCGCCGTTGATACCCGCTGGGGGGGCAGGTTGTAAGTTTTGGTTCGCGGCGGGAGCGGGGGGTCCACCTGCACCACCGGCTCCTCCTCCACCAGCAACTCCTGCACCGCCAGCACCTCCTCCACCAGCAGCTCCTGCACCACCCGCAATTCCTCCTCCGCCTCCGCCTCCGGCCGGCGGAATAGGTCCGAATCCTCCTGGCGGCGCGCCCGCACCTCCTCCGAATCCTCCTCCTAGTCCCGGCGGGGGGCCGGCCATGCCAACCGGATAAACCTGTTGCTGTTGCGGGTACACCTGTTGGTGCGGTTGGTTTGGGTACATCTGCTGCTGCTGATGCATCTGCTGCTGCTGATGCATCTGTTGCTGTTGGTACATCTGCTGCGGCTGGTAGTACTGGTGCGGGAATTGGTTTTGCTGTTGGATCATGCATAGCAATTTTTTGTGCAGCTTCTCGTGAGCCGCCACAACCATGCTTTCCTCCATGCAGACGAAGGCATATTTGCAATCCATAAAAGCTCCCGTCCTATGATTTTTGCTTCGCTACGGAAGCGGAGGCCAACGCCTTCGCCAGCGATCTGCAGGTTTTCTGCCGCATCGGGATGGACTGCACCAGCGTGAGAAATACGCAGGCCCAGCAGCTCTTCAGCGTGTTTGATTCGCAGCTAGGAAAAGAGCTCTGCAGCCCCATGATGGAGCACGTGTTCCCCTTCGGCCGCTACACCAGCGCGGTGGACGGAGAAAACTACGCCTACAAACCGTTTGACCGCATTATCCGCATGTGGCTCACTGATGACGACTATGAGGGCATCAATTTGAAGAAAAGGAAACTGGAGAACGGTGGGAGTGAATTTCCAGAGACAAATATCGGCAATACAACCTGGTTCGACGTTGCGCGGACCGTGCTGTCGCGGCGGCTCGAAATCGAGAATAACGCGGACCTCCTCGCCCCTATTGAGATCCAGTGCTTTTTCGGCAACAAGACAATCGAAGAGCTCAGACGCGAAAAGAAGAAAGAGCAAGAGGAAGCTATGGCCTGCTCAGGCACTGCAGCAATCTCACCTACCAACATGAAATATAAAAGAGTGCATGTGCAGGCAGTGGCTCGCGAGCACGAGTTTAGTATAAATGTTATCTTGCTTCCACTGCCCAGTGTCTTGCGTTTGCAAATGTTATAGAATATGTCCTACGGCGACTTCATAGTTTGGAGGGCGGATTAAGGCGGCGTAAGTATGCGGAGCCTTCAAACGGCTTGCAGATCTGACTGACTGGTCAAATTGTACTGCCTGAGCATTCCATATGCGACGAAAAGGAGGTGGAGATACAAAAGATATAAAGTACTCAAAGCTTTCGATGTGCGACCGAGCAGGATTTCGTCTCTTCGAGGTATAGGACTGCAGGGATTTTCTCTTCCTCCGAGCGGAATTGAATTTGCAAATTATTTCGGATGAGCTGAATCGGAAAAAAAAATTAATATATTTTCCAAACGCGCGGCATTTTCAAGTAATGTTGATGGCAAGGAAAAAGACAGAGTATGGTCGCGGGCCAGACAAGGAGACCTTCACTTCTTTGTTGTACATTGAGCGCACTATCGGTATGGACTCCATATCGATGGTCACCAAATAGTGCGAGAGGCGAAACGCGGTTTATTTTCTGCGAGAGAAAATTTCTGCGAGAGAAAAAGACGGAAGAACTTCGAGAGAAGACATGCGTGCAAATGTCGACAACGACATCCTCGAGTACAACTCTTGGCTTTTGGTGGTGGCCTGCGTAGTATAGGGGAACTCTCCGTTGCAAAACAACACTTCTGGCATGCAAGTTTTCGAGGACCTCGGCCTCGCAACCCAATTCCGCAACGCGATGCAGGAGTCTGGGTTCACCAGTTACACTGCGAAACATCCTCTCTTGGTCAATAACCAGATGCAACTTCCGTTTACCTGGGACAACATGGTGGGTTCACTGCGCGATGTGGTCGCCGTGAGATGGGGTGATGTGAAAGGCATCTGGTGACCAAAAATCCTGCTAGCGAGACACGACGGTACGATATTGATCATAAGGACGTTTTCTGTTTCAGCTGCTGATTCCTCTTGCGGCGCATGGTGCTGTTTTTGAAACAGCCGGCCGTGCCGCTGCGGCTAATGATCTAGAGCTTCTGTATCTGTTGGCCAACAGGAGTTTACTAGTGCTTCGATGGATAGTTCCAGTTCGAGTTTGGTCACTGGATAGGTCGATTTTGATGTTGCTTGCCTTGAATTTGATGTTCTGCACATCGCTATCTCGGTTGACTCAAAAAGTCTCGGTTTTATTTTCTCCGTGTGCTTAGGCTTAAATGAAGTGAGAGAGTTCGTCTTCAAATCGCTTTCGTCACGAACCGGTCGCACTCGTCTTTGCAAATCGCACCCAATTTCAAATTGTTATACAGCTTATCTGAAATCGACACGAATTGCAAATGGTAATAGAGCTGCATTAAGTATTCCTCATGTTTTTCTCATTGTGTGATGCTGATGTGAGAGTCGAGCTTCACTTGTTTCGTCAAAATTCGTATATATTCCCTTTCCACGAATGGTCAAAATGGCCTTCATATATCAAATCGCTTCTGTCGTGTTTTTTTCTATGCCGAATGATAAAGTTGACCAATCAAAAAAGGACTTTTGCAGGTTTTTTTGTGCGAATTAGTTTGACACTGTGTCGAACCTGAACCAGCCTACCAGGTCACCACCCTCTTGTTAGACGCGGGTAGTTTGTTAGGTTGAGTTAATCTCTCCTCCTCAAAGAATACGGTAGAAAGAAGAAAGCGCGTTGCTGTGAAAATATTTTTTTAAGGATCGCATCATCTTCTAAAGTAAGCCGAAGCTTGGAGTTCCCTCCCAAAGCTGACCTCGCAACTTTCTCTACCTTTTTATCTTGTAATCTGAAAGCGAACCGCAACCGATTATGTCGCTGTTTTCGGACTGCCTTTATTCACTGCAAAAATGTCTGGGTCGGGAAGAGTCGGGACTTGTAATGCTGTCTGCGGATTCTAAAAATATCTGTGTTGGATGAACAGCAAGAAGAGTCCAGTTCTTGGCACGCGGAGGTGCGTTTCTCATGCGTGATCAGCATCGTGAACTCTCAAAAAAACTGTGATGCTAGGAGCTGCATCACTGACCTCATGGGTTATGCAAAATGTGCATGACAAACTCCGACTCTTCCAGCAGACCCAGACATATTTGTATTTGATAGCCTTAAGGCGCTGCACCGCGGGAATGAGGAGGACCTGCTGGTCGAGGAGATTGTGGAACAGGAAAACACCGGCAAAAAGAAGTATGGGAGTGTCAGAGCCGAAAGCGACAAAATCGAAACACTTGCGACGCACAAAATCGACGCCAGTGAAGCCCAGAGCTTCTCTTGCAGTCGGCGCATGACAAATTTTCCCCGGCCTGGAAGCGAATCTGTCATGCAGTTTAGGGCAATAGAGCTGCTCTCTGTCATGCTAGCCAGCAGCCCAACACTTAACCCTCACCAGGACTACAATCCGCCTTCCTTGCATCCCCTGCACCAGAGTCGCTTTTTGCGTGGCATTTTGTGCATTACATTTCATTTTGATTTTGTCGATTTCGATCCTGACATTTCCATAAGAAGGGAACGGAATACCCGAATGCGGGGTCCAGCAAGGATACCTGCGTCCCGTTTTCCCTTATCCATTGCAAATATGTATGGGTCTGGAGCAACACAAGACTTGCAAAATAAATGCTGGCGCTGGACCCACATACGACCCCCAAACCTTGTACATGCGCGTTGCGGAATATTTTCAAATATGTGTGCAAATGTCGACAACGACATCGTCGAGTACAACTCGAAATAGAAGTATCGTTTATGAAAGAGTAAGGGTTGTAACAGGGACTTACAGTGCCAGCTTTAAAACAAAATTGCGCAGTACCTCTGTTGGCACCGCCTGCTACCCGCGCTGCACCCCTGTATTCCCACCTGGCGCACCTAGTTGTAGCTCGTCGTTCTCTCTGGGGACGCCGAAAGCCACAAACTTTTGTTGCAGCAAGCACCACCAGTGTTGCGCCAATTTTCTAGCAAAGCGAGAAAATACAGCTATAATCATTTAGCCGAGTCTTATCATAATTGTTTAGATTTATGGTCGTCACCAAAAGAGCCTCCCTATGTACTTTAGTCTTGATGTCCGTGTACTTGATGTAATAGTTCAAGAACAAATGGATTGAGGTGACCGGCAGCCGCAGCAGCAAGACCCCCTAGTGCCGACGTTACGTCTCTTTTGCCGTGCGACCGCCCTGCAATCGCCCATTGAGCCACAGCTTTTTCAACGAACCACGTGCGCTCATCCAAGAGGACATCTTCCAAGTCGTGTACTTACTCTCACCGACTCGACCTCGAGGCAATATCGAATTCAAATGTGTCTGGATCTGGAAAGTAGTCTTGTAATGTTGCTGGGAGTACCTGGACCGCGGAGTGGCTGCTCGTACAGCATGACAGCATGACATCGTGTTTTCCCTCTTCCAGAGTTCTTGCCAAGCGAGTCAGGATTCGTGCAGTTTAGCACTTTGCGCGTTTACAATCAACGTCGTTGTCCAGCACGATAAATAAAAAGCCGGCCACTCGCATTCATGCAACCGATCGTGTTGACTTTCAAATCTTGCAGCAAAATATCCAGCCCCAGACACGTTTTGTGCAATGTATGCATACGAAAATAACTAGCATTTACTTCGCGTGAACACCGTTGTAAGCGTCGACGAACAGAACATGAAGCGGAATTCCACCGCGAAGGCCTCTGCACCACCCGGCGCAACCTCGGCTACCGGCAGGAGCACTTCATCAACACGGCAGATTCGCAATGCGGCAGGCATTGAGAAGCAGATCGCGTTTGATCCCGAAAAAGTCACAAAGCTGCGGTGAGAAAAATGTTGGGGCAAAAGATACACATGTGCTGGAAAAAATTTACCCATACGCAGTTCATGCGCATTACAATCACATTGGAATTGACTATCGCCGGTCGTGCAAAATGAAAATATATAATGTAAAATGCAGGGCACTCCATGGATTTTGTAAATACTAGGTGCATGAGCTTTCGACGTTGTTCTATTGCCTCAAAATTTTGTTTCCCAGCATACATAATCAAGGACCTCTACAGCTGGACCATGCTTGACAGCTTCTTTGACGGGGATCAGTTAGTTCCGCCACCGAATCGCGTCAAGTGGCTGGTGGTCAAGCACGAGGCGGCAGCAGAAAAGGCAACCGAGGTAAGTACTAAGACGAAGAGCTTTGTCTTTGACATGCTGCCTGGTATTCTGTGTACTTAAAAACGGCCCCACCCCCCCAGAGTCAAGATCGTAATTCTGCAACACAAACCGCCAAGTTTTAGGAATCGCGCATGACAAGTTTCTCATTCTCTTCGCACTGTAGTGTTGATTAGCGAGGGCAGCCGCATCACAAAGACGCGCGGTTATCATCTTTACAGCATCGCAAAATCCAGAATACGACTAAAACTTGGAATTCCTTTCGTGGGGATGCGCGTTGCAAATCTTTCTGTCACTGCAAATCTGTGTGACAACTTTGGGATTTTTACTCAGGATACGTGGCACTTTCTATATTTTTTTTCATATCGCAGTCCCAGTCGCCTATTGATAAGAAAGACGAAAAGAGCGGCATACTTACACAGTTTTTTGATCCGTTTTGCACACTCAAATTGGATTTCAAAATTTCTTAACACAGGCCAGCGCAGACAATCAAGACTTCGATGAGAACGAGCAAAGCGAGTCCCTTTCCGAGCGTCTTCTCATGGAGGATGTGGTCGCGCAGCCATCATTCGGCGCGGACGGTGAACCCCGGCTTGCGGATATCAATCGAAAATAATTCTGGGTCTGGAAGAGTGCAGATATTTGTGTTTGTCATGCCGTTTTTGCATATCACTATCACAGGAAATCAGGCATGAAAGGCCTCAAATGACGGGTTTGCAGAACGCTGCGCAATGCCTAATTCGCATTACAAATCCACTCTTTCAATGGCAGGAAAAAGTGTGCAACTGCTGCTGGCCATGCATGACAATTTCTTACGTAGGCTGGTGGAATGCGCATGACAAATGTAGTGCACTTTTCCAGGAGGCTCGGACAGACTTGCAATGCATAGTGGATGACGAAGAGCTAATTGATTGGGACGACCAGAACGTGGCCTACCAGTTTATGCAAAAAAAGCGTTACAGTCACACGACGTTGCGTCGCAAAAAAAGGATGCAAAACAAACAACGTTTGTCATGCGCAGAATGCTTGCGAGCCTCTCGCTTCATGTGTGTTGTGCCTCACATATCTCTGCATTGCAATTTTCTCTGTCATGCGAGTCAAGTTTGTGATGCTGAATTCACTACAAATGCCTAAGGCTAACTGTCACACTTTTTTTCCTTTGATGCAGTTCATCGTCACTACACTACACCTATCCTCTGCAAATATGATAGTTTTAGGGACGTGTTGGAAACTGCGTGTCTGTCATGCAAGTTGGAGGAAAAACCAAAACGTCGTCTTAGAATTGCATACTAATATTTCCATCAAATCCAGCATGACAAACTGCCTAGCTTGTCGCAATTGTGCCTAGAAGCATCATGACGGACATAAAAGTTTCTCTGGCATTGCCAACCTTACCCTGCATACGCCGAGCCTGTCATCGTGATGCCGCAGCATGAAGAATTCGTTACCAGTGTTGATGAAGGAACCTTGCTGGATCGCGCTTTCGAGGCCCTGACACTGGACGACGCCCGCTCCTTTGTCTTCGACGAGATCTACATGTGCAAAAGCGTAGACGGCGAAAAGGTGTTTGATAGAATGTTGAAGAAGGTGCCCCCACGGTGGAAAGAGCACCGGGTTTATTCGTTGCGGGATATTGTAATGGGCGACCCGGTAGCGGTGTATTTCCCCGTGTGGACGAAGGTAGCACACAAGTATTTGTCCGATCGCGGGCCTGAAGAAAATAATCCTCGCATCCCGATAAACCGCAACTGTTGTTACGCAGTTTTGGAGCTTCCCGACAAAGAAGTCGAAAAACACGTGCGCGGGTCGGGGGGCATCGCGTTCACCGAGGCACACCGGAAAGAGTACGCAAGGACCATCATGCAGCACCTTTGGCGTGGACGCGTATTTTTTCCGGACGAGCTTGTGCGGAAAGCAATGTGCTGGGCAGACTACAAAGTGGAGGACGCAGTGACAGACCTGTGCGAAGCTGCTGCAAATTTCGTATCCAATGCAAATTTGTCTGGGTCCACCTCTGGAAAGATGCGGACGATTTATCGTGGGGGCCGTTGCTTGCCAGAGGCCTCTCTGTCTCCTACGGCATCACCGCATGACAAACTCTCTTCTATCACGGCAAAAGAGTGATCACTTTTGCCATTCACGCATGACACATCTCACTGCTCTTCAAATTTTGCATCACAAATCCAGACCCAGACACATTCGCAATGCATCACTTGAAGGTAGCAGCGAGGAAGCGAACGGCGAGGACGAGCAGCAGTATGCATTGCAAATACGTCTGGGTCTGGGAACGTGTGATGCTGCGTAGCGACTCATGAGGACGCCACAAGTGACGGCTCAGCATGACAAGTTTTTGAGTTACTATGTGTTGCCTATTCATCAGGAGCATGACAAACTGCGTTTTCGCCAGGCAAACCATGGGGACTATTCGTGTTGGATAAAAACGCGCATGACAACAGAGCTAAGCGTCCAAGTGTATGTTAGCTGAGCATGACAAACTTGCATTCGTCCTCCAGATTCAGACATATTTGCATTTGATAAGCAGCCCGAACGGGCAAAAGTGCGGAAAGTGCTGGCGGTATCAAATGCAGAAATGTCTGGGTCTGGAAGATTGCCAGGTTTGTGATGCATATTTTGCATAACTGATAATGCCTGTAAGTAATGCATGACCTAGCAGCGCAGATTTTTAAAGGGCCTTCTGATGCGTATTCCGCATGAGAAATGCGCACTCCGCGTAGCACAAACTGAACTCCTCTTGCTGGGCATGCAATGCAGATTTTTTTGGAATCCAAATTTAGCATTACAAATTCCAACCCTCCAGACCCAGACCTTTTTGCAGTTCATAGGCGGAGTGTTTGAGTAACGCAAACCCCGAACACTTTTGTCGAGCCCTGGTGTCCTCCTCAAGCCCGATGGAAGACGTGGGAATGCTAGCCGCGACAGTTGTAGGAGATATGGGGCAATCTACACTAGAAGGACAACAGACCTGGACGCCGCTTTCGCAGCTATCCGACCTCGACAAGCTAAATCTCTTGCAAAACCGCATTGAAGCATTAGCAACTCGCGTCGCCGGACCATGGGCATGGGCAACCCGATGGGATTTTCTGCTGACCGCGTGCCGCGATCTAGGAGTCCAGACCAGCGGCGATATGTCCTCGCGGCGAAACGAGATGCAGACTCTGGCAGGCCTGCAGGAGAAAGATTTTCCGAAGGTCATGGAAATGCTCGGGGTTGGTCGGTTCCTGAAGGACACGCTCGGAGAGGATTCAGCGGAGTTGCAGACGATGGTGGAGTTCCTGAAAGACTGCGAGTGGCGGAAGTGGCCGGAAGTGGTAAATCTTGAATAGATTTAACTGGACAGCAAGATGCAGAGTTGGTACGTGGACGAAGGGGATTTGGGGATTTTGTCTCTTCGAGGTATAGAATTGCAGGAGTTTTCCCCTCCTTCATCGAGTGGAATTGAATTTTACAGATCTCGCATGTACTATGTGGTCGGAAGAAAAATATAGAAAGGTGCTGCGACAAGTAAATAAGTACGTCCACTGCACAAACCCACCGCTACTTAGAAGAAGGAAATAAGTCAGCGAGTAACTCAGAACCTGCACGCTAGGACATCCTAGCACAACGAGTGGTTAGGGCCAAAGAGCACACAGTATATTCCCTTTTAACTTTAAGCCTAAGTGCAGTTTTGAACTCTGTGGAATATGATGTACTTCTGGTGAATTACCTTGCCATCGTTTCCTGCCGGTGCCTGTTTTGTTGTAGAAAGTGGCCGTACTGCTACTGGGCGCATTTGTCTGGAGTGTGTTCCTCGGATATCTGCCGAGATAGAGAGAGCGAAAAACAAAAAGCAAACCGAATCCGTTCCGTTACGTGCCTATCAATCTAATATCAGCACGATCCAAAATGCCCTCAATCTAATATCAGGCCCTTTTTCATCTCGCTCTTCACGATCCAAAATGCCCTTAGCAAGCGAATACGTTGGACATATTAGACCGCGTCTCCATACGGCAAGTGCGCGTTGATCTCATCATGTTTTGACGCCACTTTTCGGCTAGGATCCTTCGACGAAAAAAGTAAATAAGTTGCGCCCGGTCTGTGCTCCCGAAGGTATCATGACAATCCCGTTATAGACAACCATATGTGACCGTGACATTTCTTGTGAGAGGAAAACTTCTGTTCTTTCTTTTTGTGTGCCATTACATGTTGATCGAGCCTACCTCGTAATCCGCAACATAACCGAGAGCGAAAGCGGTGTCAGTGCAACGCAGACCATTGTCCGTCGGCTTTTTTGCTTTCGCCATTCTTCGAGAACTATCGCTTCGACGTTTTTTCGCTTTGGCTTTCGAATCGAAGTAGCGAGAAGCCCTTCCTTCCATTTCTTCATCATCGTTGACAGATTCTCCATAATCAACAAAACACCAACAGTGAAGCTTTTTTTCCAGGTGGGGAAAAATCTACGAAAAAGAATTCACATCTTGAAGAACAGTAAATGTACCAAAACTTAAAATTACAACTTTTCAAAATTACAACCGGTAAGAAATAAACGGAAAATTTACAATTTATACCCAGAGAACTACAAGCTAAAGCTTTTGCTTCTGATCGCTTAACAAGCTTTTGTAAGTACTGTTTGCGAAACGAAATATAGCACGCAAAGCCCTCGTCGTGTCCCCATGCACATTGATTGAAAATACAGCTCCACGTCCACTTGCATCCGTGGAAGATACCTAAAAATATTGTGATTGTATTCAAACTTCCCTTTAGCATTTTACCTTTGGACTTACAATACTATACGCTTCCCAGTGAGATTCCAAGTAGTTTAACTTATAACTTTTTCAAAAAGGCAACACATATTTGGTCCAGCAGCTCCTGAGCGGCTTTCACGACTGCCTGCAGCCTTACTCGTAACGGAGAAATCCGCACAAATTCTGGCTGTACTTGGCACAGCTCGCAAGACCTACGATTCCTTTTCCGCGTTCGCGTGCAATCAGCCTTTTCCGCGTTCGCGAGTGCCACACGTTAGTTTTTTTTTCTGTCTCCCCAGAAACAGAAAGAATACGCGACGAATAAGCTCATTAACAGCACGACAGCTGCAGCTGCTCGGGTACTTAAGTATCGTAGTCACTTCGTTATCACCGATTCAGGCACCGCTGCGAAGCGTCCTGTTTATAATCTTACAAAAATTTTTCAACGACAAGCACTAAAAAACTTTCAAAACGCCATGATGGATAGCAAGCTATAAACTATCGAAGCAGATTTCACTGTACAGACAGTATCGGGAAGCCCATAAATCAACTCGATTTCAAACCAACCGTCGCAGGAGGTGTCAAGTGGCTTTCTGTTGCCCAAAGGTGCTTCCTGCTTCAACTGGTCGCAAAGCGAGGATAAGGGGACAGTGTTACGTCGTGTATTTTTATACATACGATTTGTACAGTGACTGATATTTATATCAACGCCGTATTAATTAGTGCTTGTTTCAGCAAGCAAGGACGAAAAGATCAAGATGCCGCCCAAGGCAGCGGGACCAGCTGCGGCTCAAGCTGCACAGATCAAGCTGCCGAGCCCGGTAATCGAAGCGCCTATGCAGATATCAAATGCAAAAGTGTGTGGGTCTGGAAGATTGCAAACTTGTGATGCTGTGTTTGGATTCTAAAAAAAATTGTATTGCATGACCAGCAAGAGGACTCCAGTTTCCCCTACGCGGAGAGGGCATTTCTCATGCGGTAGAGGTATCGCAAAGCCCTCTAAAAATCTGTGATGCTACGGCATTCATCACAGACATCATGGCTCATGGAAAATATGCATGACAAATCTAGAAATCTTCCAGACCCACACACTTTTGCATTTGATGGCAGTTGCGTGACAGCGCGGTCAAGATTCCCGGGGAAGAGGCAAAGATCAACAACCGGGTCTTCCTATGGCGCAGAGAAATTCACTCGCGCCAGATAAAAACCAAAGTCGGGCCGCGGCCGTTCGTGCCACCAAAAAAAATTCTCTTTGGAGGGTTTCAGCGCGAAAACGAACTGCTTTTAGCATTACAAACTGCGCGCGGTATTCCTGAAAATTGCCGATGTCTCCATACCTCGTCTCCCCATTCTTACAGAGTCAGTTTTTGGTGGCGCGACTTGTTCAGCAAATCAAAGTTGGTCTTTGTCTGGTGCGGGCGTTCTTTTCCGGCGAATACTTCGAGTGCCATCACCTGCAAGTGATGACGCCGACGGACGAGCCGGATTGGCAAGGGCCGGCGGTCAACGGTGCAGCATATGAAGTGTGAGAAAATATGTTGTCACGGCACTATGAGCAACGTGTAGACTATTTTGACTTTGGCTGCGGCGTGTTTGTAGGTTTATCAACTTTCTAGCGTGTGCAGCACCACGATGGGAGTCAGTGTTGATCTGTGCTACAGATCAACACTGACTGTGATGCAGCGTAGTTCTTATGCATGATCATTCTGAATTCGAGACGGAGACATGCAGTACTTGATCAAGGAACAGGGATCAGTTGTACACCTTGCTTGTACTACCGTGAAAGCGTCTTTCTAGTGCATATCGAGCAAACGATTCCGTACAAAAAAGCGGAGCACCTTATGGAATTCTCAAATATCACATTCTCCACTGTTACAAGATTTGTCATGCAAAATTGCAATCAGAATCGGAACGATCAAGCTGCTTCGCATAACAAATTCTCGGAGGGCCAAACAGGCCGAGAGCCTGCGTAAAATCGGTCACGCAAGACGCGCAAGGCCGCCCCTTTCACTTTTGCTAGTCTAGCATCACAAAGTCACGTAAAAGGTGAGAACGTAATATTTGAGAACGCCATACACCTGAAACTGTCCCTGCCCCGCTATCATAAGGAAAAATCCCCTCTCCCCATATCGAAAAGAAAACTATTGTGATGCTGATTTGTGACGGCAAATCGACTTTGTTGCTAGAAGGGCAAGAGACGCAGCTGGTCCCTCGTTTGCATGCAATTTGTCATGCTATTTCCCGTTTCCAGTTGCTTCCTGTCAGGCTGAAGACGCAAGGCCTCCCCACGGCAGACACCACCACAATTCGCGCCTCTTCCTTTGTAGCGTGACAATGAGATTTGTGCTCGCAAATCCAAATCTCTTTGAGTATGGGGAGGGGGGATTTTCCCTCTGGATACCCGCGGAGAAGGGGAGTGGAAGGTCGGCCACCTCGGCGCGGGCGCGTTCGGCCATGTCGTACGGTGCGGGAGGAAAAGGCCCGGCGACCGCGAGAGCGACGTGCGGTACTACGCCATAAAGGTGATCAAGAACATCCGAGACAGGGATCCCAATGAAAAGATCCGGTCGATTCGCGAGGGCATCTGGAGCCTCCTGATGAAAAACGGGCTGGTATCCTGAGAAAAAACGTCCCCACCCCAGAGTTGTCATGCAGATTTGCACTTCCAGGAACTGAACATGTGCATCCTCAGGAGAACAAGCATTTGCAGTCGTGATTTAGAATTTGTGATGCTGTAAACACGAAGATCAGAGGATGGCTTTGCGATGCAGCTGTCCTTGCTAACCCGCATTACAATACAGACAAGATAAAAACTTGTCATGCGTGATTCCCAAAACAGGTGGCTACAACGGATTTGTGTTGCAAAATTCCCATCTTCACTGTGGGGCGGGAACCTTTTTACACAGGATAGCACGATTACACGGGGATCATCCGGTGCTTCGGCGTGTGGTTCGACCCGTACGCCAACTCGTTTTGCATCCTCATGGAAGATATCAAATGCAAATATGTCTGGGTGGTCTGGAAGAAAACAGATAGTTCTTGTCTTGCAGGTCTTTATTCGTGCGCAAAAAGGAGAAGGTGTGGAATGCGCACAGACGAGCATGACAAATTCTGCAGAAATTACTCCAAGCCTAGACTGCATGAGAAATGCCCTCTCCTGGACACTTAAGTCGGACATTGCAGATTTTTTCCTAATTCAGAATCCGCATGAGGACGAGGCGCACGCAACCTTCCAGACCTACTAGACACATTTGAGATCCATAGAGGAGGGAGTCTTCACATTCGACGACAAGAGAGTCGACGTCGACAACGAGAACGTGAAAGAAATGCTGCCAAGCTGGGTCGGTCAAACGATGTCGGCCTTGAAACGGTTGACGCAGATGAGAGTGATCCACCGCGATATGAAGGCCCAGAACATGATGCTGGTAGTGGACACAGCGAAGCTCGGCGGCAGACCCTTGCCCGCGAAACACGACGATCGCATTTGGCAGTATCTCCGTGCGGTGCTAATGGACTGGGGGTGTGCGAAAGGTATTGACGGGAGGAGATTTTGTAGTAAGGGATTTTTGTAGAATATCTTAACGGTTTCCTTCTTCTTCATTCCCGATCCAATTCTCACACGACATGCTTGTATCATTTTTCAGGTCGCATCGCTACAGTGCTAAAATTATTCCAACATTTCATCAACGTACCAAAGGCGTCGATGCGAAACCGGGCAAGAATGGAGGGCACTCTCCGAGGGGAACCGTCGGAACGGACGACTACCATCCCCTGGAGTCGAGATTCAACATATCGGAGGTAAATGTGTCTGGGTCTGGAAAGTTTGGAACTTTTGATGCTGTCTTCGGAATCTAGAAAAATCTGTATTGCAGCATGACCAGCAAGAGGAACCCAGTTTATGCCACGCGGAGAGGGCATTTCTCACGCGGAATAAGTATAGGAGAGCCCTTTAAAAATCTGTAATGCTAGGCCATGCATGACAGGCACCATGTTTGTGGGTCATACAAAATTATACATGAGAAAACCCGGCGATCTTCCAGACGCAGATAACACATTTGCATTTGATACAACAGACGGAACCGTGAGGAAAATCAAGTGGCAAACGACCTCAACATATACCACGACCTCTGGCCGTTCGGGATGATTTTGTTCGAGTTGCTCTTGCGCTTGAAGTATGGACTGCAAATATGTCTGGGTCTGGAAATTTGTAATGCTGGGCTGTGAAAAATAGTAAGTGCCCTTCTATGCACAAACAGTCAACTCAAGCCTGTCGTAGGAATATTTGTGCGGCTCTAAGTCGCGCTTTCTGCATCACGACAGGCTGCGTTTGGGCATGACGCGCATAGCTTCTGGGACGCACCACGAAGTCTTCAGTCATGCCAGACAAGCATTACAAACCTTGCATTCTTCCCGACCCAGACGGATTTGCAATGCATATGAACTTCCGGGGAATGCCACTCATAACGGGAGTGATGGAGAGGTGCGGTTACTGGAGCGCCGAAACCAGGAACTGGATCGAAGAAAATGTAGTAGTAAAATACGAGGGCGAGGACAAAGAATTCGACTCGGAGGTGTGGGAGTACTACGCGTGGATCCACTTCTGCAACGTCGCGGGCCGCTCTGTCGACGCGGCGGAGACCGAGGGCACTACCAACACTGCCGCTATCAAATCCAAACTCAGCCGCTATCAAGTGCAAAAATGTCTGGGTCTGGAAGAATGCACGATTTGTCATGCGTATTTCAATTTCTCATGACCCATGATGCCTGTAATGCATGGCCTAGCTGCATCGCAGACTTGTAGAGGGCTTCCTGATGCACCTGCCGCACGAGAAATGCCCTGTCCCTATAGCAAAAACTGTACCCCTCTTGCTGGTCATGCAATACAAATTTTTTAGAGTCCAAAACCAGCATGACAAGTTGCAATCTTCCAGACCCAGACACTTTTGCAGTTGATAGCCGTGAGCAGGTGAAGGCGATAAGCAGGGTCACCAAGGAGCTGCAGCAGGAGGCGGCGCAGAAGGATCCCAAGATCGCGCAGCTGGCGTATGGGTTCTCAAACGTTATATTCCTAGCTGCATTTGCATGAATTTGCCATGCAAAATTAACATAAACCACTTCTCGACCAAGCTGCTTTGCGTGACAAATTGCCGAAGGGCTACACAGCCTGTAAATCTGAGCAAAGTCTGTAATGCGACGCGCGCAAGTACAACCAGCGCCCACGTTTTACTGTTGCTATTATGATTGCATCACAAATTCAACATGTATATAACAGTTGGGAATGTAACAGTTGAGAATCCCATATCGCGAGGCAGCTAATGCAGGGTAACCCAACGGACCGCTATAAGGCCTTCAGCAGGGACAAACTGGAAACCGACTACGGGATCGAAATCCCCAACGACTGGGTGCGAGGTAGCTCCGACGTCGAGGCCGGAGACTTTGGTCACTCGCCGCAGCAGTTGGCCGACAATCTCCAGCCCTTGGCCGAGCTATGAGAGTGCACGACCCCCTTTCGCCGACCTCATTTGTCACACGACCAAACCGGAATCCGACGTTGGTCTTTCGCATTGTCTTGCATGACAAGTCAGTGCAAACCCAGCAGCACCACGATAAAGCCGTAAACTTGTCATGCTGCAAAAAAGGACATTTCTCCCGACGTGCTCTCTTTTGCTTCTTCTTTTCTTGTGCCGTTCAAACGAGGGGAAGGGAGGTCGCGCACCCTCATACGAAGACATGATGGAGCATTACAAGGACGGCGGTCAGAAGTTGAGCCAGCACTTGATCGACATTCTGAAAAACATGACGACCGACCACAACAAGGAAAAGTACTCCGAGCTTTGCAGCCAGCAACAGTTGGCTGAGGCACGGGCCTCGGACTTCTGGGGCGGGGAGCGACCGCCATGTATTGCACACATCTTACTATAATATCGATGTCAATGATGATCAATGTGTACAGTACTGCAGGTAGTACCTTTTTTGAGGATACCGTGAAAGAGAACGTACTGAAGTGTTAAAAGAATAGACTGTATTGATGGTGGTGATCGGAATAAATAACGATGCGCAACAATAAATCCATTCATTCTGTTTTGAAAGTTAGTGAGCTGATATTATGCTCGAAATGATGGAAATAAAAACTGAACCTCTCTACAGACGCTTCCCCCAGCAGGAAGAGCCAGAATCCCAGGAACCTGAATCTGGAAGTGATGGTGCCGCCGGCGCCGCCCCGCAACGCGAATGAGGTCAACCCCCTGCCGCTGCCCGGCGTATTCCTGAAGGTGTCCAACGACATGACGCGCGAAATAAGTAACGAGCAGGTGGATTTGCAGATGCTCCTGGACCGCTGGGGCACGGAAAAGCCGACGGACTCGAACACCGGAAAGCAGATGGGTAAGCAGAAGGTGGACACAAAGAGGAACGAGGGGATGCCCATTATTCGGCTGCGCAAATACAGGGGCCACTGGGAGGACGAAGACACGGTTTTGGTCCACAACGCGGAGCAGCTCGCGAAAATGTGTCTCCACTCCGGGGTGTGCAAAGAGCGATTCGGCGGCAGGCCCGAGCTGCAGACCCTGTACCTGTATCAAATGCAAATATGTCTGGGTCTGGAAGACTGCGAGATCTGTCATGCAGTTTTTGCATGAGCCAGCGCCAGATCGTCTGGCATGCAAGCTCTAGCATCACAGATTTGGAGCGAGTATCTCAATGCCAAATCCGCATGACAGATCCCCTCGCTCGGAAACAAAAGGCGCGGCCTTTTGCTAGCCATGCATGACAGATTTTCTCATGATTTAGACTTCGCATCACAAATTCGAATCCTCCCAGACCCAGACATTTTTGCATTTGATAATTTCACCTCGTACCCCGACCCGCTCCCGGCTGTAGCAGAAGGTGGCGACGACGACAAGAATATGGCGGGAGAGGAATAGTCGGCGACTTCTTCGAGGTGTTGGTGGAGCAGAAAATGTTATGGCATTCTCAATTGTTACATTCTCAACTGTTACACGGATTTGTCATCCAAAATTGGCATCAGCCTCGACTTGGTCAAGGTGCTTAGCATGACAAATTTTCGAAGGGCTAAGCAGCATGATCCTCTGTGGAAAATCTGTGATGCGAAAGCTGCAATCTTGCCATTTCCACCGTTGCCATTCTTGCGTCACAAATTCATTATAACAGTTGAGAATGTAACGTTTGAGACCGCCATAAATTTGTAATCACAGCTAAGATTTTGATTTTCATCTGTCAAGAAGGATGTACTATCGTTGATAAAGTTATGTATATGGATTCACACTGATAAGAGGTGAAACAGGAATAGCAACAGAACCAGGTCGAAGTACTTTAATAAAAATGCATTTGGTTTCCGTTAATTTTACCTGTGAGCAAGAACAAGTCTTCGTTTGAAATTTCAGGAATTACAACCACGACTACGCATCCATAGATACGGTATGGCACGCGTGCCTGCCTATCTCGGTGCAAACGGTTTCGGTTCCCACAGACACGTATAAATATTTTCCAACAAATCACTATCAGCCTTGAAAGTGATATTCAAACCTTTCAAAAATAAAGATGTCGAAGCATTGATTTTTTCAAGTGTATGAAAAAAAGAGCGCCAGAGAGAAGCCCCGGCTTCTTATGTGTACGGGAACTCAGTTTTCACCTTGATGTGTGCGTCAATTTTTACAGATGTGTACGTCGTGGTGGAGGCGAGCACCGCACGCAGTTACCTTATTTTCAAACGCGACCCAGTTTCGTTAGCAAAATGCTTTACCTACCGTAGAATTTAGAAAACAGTCATGAATTACTGCAATTTGCAACATCAAAAAGTTTTCCTTTTGTATCATCCCAGACCTCCCGTGCCAGCAGTCAGACATAAATTGATGTGCACGGTCGCAAACCACGAATCTTGATTGAGGGTTTTTCTACGATAATAGATAAGTACTCACTTAGTAGTCTCGCGCTGCACTAAGCGTCGCGAATAAAAATTGAATTTTTAACTTGAGAAACACACTGTCTACAAACCAGAGACGCAAGGTTCCGATGAATCATAACAAATTGATATAGTATAACATCGTGTAGATAGCTTTTCCTTTTCCATACAGATTTCTATTTCTACGACTTCAATTTCGAAGAGCTATGGTACGTAGGGGACAAAGTTCAGATAAATACGTCGCTCGCCCCTTTTCCGTTCGTAGTCATATTCTGCAGAAGGCTCCCGGAGCCCTCTGCTACTGATATTGATATTGTTGGAGAGGAGCTTTATTTTCTGAGTTTGGTGCTGTGTTTTGATGTGCAAAAGGGAAGAAGCTGCTCCGATGTGCAACGTGTGCGTCTGGTACTTTGTACAAATAATAACTTTCAACATTCGACGGCGCTGGCTCTCCTCTCGGAGGCATACTTATTTTCTCGCAGTCGTAGGCGTAGCCGTAGCTTTCATCAACCGGAGATAGTTCGGCCCGATACCGAATCACAGTACGAAATTGCTTAACATTGTTATAGAAAGGCCGACGACGATAAAAGTATCACATTCAATACTGCACTGACGATCTCTGGTCGTCGCCGCATCGGTGATAAAAGTCGTGTCGAAAGTGCCACCATCAGGGCGACAAGAAATTCACGGCTGCTTCTGACTGTTTCTCTTGGCGCACGCGCATCTTCTCACTACAGCATAATACGTGCTACATATCTAGATCCACCAACCATGGCGAATGCAATCATACTTATACTTATTTACAACCCGAATACTTCTGAACAGATTTTTTGTAGATGGTTTTACGTTCGGAGAAAAAGCCTCGTATTTTTTCAATGACAGCGAAATAGACGGCGGGCAGGTCCTCTGCCGTCGGCGAGGTCAAAAACCATACATCACCAACGCCTGCCATCGACACACCACAGCCGCGCTGATGGCGAAATATACTTACTTGCAGCACGCCATGAGTTTTGATAAAATTAACAGCACGAAAGCGAATGTGATGTGTAGTGTGCTTTTCAAACCTGTTGCACTACATGCTGCATTTGCACACGACTCGTATTTGCTTCATTATGATATCGACGGCCAGGGGGCTCTTACATAATCTACCGCTTCAAGGATCCATGCAAACAGATTATAGGCCATTCTCAATGTGATACGGTGGAAGTGTTTGGCTTCTAAGAATGTAGTTTTGACAGTAACGGATATGACAGTAACGAAGAACATCATCCTGTCAAACTATAGTATTTGCCAATCGATAGGAAATGTAGTGCGAGCATGCTTTTCGCTGAGCGTTCTTCTTCTTGCGTTACCACAGCTTTTGTACGCCTTTGCTCGTGCAGGTTTCAGAGCTGTTACGCTCATGTTCTCCTGTGCTGCTGTAGGGCTGCGAAATTCCTTGAGGCAACGGGGAGAGATAAGCCCACGCAGACACGTCCCGCTATGTGTGTAGCAAGCTATGTTGAGGTCACCGCACTTACTAGCCACGAGATACTAGTACACAAATTGTATTTTTATCCAAAGCAAAAATAGCAACATGGCACAGTGGTCCAAGCCTTTCTATACGGTTCCGTCATAAGATCTGTTCAGATCAGGCACGACCACGAAGGAGAAGAGGCATAGAATGTAAATGCAAGTACTCCTTTCCGCTTTCGTGGCACTTGCTGTCGCACTGCCCGAATTTATTGCTTTACGTACTTTCATAGTTTTTTCTTTCAATTTGAGACAGCGAAACAGATACGCATTACGAAAATTTGACGTAGTATTCTATTTTTGTATATTGTTTGCGAAATTCAAATTTCTATCCTTCTCTGGTCTCAATGTGCTTCTGTACTACTCGTTCCGATGAAGTTCGTGCGGAGGCACAAGGAGAGTCCAGCCCAAGACCTTTGTTTGTTCGCAAAAAAGCGAAAGCGCTTACGTAGCTTGAGCAGCCGACCCGGAGCATTGATTGTTTTGAAGAGTAAAATAAAAGAAAAATGTGTTAGCGACGCATAAAAAACTTTGCAACTGATAGAGATAGCCGCGAGCACAGATACCTAAAGCTGAACAAAAAAGGGGTCCTAAGATGCAATAAAGCCCGTCAAGATCATTGGTGTAATAAAGTAACCAAGCTACCCCCGAGATGTAGCGCGCTAATTTTTTGCTCCTTTACAATGTTCGGGCAGGGGAGGTTTTGAACTGAGCAGAGATGCTTTGAACGAGACGCAAGCATTTGTTCTACCCTATTTACCTGCCTTGAGTCGTTTCGGCTCATTTTCGGCAGGCACGCATCTTCCTCTAGTACTTTCCACTACTACGATTTTGCTACATGCATGTCGTGGGTGTGGTCTGTGGTTTTCGAAGATGAGGGGTTTTTCTGGCTTCAAAGCAATGCAATAGATACAGTGGCTTTTCTTTGTTTTGGAACACATAAAAACTGTGCCTGATACTAGATGCTGTAACGCCGTCCGCAGCCTGTGCAGAGCGGCTTTTGCGCAGTCTCACTAACATGGCCAAAAAAAGGATCCAATAGGAGCTGGTAGAGATAAACATGCACGAGGTCATTATGGTATACTTATCGGCAAAACAAATGTCACCGGAACAACAGCCATGCTTTTAGGCATCTCGTCAGACGCAGAGATCGTGACTCAAACTTCCATTTGGGATTTCACTTTTCAATATAGTGCAAAGCCCCAAGCTTCTTCTGGGATTTTACGAAGTGGTTTTGCAGCAGCTGCAGCTTCGCAAGGCAGATTACCTCGCAGAGGTTCTCTTTAGTGGGTTTTCAACAGATGAGCCGGACGTAGTTCGTCTCAGTAAAAAGAAACACAACATGCTTAGGATGGTTGCGAGCCTCTGTGTGGGTGCATACATTGTATACTTCATTTTGATGCGAAAAAAACAGAAAAACTGCCTTCGTCGCGCAAACTGGATTCACAGCCACAGTGTGAAGCAGCTCACCAAGGTTGGTTTGCCCCGGCTCCTGCCGTCGTGTTCCTGGCTGTCCTCTGTTGTTTGTCGGAGTGTAGTGGCCAAGCGGCGCATGTTGTCAAGACCTGTATTGTGTCGGAGGTTTTGTCGGTCTTATTCATGTGCGGCAGTAGCCTCCGCTCTCTGTAGCGGCGCGCACGCAGTTCCGAAGGGCGGTCCAGAAGCTGGGTAAAGAAGGCCCTGCGGATTCCTGGACAGGGAGGACGCGTGGCAAAATTTCCAGTCTTGCCGCCCATTTTATTGGGAGAACGCGCGGCAGAGTTCCCAGTTATTCTACGATGGCGGAGCCCAGTCAACAGGATTTTTTTTTTTTTCAAGCAAAAGGGCTCCCGCTTTCTCCCCGAAACCGGTCATGTGCCTGTTGCCCCGGGCCGGTACCTGGTGCCCTTTCCAGGTATCTAGCGGCGACCAGGCACCCGGGGCCCTGCTGGGGTGCCGGTGTGATGCTCCTGATTTAATGCTGAGCGCCGATGTATTTTCAATTGCGAAGGGCGAACACGTGCGCACGTGTTCCAACGGTTCGACAGAGCGAGCGAAGAGCGGAGAGCAGTGTCGGGAGCGTATTTCGAAAACCGTGCGCGAAGTAAAACCTATGCTCAGGGTTGTGAGAATGTTCATGGTGACAGAGCTCCAAAAAGGCCCACCCAAGCTCGGCATGCTTTGTGTGACGGCATGCGAGCAGCACGCGGAGAAAGGTTCGTGACGTGACATGCGTTCTGCAGAAAGCAAAGAGTACGTAGTAGACGCGCACGACCCCGCCGGCCCGTGGAAGCGTAACCAACTCCGTTTGCGGTTGTGAAGCGTAAGGTAGGACTTCGCTCAGCCCTTGGCATAGCCCAAACTAGTGAGGGCCGCCTTTTTTGTCTGCGCTCAAAGTAAACTCTTGAAGCGGGGGCAGTAGCCTGCTAAATGGATATGGGAACCTGGCCACCGTTTGCATTCAGTTCGGTGAGGCGTTGGGAACTGAAGAAGCCTCTACCCCTGAAACGCACGCAGGCCCCTCAAAAGTGCGAAGGGCGTCGGGCTCCAAAAGCTCCTTTGCCTTGTGCAGTGAGCTAGCTAGGCTGTCCTTTGCAGTGAGCTGAAGCGCGTTGCGCTGACGTGAAAACCAGCTGCGGAGACAGGGGACACAAGAAGAAGCTTTTTCATTTTCAGCAGCAACACCACTACGACTGGCCCCCATCACTCCGATCAGGTGCCTGTCGCCCCGCGCAGGCGCCTGATGCTCCGGCGGGGTACCTGATGCGCCGGCCAGGTCCCTGGTGGATGCCCCGCGCAGTTACCTAGTGCCGCGGCCCGGTACCTGCTGCCCCTTTCAGTTGTCTTTTGCCCCAGTCGGGTACCTGATGCCCCTTCTGGGCACCTTGGTCGCGCCCTCCGTCAGCCGGGCACGTGAGCCAATTGCGGCGTCCGGTGCAGTGCTGGGCCCGGGCCTCAGAGGACCTATAAGCTGCGATACGAACGAGCACAGCGCTCAGGAGTGGCACAGCCAGAGCAGAGCACTAAACTGGTACGCTGGGAGGATGCGGAAACACCAAGACAAACGCAAGAATAAGCCTGCGCGGGGGAAGAAGAAGAAAAAAGACGAGCCTGAAATAGCAGAAGGCGGCGATAGCGGTTCCGGCAACAATACTAACGATAGGAAATAGATAGCGTCTAGCGCGTCTAGCTACCGTTTTGCCCCGTTTTGTTGGGTAATGCTACTACTACTACTCGGAAAGCGGAAAAAAACGAAGGGGGGTTTTGCGGGGGTTCGTAGGATTCCCCACGCAGGAAAGTCGCTAACTTCGGCGGGAATTCGGTGGGGAAATTTTTTGGGAATTCGGGCCCCCGGGCCTGTTTCATTTCATTCGCGTGCGATTTTGGTACCCCCCCCACCCGGGGGTGGTAATTCGCAAAACATTGCACATCGAATTAGCGACGCAAGTAAAGAGTTTTTTTGTGTTCATTTGCCCGGTCCGGGCCGGAATTGCCCACGAAATTGAACAAAAATTGCAGACGGAATTGGCCAAAAATTGCACGCAAAATTGCACAAAAATTGCCCGAGTTGGCCGGGCTGTATAATAGCCGGGGCGCCCCACCTCAAAAGGGGGGCGCTGGCATGGGCCAACGCTTGGCGGCCTCGGTGTGGCTTCCCGTTCTTCCCTTTGGCGCGCCGCCGCGGGTTGTTGTGTGGGGTATGCAGTCGGGGTCTTGGCGCCGTTCCGGCGCTTCCACATGCAGAGCCTCGCGCGGAGTGCCGACGGACCTTCGAAATTGCGCAACTTTTGCGCCCAATTTAGCACCTTAGGTGGCGCGGCCCCGTTCGCTTGATGATGCCCTAATCAGGCACCTGATACGCCAATCAGGTACCTGAAGCCCTCATCAGGTACCTGATGCCCCAGGCAGGTACCTGATGCGCCAATCAGGTACCTGGTGCCTCAATCAGGTACCTGATGCCCCAGTCAGGTACCTGATGCCCCAATCAGGTACCTGATACGCCAATCAGGTACCTGACGCCCCAATCAGGTACCTGATACGCCAATCAGGTACCTGATGCCTTCAGCAGGTACCCCATGCCCCAAGCCGGTACTTGATTCCCTAATCAGGTACCTGATGCCCCAATCAGGTACCTGATACGCCAATCAGGTACCTGACGCCCCAATCAGGTACCTGATACGCCAATCAGGTACCTGATGCCTTCAGCAGGTACCCCATGCCCCAAGCCGGTACTTGATTCCCTAATCAGGTACCTGATGCCCCAATCAGGTACCTGATACGCCAATCAGGTACCTGATGCCCCAATCAGGTACCTGATACGCCAATCAGGTACCTTCTGCCCTAAGCAGGTACCTGATGCCCCAATCAGGTACCCGATGACCCAATCAGGAAGGTACCTGATACGCCAATCAGGCACCTGCTTCCCTAATCAGGTACCTGATACGCCAGTCAGGTATCTGACGCCCCAATCAGGTACCTGATACGCCAACCAGGTACCTGATGCCCCAGTCAGGTACCTGGTGCCCCAATCAGGTACCTGACTCCCTAATCAGGTGCCTGATGTCCCAATCAGGTACCTGATACGCCAATCAGGTACCTGGTGCCCTAATCAGGTACCTGATACGCCAATCAGGTACCTGATGCCCCAGGAAGGTACCTGATACCCTAATCAGGTACCTGCTGCCCCAATCAGGTACCTGATACGCCACTCGGGTACCTGATGCCCCAATCAGGTACCTGAGGCGCCAAGCAGGTACCTGATACCCGAATCAGGTATCTGATGCCCCAATGGGGTACCTGATACGCCAATCAGGTACCTGATACGCCAATCAGGTACCTGATGCCCCAATCAGGTACCTGATACGTCAAACAGGTACCTGATTCCCTAATCAGGTACCTGAGGCCCCAATCAGGTACCTGATACGCCAATCAGGTACCTGATGCCCCTCGTCAGGCACCTGATGCCCCAATCAGGTACGTGACTCCCTAATCAGGTACCCCATGCGCCAATCAGGTATCTGATGCCCCGATCAGGTACCGGGTACGCCAATCAGGTACCTGATGCCCTAATCAGGTACCTGATGCCCCAACCAGGTACCTGGCGCCCCAATCAGGTACCTGATACGCCAATCAGGTACCTGGCGCCCCCTAATCAGGTACCTGATACGCCAGTCAGGTACCTGATACGCCAGTCAAGTACCTGATGCCCGAATCAGGTACCTGGTTCCCCACTAAGGTACCTGATACGCCAATCAGGTACCTGGTGCCCTCATCAGGTACCTGATACGCCAATCAGGTACCTGATGCCCCAAGCAGGTACCTGATGCCCCAGTCAGGTACCTGATACGCCAATCAGGTGCTTGATGCCCTAATCAGGTACCTGATGCCTTTCTCAGGTACCTGGTACGCCAATCAGGTACCTGATGCCCCAATCAGGTACCTGATACGTCAAGCAGGTACCTGATGCCCGAATCAGGTACCCGATGCCCCAATCAGGTACCTGATACGCCAGTAAGGTTGGTACCTGGTGCCCCGTAATCACGTACCTGATACGCCAGTCAGGTACCTGGTGCCCCAGTCAGGTACCTGATACGCCAGTCAGGTACCTGATGCCCCCCAATCAGGTACCTGACGCCCCAATCAGGTACCTGATACGCCAATCAGGTACCTGGTGCCCCAATCAGGTACCTGATGCCCCAATCAGGTACCTGGTGCCCCAATCAGGTACCTGATTCCCTAATCCGGTACCTGATGCCCCAAGCAGGTACCTGATACGCCAATCAGGTACCTGATTCGTTCCCTAATCAGGTACCTGATACGCCAATCAGGTGCCTGATGCCCTAATCAGGTACCTGGTACGCCAATCAGGTACCTGATGCCCCAGTCAGGTACCTGGTACGCCAATCAGGGAGGTACCTGTTGCCCCAGTCAGGTTGGTATCTGATTCCCTAGTAAGGTACCTGATGCCCCAATCAGGTACCTGATACGCCATTCAGGTACCTGATGCCCTAATCAGGTACCTGGTACGCCAAACAGGTACCTGATGCCCCAGTCAGGTACCTGATACGCCAAGCAGGTACCTGGTACGCCAATCAGGTACCTGATGCCCTAATCAGGTACCTGGTACGCCAATCAGATACCTGATGCCCTAATCAGGTACCTGATACGCCAATCAGGTACCTGGCGCCCCAATCTCTCAGGTACCTGATACGCTAAGCAGGTACCTTATGCCCCACTCAGGAAGGTACCTGATGCCTCAACCAGGTACCTGATTCTCTATTCAGGTACTCGATGCCACAAGCAGGCACCTGATACGCCAATCAGGTGCCTGGTGCCTGAATCAGGTACCTGATACGCCAATCAGGTACCTGATGCGTGCCCCAATCAGGTACCTGATGCCCCAAGCAGGTACGTGAGTCCCTAAGCAGGTACCTGATGCCCCAATCAGGTACCTGATACGCCAATCAGGTACCTGGTGCCCTAATCAGGTACCTCATGCGCCAGTCAGGTACCTGATGCCCCGAGCAGGTATCTGATACGCCACTCAGGTACCTGATGCCCCAATCAGGTACCTGATGCCCCAATCAGGTGCCTGATACGCCAAGCAGGTACCTGATGCCCTAAGCAGGTACCTGACGCCCCAATCAGGTACCTGGTGCCCGATTCAGGTACCTGATACGCTAATCAGGTACCTGGTGCCCCAGTCAGGTACCTGGTGCCCCAATCAGGTACCTGATACGCCAATCAGGTACCTGATACGCCAATCAGGTACCTGATGCCATAATCAGGCACCTGGCGCCCCATGCCCTAAACAGGTACCTGATGCCCCAGTCAGGTACCTGATACGCCAGTCAGGTACCTGATACGCCAATCAGGTACCTGGTGCCCTAATCAGGTACCAGATGCCCCAAGCAGGCACCGACCTGATTCCCTAATCAGGTACCTGATGCCCCAATCAGGTACCTGATACGCCAATCAGGTACCTTCTGCCCTAAGCACGTAACTGATGCCCCAATCAGGTACCTGATGCCCCAGTCAGGTACCTGATACGCCAATCAGGTACCTGATGCCCAAATCAGGCATCTGATACGCCAATCAGGTACCTGATGCCCCAATCAGGTACGTGATGCCCCAATCAGGTACCTGATGCGCCAATCAGGTTAGGTACCTGATACGCCAATCAGGCACCTGATGCCCCAGTCAGGTATCTGATTCCCTAATCAGGTGCCTGCTGCCCCAATCAGGTACCTGATGCCCCAATCAGGTACCTGATGCCCAAATCAGGTATCTGATACGCCAATCAGGTACCTGATGCCCCAATCAGGTACGTGATGCCCCAATCAGGTACCTGATGCGCCAATCAGGTACCTGATACGCCAATCAGGCACCTGATGCCCCAGTCAGGTATCTGATTCCCGAATCAGGTACCTGCTGCCCCAATCAGGTACCTGATGCCCCAACCAGGTACCTGATGCCCCAGTCAGGTACCTGATACGCCAATCAGGTACCTGATGCCCTAATCAGGTACCTGATGCCCCAATCAGGTATGGGCCACGCAGATCAACTGGCTGACCGGTCGCGCGAGATGGTGGAACTTTTCCTCCACCCCTGCGGAGACCAGGACGCGCACTGCGGCTAAGCATTGCAGATGTTGCCGGGCTGGGGGTGTTGCAGGGCTTGTAATGACATTCGTCAGACGACGTCTGACGAATGTCATTACACGACACCTCTGGTGGACCAGGCCACGCAATGGGAACTGTCATCCACACCTCTGGGCCACGTATTTGCAATGCATAGCAGCAGGACAAGAGTCAGCCAATCACTGAAGTGGCTGGAGATGCTGAAGGACGAATGCGACAGATTCGAGATCGACCACGGACTGGACGAAGCCATCAAAGATGTCGACCGGCTGTATTCTCGTCTGGATTTTTGTCAGGAAGGTTCGTTGCAAAACAACACTTCTGGCATGCAAGTTTTCGAGGACCTCGGCCTCGCAACCCAATTCCGCAACGCGATGCAGGAGTCTGGGTTCACCAGTTACACAGAGAAACATCCTCTCTTAGTCAATAACCAGATGCAACATCCGTTTACCTGGGACAACATGGTGGGTTCACTGCGCGATGTGGTCGCCGTGAGATGGGGTGATGTGAAAGGCATCTGGTGAACAAAAATCCTGCTAGCGAGACACGACGGTAGATATTGATCATAAGGACGCTTTCTGTTTCAGCTGCTGATTCCTCTTGCGGCGCATGGTGCTGTTTTTGAAACAGCCGGCCGTACCGCTGCGGCTAATGATCTAGAGCTTCTGTTGGCCAACAGGAGTTTACTAGTGCTTCGATGGATAGTTCCAGTTCGAGTTTGGTCACTGGATAGATCGATTTTGATGTTGCTTGCCTTGAATTTGATGTTCTGCACATCGCTATCTCGGTTGACTCAAAAAGTCTCGGTTTTATTTTCTACGTGTGCTTAGGCTTAAATGAAGTGAGAGAGTTCGTCTTCAAATCGCTTTCGTCACGAACCGGTCGCACTCGTCTTTGCAAATCGCACCCAATTTCAAATTGTTTACAGCTTATCTGAAATCGACACAAATTGCAAATGGTGATGGAGCTACATTAAGTAATCCTCATGTTTTTCTCATTGTGTGATGCTGATGTGAGAGTCGCGCTTCATTTCTTCGTCAAAATTCGTATATACTCGTTTTCCAGGAGTGGTCAAAACGGCCTTTATATCTCAAATCGCTTCTGTCGTGTTTTAGTTTTTTCTATGCCGAGTGATGAAATTGAACAATCAAGAAAGGACTTCTGCAGGTTTTTTTGTGCGAATTTGTTTGGCACTGCCTAGAACCTAAAGCAGCCTACCAGGTCACCACCCACCTCAAGAGGCACGGTAAAAGGAAGAAAGTGCATCGCTTTCGATTTATTTAAGGATCGCATCTCTCTAAAAGTGACCCGAAATTATCTGTAACCCCCAAAGCTGACCTCATAACTTTTTCTACCTGTTTTCTCAATCGGCGCCTACTCTCGCCGCCACTCCAACACGTCAAGTCCTCCGCATTCGACGAGAAGCCTGTACTGCTGCCACAGCATCGACGGAACAACCGCCAGAGGATTGTGCCGCAGCATCAGCTGTACTCTTCCCGCCGCAAGATGAACAACATGGCGGGCTCTCTGCTGGAGATCCGCAACTTGGTCGGGAAATCCTGCACCATTACCGTGGATACGGCCAAAGTGAAGAAGGTTGCGGATTTGTGTAGCTGGAGCATCATTGAGAAGCTGTTTGATGAAGACCAGTATGAATTGCAAAAGTATCGGGCTAGTGGTAATTGGATTTACGAATAACAACTTGCTTAGCGTTACAAATGAGCTTTGTCATGCTTCTTCACTTTAAGCAAAAATATTTGTCGTGCATGGCTGCAATTGGTACCACTACGAATACGATGCTTTTGCACAGCATAGCCAGCTTCTGCCGCCCCTGCATCGGATCAAATGGTTCGTCTGCGCCAACTACGCATTGCAAATTATATCATGTCTGGACTTGGAATACGCGTGATGAAAAAATTTGTGCTAGTGAATATCGTGTAGAATAAAATCTGTGTTGCGACATTCCAGACCAACTTGTCATGCTCTGTTTACATTCCAGGCCACCTTTTGTATACTTTTACTTAGTCGAAAAAATGCATGACGAATTTTGTTAGCCACTGTTCCAGAGACCCAGACATATTTTTTACCATGGATACCACCGCAACTACGACCGTTCCAGGAAGCAAAGCGAGCAAGGACTCTGCCGCAAGCGAAGTACACGCGGAACGACTGCACGGGGACCGCAACAAAGAGGAATACTCCATCGGCGAGGAAGAGCCTTCTTCTCCCCACGACCACTCCCCGAAGAGTAACGACGCCGGTCGTGGGTCTTTCTGCCTGTCGGAACGATCCAGAAGCAGGTCACCGCGGCGGGAACAGCAGGATGAACCGCAGATGCGGGTCGCGGAGAAGGATGAGGACGTGATTTTCGGAGACGACGTCGAGAATCCGGTTTTCTACCAGTTTGCGGTGGTTGCGGAGGAATTTTCGGTGACGTGGGAGACCTACACGCCGGCCCCTTGGGAGTCGCCCGAGGCGCCGAAAAGCAAAAGACCCTGGGCCGACTTCCCGACTGTTTGGCAGGGCTTCGTCGCGTGCGTGATCGGGCAACAGGGAAAGCACGAAAGCTGGTGGAAGTTGCACGAAGTGGGATCCTTCATCTACGACCAGTATCAAATGCAAAAATTTCCGGGTCTGGGAGGATGGAACTTGTGATGCATCCTGTAGGCTACACAAAAATCTGTGCTGCGTGATCACCTACACTTTTCTTTTTTTGACCAACATGAGCGGGAGTTTCCCATGCAGGATAGGCATGGCAGAGACTTCGCAGAATCTGTCATGCTAGGTCCTGCATTCCAGACCTCATGGGGCATGGAAAATATGCATGACAAGTCCGCAATCTTCCAGACCCAGACACTTTTGCATTTGATAACCAAACCTGGCTTGCGATGATCGACGATGGATCGGAGGCGAAAGAGATTCTAGCCAACTGCCACTTTCCGATCGGACCCTTCCCCCCGCTGGCGGAGGTGTTCGGGGACCTTCGTTGGAACAACATTAACATGTTACTTCCGCCTAAACTCTGCTTCGAGTTGCTAGACCTGCCCCTTACCGAGTGGCGCAAGCACGCGCGGGCGTCTGGTGGAAAGGCATTTACGGACGATCACAGGATGGAGCTGGCAACGCGAGTGGTGCACTACAGGTTCACACGTAAAGCGAGCGAGCACATCCATCATCATAGTCAACGTGAGAACTCCGAGACCGCGGGCACGCATGCGAAACTGTTCCGCCGGGCGTTGGAGATAGCATCGCCCGGCCTGGCATCCGTCGTAGGAATGCTGGAACCGTTACAATCCGGCAGACGCCTCCTGGAAGGACAAGAGGAGACGCCTCTTTGCATTCCGGCAGGCATGCAGGAATGCGTCAGCGCTTTGCTGGCATTCTTCGGCACGCGCGGGGAAGCGCGACACTTCTGTGACGAGTTGGTCGAGAGCGTGTTTGGGGTCGCTGCCGTAGCTGACCGGTGGCGCAAACAAGCCGCCCAAGGACTGCAGCAGCAAGTTCTAGCCGCTGCGAGGACGAGCAACGAACTGTTTCACCTGTTGCGCGAACAAGTGGAGCTCTTTCTTCTCCCGCTCGGAAACTACCAGGGCCACAGCGGCTAAGCAGTGCAAATGCGGCTCGGCTGGGAAGGTTGAGATTTGATGGCAGAAATGAGTATGAAATCGGTACAGAAATAAACGCGAAATCAGTAGCGCATGAGCACAAGAAGATTATAAATACCTGTTTCTTGTGTATGCAACAACTCGGCACCCGGTCTTCAGGTGCAATACGCACCACAAAGCGCTTCAATACTTTTCTTGCATGGCAACGTATGGCAGGGGCCGTAAGCCCACCAAAAAATACTCGCACTAGAATATAACTACAACTTTCATCCAAAGAACCTCTGTCCGTATTTGCAATGCATACTAGCAGGACAAGAGTTAACCAAGCACTGAAGTGGCTGCAGATGCTGAAGGAGGAGTCCGACAAGATGCAGATTGACCACGGACTGGACGGGGCCATCAAAGATCTCGAACGGCTTTATTCTCGTCTGGATTTTTCAGAAGCAGGTGGCTCGTTGCGGGACAACGTTTCCGGCCTGCAAGTTTTCCAGGATCTCGGGCTCGCAACCCACTTCCGCGACGCGATGCAGGAGTCTAGGTTCCTGGGTTTCACCGAGGAACGCCCCTTCTTGGTCAATAACCAGATGCTACTTCCGTTTACCTGGAACAAGATGGTGGGCTCGCTGCGCGATGTGGTCGACGTGAAAGACGGTCATGTGACAGGCATCTGGTGACCAAGAATCCTGCTAGCGAGACAAGACGGTCGATATTGATCATAGGGACGTTTTCTGTTTCAGCCGCTGATTCCTCTTGCGCCGCATGGTGCTGTTTTTGAAACAGACGGCTGTGCCGCTGCGGCTAATGATCTAGAGCTGCTTGTGGTCAACAGGACTTTAGCCGTTGGATAGGTCGAGTTTGATGTTGCTTGCCTTGGATGTGATGTTCTGCACATCGCTGTTTGGTTTTACGCAAAAAATCTCGGTTTTGTTTTCTTCGTGTGCTTCACTTTAAGTTCAATCAAGTGAGAGACTTCATCTTCAAATCGCTTTCGTCACAAACCGGTCGCACTCGTCTTTGCAAATCGCAGCCAATTTCAAGTGGTTTACAGCTTATTTGATATGTGGTTTTACAAATCGACACGAATTGCAAATGGTAATAGAGCTGCATTAAGTATTCCTCATGTTTTTCTCATTGTGTGATGCTGATGTGAGAGTCGAGCTTCACTTGTTTCGTCAAAATTCGTATATACTCGTTTTCCGCGAGTGGTTAAAACGGCCTTTATATCTCAAATCGCTTCTGTCGTGTTTTTTCTATGCCGAGTGATGAAATTGAAAAATCGAGAAAGGACTACTGCAGGTTTATTTGTGCGAAATTGTTTGGCACTGCCACTGCCTAGAACCTGAACGAAACAGCCTACCAGGTCACCACCCTTGTAGACGCGGATAGTTTGTTGGATTGAATTGCCACACAGTGTTTTTAGCCTCTCTTTTCCTCAAAGGGCACGGTAAACAAAAGAAAGCGCATTGCTAATAGAATTTATTTAAGGATCGCATCTCTCTAAAAGTGGCCCGAAATTATTTGCAGCCCCCAAAGCTGACCTCACAACTTTTTCTAAGTGCCTGCTTTCTCAATTGTTGCCTACCCCCGCCGCTAGTCCAACAAGTCGAGTCCTCCGCATTCGACGAGAAGCCTGTACTGCTGCCACAGCATCGACTGAGCAACCCCCAGAGGACTGAGCCGCAGCATCAGCTGTACTCTTCCCGCCGCAAGATGAACAACATGGCGAGCAGCTCTCCGCTGGAGATCCGCAACTTAAGCGGGAAATCCTGCACCATTACCGTGGATACGGCCAAGGTGAAGAAGGTTGCGGATTTGTGTAGCTGGAGCGTCATTGAGAAGCTGTTTGACGAAGACCAGTATGAATTGCAACAGTATCGGGCTAGTAGTACTTGAATTTACGAATAACGACTTGCTCAGCATTACAAATGAGTTTTGTCATGCTATTGCAAAGGAAAGATATTATTCCACATGCATGGCTGCAATTGGTACCACTACGAATACGATACTTTTGCAAAGCATAGCCAGCTTCTGCCGCCCCTGCATCGAATCAAATGGTTCGTCTGCGCCAACTATGGATTGCAAATTATATGTCTGGATTGAGAATACGCGTGATGAAAAAATTTGTGGTAGTGAGTATCGTGTAGACAAAAACTTGTCTTGCATTCCAGACCAACTTGTCATGCTCTTTTTATATTTTTCCAGGCCACCTTTTGTTACTTAGCCGAAAAAATGCATGACAAATTTTTTTAGCCACTGTTCCGGAGACCCAGACATATTTTTTACCATGGATACCACCGCAACTACGACCGTTCCAGGAAGCAAAGCGAGCAAGGACTCTGCCGCAAGCGAAGGCGACGCGGAACGACCGCACGGGGACCGTAAGAAGGAGGAATACTGTATCGGCGAGGAAGAGCCTTTTCCTGACTTTGATCATTACTCCCCAAACAGTCACGACGCCGGTCGTGGGTCTTCCGGTATCTAATGTAAAAATGTCTGGGTCATCTGGAAGATTGCAACTCGTCATGCTAACTCTGCAGCATGCAAAAATCTGTGTTACATGATTACCAAAAGTGATCCAGTTTTGACCAAGTCGGGAGGGAGTTTCTCATGCAGGATAGGCATGAGAAAGGTCTCGCAGAAACAGAATCTGTCATGCTAGGTCCTGCATTCCAAACCTCATGGGTCATGGAAAAGCAGCATGACAAGTCGCGCATTCTTCGAGACCCAGACTACATTCTTGCATTTGATATCCTGTCTGTCGGAACGATCCAGAAGCAGATCACCGCGGCGGGAGCAGCAGGATGAACCGCAGCTGCGGGTCGCGGAGAAGGATGAGGACGTGATCTTCGGTGACGACGAGAATCCGATTTTCTACCAGTTTGCGGTGGTTCCGGAGGAATTTTCGCACACCTGGGAGAGCTGGGCGACGGATTGGTATTGGCGGTGGCCGGAGAGGGCGAAATCCAAAAGGCCGTGGGCCGACTTCCGGAGTTCCTGGCAGTTATTTGTCGAGCTCGTGATCATCGGCCATGAGGACTACCGCGAAAGCTGGTGGAAGTTGCACGAACTGCGATCCTTTATCTACGACCAGACCTGGCTTGCGATGATCGATGATGGACCAGAGGCGGAGCAGATTCTAGCCAACTGCCTCTTTCCGGTCGGAACCTTCCCCCCGCGGGCGCATGTGTTCGGGGACACTCAACAGCTCTTCATGGGCCTTCCGCCTAAACTCTGCTTCGAGTTGCTCGACCTGCCCCTTAGCGAGTGGCGCAAGCACGCGCGGGCGTCTGGTGGAAAGGCGTTTACGGACGAACACCGGCTGGAGCTGGCGACACGGGCGGTGCAGTACAGATTCACGCGGGATGCGGACTGGTTCATCGATAGTACTCCTGCGACGAGCATGTCGTGTACTCTCTGCACGAAAATGTTTCGACGGGCGTTGCAGATAGCTCCACCCAGCCCGGCATCCGTCGTAGGAATGCTGGAGGAATTCCAATCCGGCAGCAGGCGCCTCGTGAGCTTTCCACGACTCGAGACACCACCAGGCATGTCGGAATGCGTCAGCTCTTTGCTGTCATTGTTCGGCACGCGCGGGGAGGTGCGACACTTCTGTGACCAGGTGGTCGAGAGCGTGTGCGGGGTCGCTGCCATAGCTGACCGGTGGCGCAAACAAGCCGCCCAAAGACTGCAGCAGCGAGTTCTAGGCGCTCCGCGCAGCAGGTGTCCAAGTTTCCACCTGTTTGACCGGTTGCGCGAACAAGTGGAGCTCTTTCTTCTCCCCTCCGGAACGTGGAGGTACCACAGCGGCTAAGCAGAGCAAATGCGGCTGGGCTGGGAAGGTTGAAATTTGATGTCAGAACTGAGTTGGAAATCAGTACAGATATAAGTGCAAAATTATCAGTAGCGCATGAGTACAAAAAGATTTGAATTCCTGCTTCTTGTTGTGGATGCAACAACTCGACACCCGGTCATCATGTGGAATACGCAACACAAAGCGCTCCAATACTTTTCCTGCATGGCAACGTATGGCAGGGGGCGTAAGCCCACCAAGAAATCCTCGCACTAGAATATAACTACAACCTTCATCCAAAGAACCTCTGTCCGTATTTGCAATGCATAGCAGCAGGACACGAGTCAACCAATCACTGAAGTGGCTGCAGATGCTGAAGAACGAATGCAACAAGATGCACATCGATCACGGGCTGGACGAGGCCATCAAAGATCTCGACCGGCTTTGTTCTCGTCTGGATTTTTCTGAAGCAGGTGGCTCGTTGCGGCACAACACTAGCGGCCTGCAAGTTTTCGAGGACCTCGGGCTCGCAACCCAGTTCCGCGACGCGATGAAAGAGTCGGGAGTCAAGACTTACACCGAGGAACATCCTCTCTCGGGCAACAAGCAGAAACGAATTCCGTTCACCTGGGACAACGTCTTGGGCTCGCTGCGCGGTGTGGCGGACGTGCCAAATATGAAAGGCTTCTGGTGAGCAAAAGTCAAATGCTGCTAGCGAGACAAGCTGGTAGATATGATAAGGAAGCTTTTTGTTTCAGCTTATAACCCGTCTTGCGGCGCATGAGGCTGTTTTTGACACAGACGGCCGTGCCGCTGCGGCTAATGATCTAGAGCTGCTGGTGGTCAACAGGACGAGTTTAGCCGTTGGATAGGTCGAGTTTGATGTTGCTTGCCTCGGATTTGATGTTCTGCACATCGCTGTCTGGGTTGACTCAAAAAGTATCGGTTTTATTTTCTTCGTGTGCTTCACTTTAAGTTTAATCAAGTGAGAGACTTCATCTGCAAATCGCTTTCGTCACAAACCGGTCGCACTCGTCTTTGCAAATCGCAGCCAATAACTTCAACTGAATTCCAGCCTATCTGATTATAAAATGTTACAAATCGACACAAATTGCAAATGGTGTATCAAGTATTTCTCATGTTTTTCTAACTGTGTGACGTTGATGTGAGAGTCGAGCTTCATTTGTTTCGTCAAAATTCGTATATATTCGTTTTCCACGAGTGGTCAAAACGGCCTTTATACCTCAAATCGCTTCTGGTTCTGTCGTGTTTTTTCTATGCCGAATGATGAAGTTTACCAATCAAGAAAGGACTACTGCAGGTTTTTTTGCGCGAATTTGTTTGCCACTGCCTAGAACTTGAAACAGCCACCCAGGTCACCACCCTCTTATACACGGATAGTCTGCTAGATTGAGTTCATCTCTTTTCCTCAAAGAATACGGCAAAAAGGAACTGCATTGCTTTGAAAATATTTTGTTAAGCGATCGCATCATCTTCCTAAAGTAACTTTCGCTACCTTTTTATTTTCCTCTCTTGCTACAGGCTTTGTAATCTCGAATCGAACCGCAACCGATTATGTCGTTGTTTTCGGACTGCCTTTATCCACTGCAAAAATGTCTGGGTCTGGAAGATTGGAGCTTGTGATACTGTCTGCGGATTCAGATTCTACAAATATCTGTGTTGGATGAACAGCAAGAAGAGACCAGTTCTTGGCACGCGGAAGTGCGTTTCTCATGCGTGATCAGCATCAAGAAGCTCTCAAAAAAGCTGTGATGCTAGGAGCTGCGTCACTGATCTCATGGGTTATGCAAAATGTGCATGACAAACCCCGTCTCTTCCAGACCCAGACATATTTGCATTTGATAGCCTTAAGGCGCTCCAGCGCGGGAATGAGGAGGACCTGCTGGTCGAGGAGATTGGCGAACAGGAAAACACCGGTAAAAAGAAGTATGGGAGTGTCAGAGCCGAAAGCGACAAAATCGAAACACTTGCGACGCACAAAATCGACGCCAGTGAAGCCCAGAGCTTCTCTTGCAGTCGGCGCATGACAAATTTTCCCCGGCCTGGAAGCGAATCTGTCATGCAGTTTAGGGCAATAGAGCCAGCTGCTCTCTGTCATGTTAGTCAGCAGCCCAACACTTACCCCTTACCAGGACTACAATCCGCCCTGCTTGCATCCCCTGCACCAGAGTCGCTTTTTGCGTGGCATTTTGTGCATTACAGATTATTTCGATTTTGTCGATTTCGATCCTGACATTCCCATAAGAAGGGAACGGAATATCCCAATGGGGGATCCAGCAAGGACACGTGCGTCCCCTTCTCGCTTATCCAGTGCAAATATGTATGGGTCTGGAGCAATACAAGACATGCAAAATAAATGCTGGCGCTGGACCCACATACGACCCCCAAACCTTGTAATGCGTGTTGTGGAATATTTTCAAGTAGCAATGTTTCTGTGTCATGTTGCAAAAACGCAGTCTCTCATGCGTGTAAAAACCACAGAACCATCTAAAAACCTGTCATGCTTCTTGGCTGCGTAAGTACTACCCGTAGTCATTTTGTCATAATGATGCATGTATTGGCATGATAAGTTAAAGTTGCCAGAACCAGACATATTTGCCTCGGATATCGTCGTTAGACGACGAGGAGGATCAACTGCGCTTGATCAAGCAGCCGGCGAACACGGACTTTCCACAGGGGTGGGGACCGGTGGTGTACCTTGTGTAAAAACGTCCCCACCTCCTCCTGACAGTGAACTTTTTGACACGAGAAGCCCAAAAGTTCTGGGAGTCACGCATGACAAGCTCCTCCGTTGTTCAGCGGTTTAGTGTAGCAGGTACTAGCCGTGGAGTTTTAATACCAAAGCATCTGTATTGAGTAATATTCTGTGTACACCAGCATAATATATTACATGTGCCACAAAACGACTAGAAACGCCTCCCATCGGCATGCGCATAATTACAAGTGTTTCCGTACTAGAAGCAACTCTGCATCATGACCGTGCGGGGGAGGAGGTGGGGGCGTGTTTACGCAGGATACGGCGCTGTCCAATTTTTGCTTTCAGCTGATCAAACATGTGGTCTCCGACGGAGCGGCTATCCCATGCAAATATGTCTGGGGCCTGGAGGAAGCAGGAACGTGCCATGCGGTTTTTTGCATCTTCAGATAAAATTGTTTTGCATGCTTTTTGCACGCAGAGCATGACAGATCACCTCTACTCCAGGCGACGAGATCCTTTGTGACCTTGGGATACAAAATGAATCGGGCGTCTTTAATATTAGCTGATTTTTACGCAACACAGATTTTTGCCTATCCCAGAATTATCCGCATTGCAGCTGTGCATCCTTCCAGGCGTCCAGGGATATTTGCAATGCATAACCGCGTTTAATACAATCCCGTGTCTATCGCAAGAAAAAACTGATTCACTGTGAACTTGTGATGCAGAAAATGGAACACAGAACTCTTTGGCTTGCTACACCTGCAAGGCATGGGATTTTCAAGCGTGCTTTCCCTTGGGAAGCGCGCATGACAAATTTTCAGTGTCATGTGTAGCAAACTTGTGATGCAGATCCTGCAAAGTCATTACAGTGAAACAGTTTTTTCCTACGATAGTGTCAAGTGCTGCTGCAGTACGAGCCCATCGGCAATGGCCACGAAATATCAAATGCAAAAATGTCTGGGTCTGGGAGATTCTGAAACTTGTCATGCACGTTTTACATAGGCCATGATGTCTGTGGTGCTTGCCGTAGCATCACAGATTTTTCGAGGGGTTCTTGATGCCTATTTTGCATGACAAATACCGTATCCGCGTAGGAAAAATTACACTCACTTTGCTGCTCATGCAATACAATTTTTTTTGGAATCCACATGCAGCATCACAAGTTGCATTCTTCCAGACCCAGACATTTTTGCATTTGATACGACGCCCCCTGCCTCAACTACGTCGCGTCTCGTATCATTTGTAAAAACGTCCCCCCTCCAGAGTTGTCATGCAGATTTGCAATGACAGCAGCATTTGTAATGCGCATCGACAGGAGAGGCATTTGCATTTCTCGTCATGATGTTTTCGCATTTGTAATGCTGTAAACAGGATCATAACCAGATGGATTTCTGATGCTGCTGGCCTTGCCAACCTTCACTACTCTACGGACTGCAAGTTGTGATGCGTATCCCTGAAAAGTTTGTTCTAGGTATGTGCTGCAAGGTCCCCATCTTGACTCGGGGGAGGGGATGTGTTTACTCAGGATATGCCCGGACCTGCCGTACGCGACCGACGAATGGATCTCCACCGCGTGGCTGCTGCTGCCTATCCTCTGCAAACACGTCGAGGGCTGGAAGAGAAGGAGCGCAGCAAGATTTGTCATGCATATAGTCGCAGAGGACGTCGACGCGCATACTCTGGTGGAAATCACACAGTGACAGCGCAAGTCTTTCGGCACTTCCTCCTGCCTATCCCGCACGGGAAACCCGGTTGGTATCAAATGTAAAAATGTCTGGGTCAGGAAGAATCCAACTTGTCATGCTGATTTTCGATGCTAAAAAAATCTGTATTGCATGAGCAGCAAAGAGAGTCCAAATTTTACTACACGGAAAGAGCATTTGTCATGCGGAATAGCCATCAGGAAGCCCTCACGAAATCTGTGATGCTAGGGCATGCATCACAGACATCAGGAGTCATGCAAAATGTGCATGACAAACCTGGCAATCTTCCAGACCCAGACATTTTTACAGTTGATAGTTGGTGGACACGGCCCACGCGTGCCCACCGCCGACGAAGGCCCGGGAGGACACCGTGAGGACGATCAGGTAGAGAGTACTAATCAATGGCTCAACACGCATGAAGTTAGTAACTAGGGAGCAAGTAGATGATGAACAAGTGCTGTCAGCTCTTGGTGTCGTGCATGCAACGGCACAACTTTTTTTGTGATCGGCACTTGGCCAGACAAGCTGCATCCTTCCCGACATCCAGAGTCGTGGACGATATTTGCAATGCATACTAGTGAAAACGCTCATCGCGGAGCTCGCGAAGCTGGATCCCAATATCAACCGCAAATATGTAGTCTGGGCCTGGAAAGTAGAATGTGGGATACTAAACAGCGAATGAGTCAGATGCATGGACTACTCATACTCTTGAGTGCAACTTATCATGACATCAAGTCTTTTGGACGTTCTTTCACACGTAGCGCACACCAGAAACTGTGACTGTTTTACATGACAAAGAGATGAGGAATGATTGATTTGTCCGGCATGAAAACCAGATCCTACAGGAACTTCTATTTCATCGTTATTAAGTACAACATTTTTACGCTCCACTACTTTACTTATAATTTCCCGAGCACCCAGACACGAGTGCAATGCATACCGGAAAACGAGGCGAAGTTGCGTGGTATGAATTGCAAATATGTTTCTTTGGGTCTGGAAGATGATTTCATAACTTGTCATGCAGGTTTCCACGAGGTCTGGATCTGGAATGTAGGACCACCCAGCATGACAGATTTTGCGGGAGTTCGATCATGCCTCTCCTGTGTGAAAAACTCCCTCTCCTCTTTGTCAAAGGTCAACAACTTGTGGTAATGATGGATTTTTGCACAATCCAGACTGAGCATGACAGACTTTGCACTTTTCCAGACCCAGACATGATCATATTTGCAATGGCATATTAGGCCTCCGGGGTGCGTTCGACGAGTGGATTGGGCAGGTCGATTCCTTTATCCCACAGAAAAGCGAACAACCCATCGCAGAAAAAGAAATTGAATTTGTAATGCTGTCTTCGTCGCACAAAAAACTTTGCTTTGGTCGCTCAGCATGACAAACTTTTTCAGTAGCACCTTCCTAGGCACTAGAATAACATTGCAAACTGCGTGAAGCATGACAGAAGATGGCTCTCATCTCAATCGGTTTCCACGGTACAACAGACTCTGTTGTTCTATGAAAACCGCTATCAAATGCAAATATGTTGTCTGGGTCTGGAACAAAGCAACTTGTTGTGCTAAATCTGAATCATGTAAAGAATCTGTGTTGCATGGTTACCAAACGCTGTCCACTTTTGAATCGAGAGGCAGTTGCTCACGCAGGATAAGCATGATAGAACTCCAACTCCCACAGAATCTGTCATGCTATGTCCTACATACCAGACCTCGGGGGTCATGGAAAACCTGCATGACAGGTCTGGCACGCTTCCAGACCCAGACATATTTGCAATGCATAAACGCAACACGAGGACCACAGAATTATTTGCTTCTGGTATGTTTGTGCTTTTTTGTAGAATAACGGCGTACGGTGGGCGCAAGCAGCTGCAGACCCTGCTGGAAAAAACCATCTATCCACTGCAAATATGTTGTACTCTCGGTCTGGGAGAGTTCTTGCACCTTGTGATGTAAATTCTGAACCGCACGCTCAAAAATTTGTGTTGCATGAGCGCCACAAGCTGCGCATTTGTTGCTACGCAAGTACGGATTTTCATCTCATGCGGGATGGGCATCAAGCCGCACGCGCAAAACCTGTGATGCTATAAATGCTTTTGCGCGTACTAGAAACCATTTATGTGATCCAAAATATACATGACGAACAAGTGCATTGTACCAGAGGACCCAAACGTATTTGCACTCGATACCAAGTCGGCGGTGAAGCGCTCCAACCCCTAAGCGGTACAACAGAGGTTGAAGCGTACTAAGCATTCATCTGGAGGAACAGAATATTGCGAATGAAGAATAACAAATTTTTTTGCTACCGTTTGATTTTTACCTTTCGAGAATAACAACAAAAATGCCAGACTAGTTTGATTAATGAACAGTTTAGTGTAATTAAAATTCTACTCACCTCCTATTTTCCTGCTCGAGCAATTTTAGTGTGATGATACGCAATTTTCTCCTGCTCAAACTCAATCAATTCTCGATGTGACACCACATCCACGTGCACTCCTGAAACGCTTCAGGTTCTGTGTGACTGTGGGTGTTGTTTTTTTATGGAAAAACAAGTTGTTTATCTGTTTTCGCAGGAAATGGAAATAAGAGGTGAGACCTCGTCTTGCCAAAAACAAGATGGTGAACTTTTGAAGATTTCCATTGCGATTTCCAGAAATGTTTCCAGAGAATAAAACATCGAACAAACGGCTTGAATCCGTTCCCCGCCACAGCATGGCAATTGTTCGTTCAACGCAAGAACATTGCGCGGCGTCGGGGTTTGAAGTATTTGAGCACACGGTCTGTTCGCATACTAGGATCAGGATTTCAGAAGGATTGACACACGCGTCGCCGACGGAAGATGTTCATGTACCAACAGTTTCGAAGTGATCTGGGAAATAAGAGATGTTTCGAGTCCGCACTGTTCAGAGAAAAATACCACTGTACTGATCGTGCGTAATAGTCGTGAACTGCACGAATTCGTTGTCGTACTAGTAGTACAACAAGTATATTAACCGTCGAGATGTTGATCAAACAAAACTACAAGTGCGTAAGAGGCGATCATGTCGACAGTGTTGATGTTCACTCTCTCCTCAGATTACGGTAGTGTGTGGTCTTTTTTTCTGCTTTTTCCTCCTGTGATCGCGCAACCCGAGACGTCGGTTTTTTTTCTCTCGTTGCTGTACTTACAATTTGAATTTCTTCCACATGGTCGCTGCGTCGCAAAGTCGCCTCGCAGATGAGTCGTGCTTTGTTTGAACAAAAAAATTTTTCGCCTGGTGTGCAATTTCAATTCGTGTTTTGTGTGGAAGATGCGAGAGGTCGTGCACCTTGATGGCATAGTCTTAGATGGACTCTGGAACAATCGCGTGAGTTGTACGCATGACAAACACGAAGATATATGCTTTGGAGCCTTTGGCCCAAAGTCGAGCAAAACAATCGCCAGGAAGCTTTATTTGGTCCCTCCCCGTCGAAACTGATCCGAGATTGTTCAGATAGCACCCCAAAGGTCCACACGAGCAGCAGGTAGGGCTGCTGCAAAAATTATAGTACGTCTACAAGTAGTACTAGTACAAATCCGAAAGGTCATGGTCAGTAGATCTTCTGGTGTTATTCGGGCCTGCAGGTGTTTACCTGAATTTTTCTGGAGCTGGCTCGACGTTGGCTGTGCAAGTAACCAAACCGTGCTTAATATTCTCGTGTCGGACTTATTTAGCAAATACAAATAGCACGGCTCTTGATGTTTCATTTCATTGGCGTAAGTGGTCTCGTAGTTTTTCGTCAAAATATAGAAACCTGAATGCATCAAGTCACTAATTAATACTTATTGTGACCGGCTCGGACTGTTCACAACGCATGCGATTTTTTTCAAATGGGCGAAGTAGGAGCACGTCGGAGAATCAAAGTACATCGTATCCCCTGCAACCGGGTCTAGTACATTGTCAATTGTCCGAGGACGAGTGATTGAGTTTGAGCGGTCAACAAATTTCGTTCACTTCTCGCAGATTTCTCTAGTACTGACCCAAAAACAGGCATCCTCAAACCACTTCCCGAGAATCAACTGCCGGAGAGCAAGTAAGTAGTGCAAAATCGTCGTTGTAAATGCCTTAGGTTTAAGTTGACAAACATACTGTGAAAATAGTGTGCTAACCTTCTTGTTTAATACGAGAAACTACGTTGATATCACATCAAAAGTGAAGATGTTCGGCATTTTTGATGCGTGCCTGAGTCAGTGCGTGGGCGCTTATCGTGCGAAACAAGTGCTGCACTGTGGTGGTGCTTTTGCATAGGTCGCGCGGCAAGTGCGTTATATTGCAGGATAGGAACGACGTGGATCCGCAATGACAGTAAGTGGCTCAAAAGCAATAGCTGAGTGAGGTTCTGCTCGTGCGTCAACCCTAGCAAGTAGAAGAGCAGTTGTGTGCTGCATGCTGAGCAAGACAAGCTGACAGAGCAGCAGTTTTTTCGTACGATAATGATCAGGGTAAGCGTGACGAGGAGAAGACGGGCGAACTTCTCGTGGGCGTGTATATCCTGGGCAGAAACGTCCCGCCCCCGACATTGTCTGTCACCGGGGCAAATTTGTTGCAACAGGCCACGCATCAAGGAAGTTTTGGCTGTTGCGCATGACAAGTCCACTCTCGCAGCGATGTGCTCGAGTTCGGCGAATCATGCTGCCGCGCCGCAATACTAAGTAAATCGATCACCTTGATATCCAGACTCTTCGCATGACAAATTCCAAAATAGCCGATACTTAGTACCAAAAAGCAAACACTTCTCATGTTGCTGCGTGCGAGAAAAATCACTACTCAGGCATGCGCGTTTGCATGTGAAAACTGGGGCGGGGACGTTTCTACCCAGGATAGAGGATGACAAACCGACTACCGCGTCGAAGTCTACCACTGCGTCGACGGATTATGAAGTGCAGACATGTCTGGGCCGGGAAACAGAAGAAAAGCTTATCAGTGATCTCATGTATACTCTGGCATACGCATTGGTCTTTTTACTTCCGCTTAGGAGCCTCAGTAGAGGTCCAGAGGTGAAGAAAAAAGTCAACTTGTCATGCATACCTACATCAATCTTCACACAAAATTCCGAATTTGCCATGCGTGGCTAGCAAAATGAAAATGGGGAGCGTTTGCATCCAATGACGGCGCCCAAGCATGTTTGCACGTCATCTTCCCACGGCAATCGCTGCTCCGCGGGTTTTCGTCAACCCGGACATGGTGGCTCCAGGTGCTGTATCAAATGCAAATATGTCTGGGTCTGGAAGAATGGAAACTTCTCTTCTATGCATATTTTCCATGCCCCATGAGGTTTGGAATGCAGGACCTAGCTGCATGACAGGTTCTGCGACGTCCCTATCATGCTTATCCTGCATGACAAACTGCCTCTAACCTTGTTCAAAACTGGACAGCTTTTGGTAGCCATGCAACACAAATTTTTGTACGATCCACACCTAGCATGACAAGGTCGCATCCTCCCAGGACCAGACATATTTGCAATGCATATGCGGGTAAGTCGATTGTGCTGTGCATGCTGTTAGCGGTGTCGAATTTCGCCTTCCCCGAGAACCACAATCCGCCCCTCGCTATCGACTGCAAAGGTTCGTGCTCATCCTCACTGATTGCCATACAGCATGACCACCTTCCTTTTGTACCCAAGTGCGGCCATCTACCAGTTTGAGTTTCGTTTTTGCCTATATGAAAAAAATTGTGATGCAGGAGCAGGACATTGACATACTAAGCAGCATTAAGTAGTGCGATCCACCTTTGCAATGCATACTCGCGGAAGTGTCTGGCAAGGCGGTATATCAAATGTAAAAGTGTCGGGGTCTGGAAGAATGCAAGTTTGTTATGCTTGTCTGGCATGACTCTTAGATTTGTCATGCACGTTATCCAAGAGCTCCGCTTTTCTGTGATGCAGAAGCGAAGTTTGCCATGTAGAATAGGCAAAACCTAGGAGCTCAGAAACTTGTCATGCTGAGCCAGCATTTGTAGCCTCATCATGAAACGCCACCCAGCATCACAAGTTTCCAGACCCAGACACTTTTACTTTAGATACGGTAATCCTTTGTCCGGCCACGGATGCGTCGAAGTACCTGTCGTTGGAGGCCCGCATCCAGTATGAACTGCAAAAGTATCGTACTTGTAGAAATGCATATACAAATTTCTTCAGCATCAGCATGACAAATAAAATTTGTGAAGCAGATTTGTCTACTTGGGAACAAGATCTGTAATGCAAGGCTTGCATGTTTTATACGAGTGCGATACTTTTGCACAGGATATCCAGGCCTGGGTCAAGTGGATGTTCCAGTTTGTCATCAGCACGGCGCATCAAGATATGCATTGCAAACATGTCTGGGCTTGGAAGGGTGCAACTTGTGATGCTGTTCGTAGATTCTTCAAAGATCTGTATTGCATGACAAGGAAAAAAAGCATTCCAGTTTTTTCTACATGTAGAGGGATTTTCTCGGGCGATACAGGTATGAGAGAGCCCTCATAGAATCTGTGATGCTAGGCATGCATCACACAGATCATGGGAATGTTGCAACGGTTGACGTAAAACTTGCATGACAAATATCTTTACACTTTTCCATTCCCAGACAGATTTGTTGTGGATAGAAGACCCGGTTTCCTATACCGTGCTGAAGGACCTGCATGCGAAGATGTCGAAGTACAAGCCGCCCGCGAAAACCGGCGAGGAGTATCGTGAGCAAAAATCTCCCCTCCACATATCGAAACGGATATCTGTGATACTGGATTTTGCGTATAAAAATCTACTTGTATTTCTGCTAGAACGCCGAAGAGAAGCAGTCATGGCTCCCTGAATCGAAGAAAATTTGTCATGCTGGTTCTCACTTTCAGTTGCCTCCTGTCAGGCTGGCGATGCAGGGCCTTCCCACGCCAGCCAGCACTACAGTCCGCACCTTTATTTGCCTTCTCGCATGACAACGTGATTTGTGGTGACAAATCATCACCATTTTGATATGGGGAGGGGGGATTTTTCTTTTTGATAGGGAGCTGCGGTTGTTCGCGGACTTCTGCCGGGACCAACTCCAGGGCTGAGGCCCCTGGACGCAGCTGGCGCCAGTTGAGTACTAGAAGACTGATAGACAGAAACAAAGGAGAAAAGTCTTTTTGTTGAGAATTGACGAGGCATTTCTGTTGTCCACATACTCAAACTGCACCGGAGAACTTTCCGCCAAAAAATCTCAATTTTCAACAACAACAACAACAGCAACAGCCTGAGACTTTCAAAATGAAACTGTCAAAACTAAGAGGATTGGCCAGGCTTGAGCAGCTTAACAAAGAAAGAAAGAGAAAGAGATCCGCACAAGCACAGCACCGACCTGAAGACAAAGTCAATCAGTTTAAGTCCTAACCTCGCAGTACTACCGAAACAGTATTAGCAAAACTAATAATTTTTAAATGTTTTCATCTCAAAAGCGACATATTTATATTTTGGATTCGAGAACAACACGAATTTTTTGGAACAGTTTTGGAATTTTCAGCAGCGGCAAATTATGAATGCTTGAATGAAAAAGCTTAGGCTTTTCCGAGTGGTGCAAGCGCGAAACAATGCAAAGTAAAATTCGAACTTGATTGCGAATCGCGATGCAATCGCGATTAGTCACGATGTAGATCGTGCCCTCTGTTTTTGCATTGAGTCCTTGTTCGCCCACCAGAGTCGGTCCATTCTTTGACTACGCCAGTTACAAGAATCTACAGCGAGACTCCTACGAGCTAGCCGAGGCCCTTCGAGCCCGGCTCTGTTGATCGTTCTCCATGTTCGCGGCCCGTCTACAATTCGCGACAGAGAGCAAACCTTGACTATTTTGGAGCGGCATAAAAATGCAAGAGATCGGAGTGAAAAATCGTTTACAACCAGCAAAATCGCGCTTTGTCGGTCGCCATCGATTTTTTTGTCGTCGTTCCTGCTATCGCAATCGCTTCTTTGACGTTCCGACGCGTTTGAAAGTAAGTACGCCGATTGGTTCTGTGTTTTTTCGATCTTATACATGATTTTGCGAATTAATTTGGACGCAAAAACGAAACGTGGTAGCCTGAAACCTCGAACACGAAACTCGATTCCCAACCCCTCCGCACTTCTCCCGACCCCCTAGTGTAGGATAAGAAATTATGACGATGATGATGCTTTGCCAAAAATACTGATAAAATTGTACATCACAGCTTCTAGGGACGAGCATAGTTGGCTCTACTAAAGTCAAAGAATACATCTAGATCTACAGTCACTTGTTCGTCTTGTACCCCTATCTGTGCAGGCCCTAATGATTTTTTGAAATAAATACAGTTTACTTTTGAAACAAAATTGAGATTATGTCCTTTTTGTGGAACTGGTGGCAAACGTGCAACTGCGTCAAAGACGCACGCCGGGTAAAGGACGAAGAAAAGGCGAACGAGGTCGCGATTCCTCCTCCGACGGTCGCGATTCCTCCTCCGACGGTCGCGATTCCTCCTCCGACGACCCCTGCTTTAACCCCGACCACTGCTGCTGTCGGTCTCGGCATGATCCTCGCGCTGCTGCAGGCATCAAAAGGAAAAATCCCCCCTCCCCATATCGAAAACGAAATTTGTGATGCTGTATTTGAGTACACAGATCGACCTGTAATGCTAGAAGGCCAAGAGACGCAGCTGTGGCCTCGTCTGCAAGGAATTTTTCATGCTGTTTTCCACTTCCAGCTGCCCCCTGTCATGCTGAAGATGCAAGGCTTTCCTACGCCAGCCAGCACTCCAGTCCGCATCTTGTCCCTTCTAGCATGACAGCGCTGATTTGTGACCACAAATCTGCATTGCAAATTCCTAGCCTGAGTATGGGCCGGGGGAATTTTTCCTTTTGATAACCGGCCCTGGACGACCTTTTTCGCGCGGACGAACGTAACATCTACGTCTTGCAGCCGACTCGGGTCGAGTACTGGTATGACCGCAACACCGCCACAATCAAGGCGACCCTCCACCACACTCGCATCGCGCCGGAGTGTGAGGCGGAGATGCGGGGAACTGCACAGGCGACGTCCAAGTGGCACGTATCCACTGCAACAGTGTTTGGGTCTGGCTTTGTCATGCGAGATCTGCTGTGTGCAGTAATGCGACGGGACAGATTTTCGTGCTGGAAGCTAGTTTGTCATGCAAAACGCGGTAGAAGTCGCGCTATCAATCGAAAATAAACTTGTGATGCGCTAATGCTGTGCAGAACATCTCTGCCTTGCAACACTCAGCAACACAAATTCGCTGCGTCTTTCCAGACATCCAAGGGTATTTGCAGTTGATCGCACAAATTCGTCCACGAAAAAATCAGCATCTTGGCCACCCAGCATATGGCTTTCTCAAACGTTACATTCTCAACTTTTACATGGATTTGTGAAAAAAGAACAGTCACAGTGAAAGAGGTATGCTTGCATCTTTCGCATTACAAATTCGGCACGGATTTTAATACTGTTTACCCCTTCGAGGATGTGTTATTTACCCGAAGCAGCTTGCTCGCTGTGTGGCTGATGGCAGCTTCTTTGTATCACAAATCATGTTTATATTAACAGTTGAGATTGTATTAACGTTTGAGAACGCCATACACCAGCCGGCAATGGTCGACGCGGTCAGCCGAATCCTGTCGCAGATGATGCAAGTGGACAAGGTGATCCCGGCCTTAACCGGTTCGGACGGGGAAATGCTGACGTGGGTCCACCGTGGCGGGGAACAGGTGGCGGAAGAGCTCAAGAAAAATGGACAAGCGGTCGCGTACTAGGGTGCTTCAAGATTCTGAAAGTCTGTAAGATTGTGCTGCTAAGGACAATCCCAAAAAGTTTACTGTATCAATTTTGCAGAAAATTCCATCTCTCCGCTGCTGTGATTCTCATTTTGGGTCTCCACTTCTACAAAAATCCAGCAGTTACTCTTGTTTTACTAGCTATGACAGTTGAGATTGAAATACAGTTTGAGAAATTTTACGAAGAGGAAAGTGTAAGATTATTCGTTCTTGAAGCAGGTACAAGAACAATATTATAAAAATGTGGCTTTGCTTTTGCGCATACACTACATTTTGGTGAAATGATAACGAATGAATATTTACAGAAGGCGCAACGAGAACTATTTCTTCCTTTTAGAGCTTTCTTTGCAAATATCGAAGACGAGGATTGCAGCGTTACTGATTTTGAACAAAAGTTGCGAACTCTATATACAGTCGAGTTGTGCAGTGGATCGGCGCCACTGCGCACGTGCTTCTCGGGGGCAACGAAATGGAATGAACCTTCATTTACTGGATCGAATTCGAGTTCGCAAGAAAAAAATATAAGTGACAGCTCCGTCGCAGCTTCGTTTTTACGGAAAAGCCACCGCTCCGCAAGTATCCGCCGGAGACCGCATGTGCCTCCAGTTCAAACATTCCGTGTTTCTCCGATGTGACGTATAAAATACCACTTCCGTCGACATAAAACTCGTATCAAAGATCTTTTGTACTATCGCTCCAAGTGCGACATGAGTGCTTGACGAGTTTTCCCTTCGTATTGTTTCGCTGAGTGTGGCAAAACTGATGTCGCGGTGTTGAGCGATCGCAGCAAATGGTATTGGGTCACCAGCACTTTTAAAATATTCGCGTCGTCTCTCATTCTCGTCCTCGGTGTTTTTGATTTTATTTTGGGTCGTATGGAATTTAAATGTATAATGATCTCCTGAATATAGTCGTAGTTCTTGTCGTTGCGTCACAAGTCTGGAGTCCCACTATTGTCGTAGAGAAAACTACTACTCTTGCGCTATTGATTTTCGCTATAGTGCTGCTGCTGTCTCGTGTTACGGTTTTTGCTTTCATTTTGTAGCAGTTTTTTTTGTGAGATTTAGACTTTCCGTCGAAAATTGCACGCCGCCAAGAATTAAAAAGCAAAATGTTCTTCGATATCTTCGCGGATTGTTTGAAGGTCCAGCGTATCAAATGTAAAAACTTCTGGGTCTGGAAAATTGTAACTTTTTATGCTAAATCTGCAGCATGCAAAAATCTGTGTTGCATGATTACCAAAAGTCGTCCAGTTTTGACCAAGCCGGGAGGGAGTTTCTCATGCAGGATAGGCATTAGAAAGGTCTCGCAGACTCTGTCGTGCTAGGTCCTGCAGTCCAGACCTCATGGGTCATGGAAAAGCAGCATGACAAGTCGCGCATTCTTCCAGACCCGGACATTTTTGCATTTGATACAGCGAAAGAACGCTGCCTTCGAAGAAGACCTCACCGAGCAAGTCTTCGAACAGAAGCATGACGGAGACGCCTCTGCGTCCACGGACGCAGGCTCTCCCGCTGAGGACACCGTGCTGACGCCGCCGGTGCGCAGGACCAATGCTATCACTCTGCCGCCCGGACAAGGTATCATGCTGGTGCTGCTGTTCGTGCTATCAACTGCAGATATGTGTGGGTCTGGAAGGTTCTGAGACCTGTCTTGCATGAGCCATGATGTCTGTCACGCATGCCCTAGCGTCACAGATTTTTTGGGGGCTTCTTGATGCCTGTTCGGCATGACAAATGCCCTCGCCACGTAGCGAAAATTACATTCCCTTTGCTGCTCATGCAGTACAGATTTTTTTGGAAGCCAAATGCAGCGCCAGGAGCTACATCCTTCCAGACCCAGACATTTTTGCAATTGATACCTGCAGCGTGTGTTGGGGTTTTACCTCGGCGACGCGGTTAATTTCGTCCCGACGTTCGTGTACCTTGCGGCCGTGGAGGAGCAGGTGGTGGTTGTCCGGGAGCGCCGAACTGGCTCCGTCCGGGACAATGCGCAGGCGTGGGTTGCTATGGATTGCAAAGATGTCTGGGTCTGGAAGGATCGAATCCTACAACAAAGTAACCAAGAGTCTGCGTTGCATTGCTGCATGGCAATAAGAATTTTTCGCCTCCTACTTGTCACGCAAAGGACAGCTCTCTTTTGCCGAACCGCAACCGGAAGGAAGAAGCTCTACTGCTGCAGTAGACCTTCTTCGTGCAAGAAAGACCCTCTGTGTGGCCCACGAGATGCATGACAGCCACACGTTATATCTTCCCCACCCAGACATCTTTGCATTTGATAGCTGGGTTCATCTTTGCGGTTGTGCATGAAGTGGCGAGGTCCGACTACACCGCGTCCTGGAGAAAGCTCAAGGATCTCGACTGGGCGATGCGGTACTACACGGGCGACACCGTCGGTATCCCGTGCAAATATATCTGGGTCTGGAAAGATGGAAACTGTAGTACGCGTCTTGCAATCCTGGAAAATCTGTGTTGCATGAGCAGCAAAAGAGAGGCTTTCTGTGTCATGCAAAGACGCGATTTGTAATGCGTGCTAGGCATCAGGAGTAAGTAGGCGTCTGAAATAAGACGTGTTATGCTTGGCTGCAATTGGAAGCGCTTCAATCATGGTCTTCCGCAAGAATTCAGCATCACATATTTATTCCAGACCCAGACATATTTGCATTTGATAGTCGGGAACACCAAACAACTCAAGAAGTTTTTGGAGTTTGCCATCAAGGAGCTCCAGGCCTGAGGCGTTGCTTTCAGAGTCGAGGCTTGAGGAGTTTATTTCCCTCAGCGATTCAATATCAATACTCTATTTCCCTCAACGAATACGAAGATAAAGAAAAAGACGACTGACGATCTACTTGCATTCTCCTGCGAGTGGAAAACCGCCGCCCGAGTGGGTTACGTGTTCTGTCGTCCTCCTTTGGTCGTCGTGTGGGAAGTGAGGCAGGCATAGCAGCCGTCGTTTGTATCATTCGTTTCATGATATTGATAAATGTACAGCGATGAGCGGTTGGTGGAGTATTTTGTTTGCTGAGTGAAGCAAAACTGTCGTGATGTTGAGTGATCGAGGAAAATGGCATCGACTTCCGTTATTCGTGTCGTTTCCGGAATATATTTCGCAAACCTGAGTTCATGTTCATGATCTCTGCCACAGCAAAAATCAAAATGAAAATAACAAGTTCTTCTTTTCAAAATTTACAGAAAGTTGAGGTTCTTGTATTGCTCTCTTCATTGGCGCTAAGTACCCAGCTGTAATAAAAAATAACAACAATACAAAAATATGGATTTCTTTTGTGCTCTTTGCCTTCAAGGGCGGACAGTGGGGAAAGCGGGACCCCGGCGGGTTTTTGAGGAGGAGCTTGCAGAGCGAGTCCACACTGTCGGGGAAACCTCTCCGTACCGTATCCTGCGTAAAAACCCTCGCACTCCAAAGTTGTCATGCAGAGTTGCATAATTTGTCCACACCTACAGGAACATCAACATTTGTTGAATACGGATCCCCAGCAGTGGCATTTTGCATCGTAGTTTGAAATTTGTGATGCTGTAGACAGGATGAGGAGATTGAATTGTCGTGCGGCTGTTCTTGGTAAGCGTAATCTGCACTACAGTAGCAGTACTCATGAAAACTTGTCATGCGTGACTGCGAAAGCTTCTGAATTTGTATTGCGGAGTTCCCAACTACTTACAACTTGTCTACGGGGCGGGGACGTTTTTCCTCGGGATATACCGGATCGGAAAGTTATGTGATGTGAACGTGTAGTCCATTTTTACTACTCCGAGTAGAACAAACCAAATTATCTTGCTTTTTGTGCACGACCAAGAAACGACGAAAAAGAAACTACTGTATTCCACTAGACTTTGTTGAAATGGAATTTAAGGGAGATTTGTCTTTCTGCCAGATTGAGCCTTCTATGTTGAATCGTGCAGGACAGACAACCTCTACGGGTTGGTACATGTGCTGCACCGGCACATCGCCCATTTCGGCTAGAGGATCAAGATCCGCTTGTTCACCGGCAATTTGGAAGATGGACATCATATTTGCAATGCATATACGGGACGATACAACAAGGCAGCTGACGATCACATTTTGCGGTGGTTCGTGCTACGTGACCAATTTCCTACCGTCCTCACCACCAACCGCCTATGCAGTGCAAATATGTCATCTGTGTCTGGAACGATGCGAACTTGTGATGCGCATAAGTTCACTCCAGACAAAATCCTTTATGCATGACAGTAGGCAGCAAAAGGTACTTACCCCTTTTTTCCTGCCACCGAAGAAGTGGGGATTTATCATGCGGATTACAGCTCTTGCGAAGCGACCTTCTCGAAGTCTGTGATGCTAAAAAGGCTTCCATGCCGGACCTTCTGTGTCACTGTCTCTGCCCTGGAAAAGCTGCATGACAAAAATCTGCATTCTTCCAGACCCAGACACATTTGCATTTGATACCGCCACCTGCGCGAGGACGAAGGTCTCATCGTGCTGCGGAAAACAGTTGAAACCATGCAGACCATGTCGTGTTCTTCAAACGCAACCACCGAAGATCGAGTGAACAACAACCGAGTGGGCCTTGTCCCGCATGACCCATACTGCTTTCCGGGTTTGCACACAGCCCGCCCCGCATGCGCATCTAACTCTGCCGGTTCTTCTCAGGAATCTTCGGCTTGCTTGGTGCCGCAGGCCATTCGTGTGGAATTCGGGGCTGCCAATATGGGGTCATCTGGAGGACAAGCGTCTCCACCAGCAGTCCAGATCACAACTACCGACGCCGGCTTCACGGACGAATTCGCGAGTGTGCAGCAGTGGGCGCAATTTTTGCTCAACGCAGTCCGCGATCTTGGGAGGAAGGACCCCTACTCGCGGTGGCGGTTGTTTCAGGTGAAATTGTCGGTGGACGCCTTTTCGCCGGTGTGCGACATGCAGGACTTCCAAAAACTGCTGGTAAAGCTGCAGGACCAACTGCGGGAGTTTGGGCATTGATGCTGGATATCAACTGCAAAAATGTCTGGGTCTGGAAGAGTGCCAACTTGTGATGCTGCATTTGGATTCCAACAAAAAATTTGTATTGCATGAGTAGCAAATGGAATGCAATTTTTGCTACCCGGGTAGGGCATTTGTCATGCGAAATAGGCATCAAGAACCCCTCGAAAAATCTGTGATGCTACGGCATGCATCACTGACATATTGGCTCATGCAAAACGTCCATGACAAGTGTCAGAATCTTCCAGACCCAGACATTTTTACAGTCGATGCTGGAAGTGGACGTGTCAGGTGTGGAGGTAAAATCCGATCCCTAGAAAAAATGAACAGCCACCAAATAAAGGAAAGACGCTGGTGTGCAAAAATCCAGTGCTGATGAAAAGAAGAAAACTACAGCAAATCTCTACAGTTTTGCCAAGAAAATGAAGATGATCAGACGTGAATAATCTATAAAGAAAATGTCGCGAGGTTGTAACGACAGAAGGTGCAGCTTCTAAAAAATTTTCGAGGAAGATGCGCAGCCACTTTTTCTGGCCGAAAAGAATCGCGATTTTTTGATGGAGAGGCGGCTGTTCAAGATTGCAACGTTTGTTCGCGTTGTAAGACAACTACGTAAATAAATATAAACTCTTCGGTATCTCGTTCTGCGTCTCAGCCTTAAACACGTAAAGATCTTCACGAAAGCATTACTTGCACAAAACGATCGGTGCGCGAGGATTGAGGAGAGTTTTTTTTCGGGAAGACGTAAACTCCTCCACGATCACCAGTTCTTGCCCGCGTCGTCTGTCGTGTTGGAATTACGCAGTCCTCTGTGTCTTGGTTGTGCAACTACAACTCTTTTTGTCTTCATTATTGCGACGAAAAAACAAGATCAGTGAGAATGCGGTTTTTTTTTCCCGGGGGATAAATGGGTAAGCAGTTGCTCAATCACCCGCCCACACGAAAATGTATAGTTTCTTTGCTGCTGCTCTCTTCACCGGGTTCTTCGCCTCTCTGTATGGCAGGACTCGTCGGATGTGAACTCGGAAGACGGGGCTGACGAAGATGAACGGACACTGGCGGCCGGACCCGGCTTATCAACTGCAAATATGCCTGGATCTGGAAGATTTGGGAAGTTTGTCATGCACATTTTGCATGAGCCATGATGTCTGTGATGCATGCCCTAGCATCACAGATTTTTTGAGGCCTTCTTGATGCCTATTGCGCGTAGCAAATGTTGCCTTCCCTTTGCTGCTCGCACAATACAGATTTTTTTGGATTCCAAACGCAGCATGACAAGTTACATTCTTCCAGGCCCAGACACTTTTCCACTTGATACGGGTGGACGTCCTCTCCAACCCCCGCGGGCTCTGCCTGGTCAGCAGAGCAGTCTGCAGAGCGGAGGTGCGCAGCCGAGTATATTAAATGCAAAATTTGTGTCTGGGTCCTCTGGATATAAAGAATAAAGAACTTGCGATGGGTGTCTTGCATTCCTGGAAAATCTGTGTTGCATGAGCAGCAAAAGAGGGGCTTGCTTTGTCATGCAAAAACGTAATTTTTGATGCGTGCTACGGTATTTTCAGCGCAGGTGTCGCAAAAACTGACTTGCCATGCCTGGCTGCCATTGCAAGCGCTTCAATCTTCATGCTCAATTCAGCATCACCATCACAAGTTTCCAAAGGACCCAGACATATTAGCAGTGCATAGAGTACGTCATCATACCATCAACCGCAGCAGTTTGGAGAACCAAATAACACCGGGCGTATCAACTGTAAAAGTGTCTGGGTCTGGAAGATTCTGACACTTGTTATGCACGTTTTGCATGAGCCATGATGTCTGTGATGCATACCCTAGCAATGCAGATTTTTTGAGGGCTTCCTGGTGCCTCTTCCGCATGACAAATACCCTATCAGCGTAGCAAAAATTGCATTCCCTTTGGTGCTCATGCAATACAGATTTTTTTAGAATGCAAAAATAGCATTACAAGTTGCATCCTTCCAGACCCAGACACTTTTGCATTTGATAGGGCGGTATCCTGTGCAAAAAGTTTAAAGAACTACAGACACACAAACGCTGTGGCCCATGTCCCACTTGCAGTTTTGCCTGTTCGCACCAGAGTGCACAGAAATTCAATCTTCGCGGACGAACAAGAACAGAGATACTTTGATGTCATGCCAACATCCTACATAATGCGACAGCGTGAGGGGTACTTAAAGCCGTTGCAAAGTCTCAACTGACTTTGTTCATCAGCGCCGTACAGTGCGACGCCATCGCACTGCAGACGACCTCATGGCGCAACGCGTTCAACACACTCGTCCTGTCGTGCGAAGCGGTGTGGACCTTTGGTAAGCACTGTGGCCAGCACGACGTTAACGCGACAGACCTTACGTTGCCAGCCTGCTTACTGCTGTTTACGGCCGAAACTAATTTTTTGCGTGTGTGCTGCAAGGATGCTTTAATAGTGCATAAAACTTTATACACTGAAAATATGTAGTCTGGGTCTGGAAAGATTCAGACAATTTGTTCTTGGAACTAGCATGAGTTTGTCTTGTGATAGCGGCATGACAGATTTTATCGACGGCCGCCTCATGCGAAGAACTCTGTCGTGTTCAGCATCACGAATACGGACAACCGTGGAGCACCACAGAAAACGAAAAGCCGTCTACTCCTATTCCTGCATGGCAGACCCTGTAGTACATCAGATTGCGCATGTACAAATCCAGACCCAGACTACATATTTTTATTCGATAGCAGGCGGATGCCGCGGGTGAAGTATCGCGCAACCTATACGGACCCACAAAGGTACAAATTTTCACCATAGCGGAAATAGTTTAGAACAATTTTGATACTTGGTAAACCTAAATGAGATGCTTTAGTGGGTTTTCAGTGGCGATCACAAAAAATCGTGGCGAAACTATTTGGCGTTCTTGTGCGTTTGTATGTAGAGACGCGACAGATAAGGACCGGAGCAGCTGCTAGAGCAGCTCTTTTGATGCACATTGTCTCCCGAAAAGCGCAAACACAAAAAATATTGCACATATTTTGGCATCACGTGCAAACAAAAGTTTTGATGGCCGCTGACAAGCAAGACGGCTATAGTTTTTTTTCTCGTGTGGGAAGGGAGCTTTTGAGGCTTGGTACTGGCGAGGAGGCTTGCGATCGGGCGACGCTCGAGCTACCTAGGCATTGCAAATATGCGTGTTGGGTCTCTTTCCAATCTTCTAGAAGTTTGTGATGCAGCTTTTTCCTGACGGCGGGTGGCGTACGACGGGTCGGTAACGCGACGCGACGGCGGGTGGCGTGCTTTCTGCCCTTCCGGAAAACGGTGTGAAGCCACTGAGCGCATCAAATGCAAATATGTCTGGTTCATCTGGCAGATTTTGGACTTTGTAATGCTGTTTTTGCATGACCCAGGAGCTCTTGGCATGCAAGCAATAGCACCACAGGTCTTGAGGAGGTTTCCACCCAATGCTTGTCTCGCATGAGAATATTCAAACTTTGGTTGGCAGAACAATTTACCTACTTTTATATATTGCTGTTCATGCATGACAGGTTATCATCTTCTGATCCAAAACGCGCATCACAGATTGCATCCTTTCTGAGCCAGACACATTTGCACTCGATAGACCGACACCAGTATGTGCGACTGGGAAACCATACGCGGCGGCAAGCCGCAGGTAACGGGAGGTGTGCCAATGAGAAGGCAGCGTGAATTCTTCGGAGCACGGCGCGAAGCAAAGTTCCGACACGATCTTGGACTCCTAGTGCAGGTGAAACCAAAACGACTCGTGGCTTTGCGTACACCTAGCAACCCTTGGTCCACGCGGGCGGCGAAGACCTGACCGGCCGGGCTGATCTCTCGCAGTTGCAGGCACCAACGCTTGCGGGTATTATCGAAGAAGAATTCCGAAAGCTTTGCTGTCCAGACCGGAATATCCTTGAAAAAAGCATATGTATGTATCTTTCTTGCACTTGCCACGACAGCATAACAAAAACAACTTTTCCTGCACGCCTCGTGCGTTCACGTGAAATCTAGCATGAAAAGGAGTCATTGAATTTGAAATTGATTTTGATACATGTGTGTTGCACAAAAGCTTTTCTGGCGCATCACCTGGTCGAAGGAACGAAGATTTATTTGGGACGAACGCCCTTCTTTCACGAGGGTTTGTGCAGCCTGTTTCGACGTTCGAACGGTACCGCAGAACCGATCGGGAAGCCGGAAAACTCTTGTCAGAAATACAATTTGCCGGTGGAAGCGCAGATCTGGTGGAACGCCGTCGACCTCGCGGAGTTTCTTGTGCACCTAGCGACCTGAAAATACAGATGTGGAGTTTGCAGTTACTCCGTTGGAATAGTGGTTCCATAAACTACTTAGATAGTAGGCCGTTCCGAAAGATGCTTCGATAAGAAGCCAAGTCTATAATTGCGACTAGCGCACGATGACGATGAGGTCAGGGCCGTAGGCTACTTTTGCCTTTAGGGCTCTCCTACCTCGGTGGCCGCCCACCTACCTCAGCGGCCGCCCTCTCACCTACCCCGGCGGCCGCGCGGCTAGGCGTAAGCTGCCCGCCCGGCGGCTCAGCCGGTAGCCCAACTGCTTAGCCCTTCGGCAAGCGGGCCAGCCGCTAGAAGGCGGCTGAGCCGTCCGTCCTACGGCTTAGCCGTTCGCCAAGCGGCTCAGCCGCTAGGAGGCGGCTAAGCCGTCCGTCCTACGGCTCAGCCGCGAGGAGGCGGCTAAGCCGCACGTCCGGCGGCTGAGCCGGTGGGAGGCGGCTCAGCCGCTCGAGGGCGGCTAAGCCGTCCGTCCTACGGCTCAGCCGCCAGGAGGTGGCTAAGCCGTCCGTCCTACGGCTTAGCCGCTAGAAGGTGGCTGAGCCGTCCATCCTACGGCTCAGCCGTTCGGCAAGCGGCTCAGCTGCTCGGGGGCGGCTAAGCCGTCCGTCCTACGGCTCAGCGGCTAGGAGGCGGCTAAGCCGTCCGTCCTACGGCTCAGCCGCAAGGAGGCGGCTAAGCCGGTGGGAGGCGGCTCAACCGCCCGTCCTACGGCTCAGCCGTTCTGCAAGCGGCCCAGCCGCTCGGAGGCGGCTAAGCCGCACGTCCGGCGGCTGAGCCGGTGGGAGGCGGCTCAACCGTCCGTCCTACGGCTCAGCCGTCCGGCAAGCGGCTCAGCCGCTCGGGGGCGGCTAAGCCGTCCGTCCTACGGCTCAGCCACTAGAAGGCGGCTGAGCCGGTGGGGGGCGGCTCAACCGTCCGTCCTACGGCTCAGCCGTTCGGCACGCGGCTCAGCCGCTAGAAGGCGGCTAAGCCGTCCGTCCTACGGCTTAGCCGTTAGGAGGCAGCTGAGCCGCACGTCCGGCGGCTGAGCCGGTGGGAGGCGGCTCAACCGCCCGTCCTATGGCTCAGCCGTTCGGCAAGCGGCTCAGCCGCTAGGAGGCGGCTAAGCCGTCCGTCCTACGGCTCAGCCGTTCGGCAAGTGGCTCAGCCGCGAGGAGGCGGCTAAGCCGGCCGTCCTACGGCTCAGCCGCAAGGAGGCGGCTAAGCCGGCCGGCCCACCCGCTTGGAGGCGGCTAAGCCGTCCGTCGTACGGCTCCGCCGTTCGGCAAGCGGCCCAGCCGCTAGGATGCGACTGAGCCGTCCTTCCGGCGGCTAAGAATCGGGGCGCAAATCAAAAACCATTCGGCGGCGCCCGGGTCCGTCAACGTCCCTCGACGGGCGGTGGGACCGCCGCCCACCTTGTTCCCGACTCTTTCTTCGTGGAAGTCGCTGCACATGTGAAAGTGTCTGTTTGTCATGCAAAAACCACCTCTAAGATTTCTCCTTCTGGAAATTGCGTTGCGTTTCTCATGGTGTTCATCCTGATCCGGCCATCGAAGGATCGACGTACAACTGTACTCGCACGGACTGCCGTGGGAGACCACTACCACACCACATCTTGGACGTCGGACTGAAACGGCGCTCGGGCCGAGGTGCGATTGCGCAGAGAACCTACCGTGGGGGCTGGCCGTAAATGACAAGGTGGGGCTACGATATGCAATTTCAATATGTCTGGGCCGGAGAGAAAAAAGACACTTGCCACACAGTTCTTTAATCTGATAGGAGGTCTAACTTCCAAGCGCTCGTAGAGCATGACAAATCGTCCGCAAGCTGCTTGTCTACGACTGCTCTGCAGCAGATATACTATCTTTTCGCGAAAAAACCGCACATGTTTTGCTGGCTAGTTAACACAGATTTTTGTGTGATCTCGGATTAGCATGACAAGTTCAAGTTCGCATCTTTCCTTTTGCCTGGTATAAAATTCGCATGACAAGTTTGCGTCTCTCCGGATTATGGCATATTCGTAATGCTTAGTGGACCGGAACCCGAACCGCAACCGGTCCAGCAAACGGCGCGTGGCCCACCCGGGACGTGGAGTTTCCCGGCTGGATCGTGTATCCATTAGGAATATGTCTGGGTCTGCATAAAAGCGATTTGTGATGCGAGATCTGCAGGAAAACAAGATCTGTAATGCACGAGTGCGGTTGTCATGTCATGTCAAACTTTTTTCTCGTGCTGACAGTCACTTTGCCATGCGTTTCGCAAATAAATCTGTATATGAGCCAAAGCAAAAACTATGATGCTGTTTTGCAGTGCAGGCACCGATCAGAAGCAATACAAACGTCCAGACCCAGAAGTATTTGCATTCCATACCGTGCAGCTATCGTGCGACGGCGCAGTATCAGTGCGTTCCTCCGCGTGCAGTAGCGGCCTCCTAGATTCCCCTGCGAAAGGTTCGTGGCCGTCAGCCGGGCAGCGTGTTTGTGCTGGTATCGCCGAGATTTCGTAGCCCATCGCCGAGATCTGGGGCGTCAGACAAAGTGTCCGATCTGTCTTCGACTCCGCGCTTGTATCCGGCGAGTCCGAACTTCGGTGGCATCTGTGGACTGCGTGGGAATACCCAAGAGTCCTCGCATCCGCTATGGAACGGCTATCAAGTGCAAACATGTAGAAGTCTGGGTTTAGAAGTAGAATGCAGACATTTGTCATGCGGTTTTTTTTACGCCGCAGGACCGGCAAAAAATGCTAAGACGACAAAAACCGCGAATACAAGTGCTACGGGCCCCATTTCTGGCCACCAAAGTCGGGCACTTATAATGTGGGGAGCATGCCAAAAAGTTAAAAGCTGTGCGACTTTTCTCTTAAAGAAGAAAAAAACCAAAACGCGCAAAGCCCGCCAAAAACTGAAAGCCAACTGCATGTCATTGGCCTGATTTTGGAGGCCCATAGGGTTGGCCCTGGCGGAGGCCCCGGGGTTGCCTCGGCGTGCGACGTTTCTTTCAACAAAAAAGCATTTTCTCACTGGAAACAACAGGGGCGCGGCTTTTCAACAAAAAAAGCCAAAAAATGGAAACGCAGCCAAAGGCAGCATGCCAATCCGCGTGCCATGGTCCCGATTTAGGGCGCCCAAGGAGTCGACTCTGGCGAAGGCCCTAGCGGGGCCAACAACAGTGTCCGTGTCCGTCCTGCGGCTGCGCCATCGCGCCGCGTTTGCAAACAAGCCTCTACAACAACGACCGCGCGGAAACGATCAGTAGATACTGCAATCTGTGATGCAGTATCTACCGTTCATCACCAGGTTTGCAGATGCTGCAATCTGTGATGCAAAAACGCAATAATTGCGACTTTGTGAAGTACAAGTAGAATCGAGAAGGACCAGTTGTTTTGAAAAATAAAACTTTTAGTTGTATAATTTTCCTCCGGCTTCAGTGATCTACCTAAACTTCAATTTTGATTTTACCTTGCAATATAATTCTCTGCAACTTCTACTTCTAGGCAGGAGATCACCTGTGATGGTTCTTTTTTCTCGCCCGGAACCACGAGTCCCAGTCCTATTGTAAGGAAAATGATGCTGATGAACGTGCTGTCAGCAGATTGTGCCCGTCTTTGGAACGAGTAGGAGAGCAGACTTCATAGTACCTCTGGGTACGTATTTATCTGGAAAGAAAAAAGCATCTTGCGCGCAGGTGGCGGTGGTGGTGGTGGTGGTGGTTGGGCGAATAATCACAACATTGCAGTAATATGCCAGGTTTCGAATGTGGTGCATGACCACTGGTGCAAATTTTTTTGATGCCGCTGTGGTGCGGTCCTCGGGAAAAGGTATGCATGCATGACAAACTTGTAAGGTCGTGCAAAATGATAATGAAACAGGAAGCGCACCCGAGAGCTACTATGTTCCCCGTCGATATGTCATTGTCATGCGTATGAAAAAAGCTTTTCTTTTAGTTGCAGTTTCTTTTGCAACTTTGCCACAGTGTTGTGTAAACAGAGTACAAAAAATATATTTTTCTTTCCAACATGATCCGAACCTTGAGGACGAATTAAAACCGTTTCCAGGTCTACCAAGCCGCTGATTTCCTTTCCCAAGGGCCACAGCAACCACTTCCTGATAACCAGCATTATGGAGCGTACCGGGTCAACTTCCTCGAGGGCTTCAACGATAAGCAACCACGAGTCGATCTTCTACGCAGAACGCCGACACAAGCTTCCCAATATCAACTGCAAACGTATCAGTATCTTCTGGTTCACTGTAGGGGCCTGTGATATTTTATTGTGGATCCGAAGACGATAGCGATACATTTGTATAAGCACATCCGCGAACAAGCTCGTGAGCAAATGACGAGACTGTTAAAAGGACGATATACAAGCTTGTATAGATGGCGCAGTACGGTGGATTTTCATGCATGAGGCCATTTTTCCAAACTCAGAGATAGTTGCAGTGCATACCCCAGCTCCTCTTCGACTAGACGGAAAAAAGCGAGCGCCTGTATTCCAGCTCTGCGGTTCGAGTCGGCCGCAGACGGTCCTAGGCCCAAGAGACGCGTCGAAGAGAAAGATACAACACACTGCAGAGGAGCACCCACCGCTGAAAGAACTTATGGAGAAAAAGCCATTATTATCCTGTGTAAAAGGGTCCCCGACCTAGTAGAGTCAAGAAAGGGAGGATTTTGCAGCACAAGCATAGAATTTCTGGGAATCACGCATGACAAGTTGCAGGCTAGCAAGGACAGCCGCACTACTCGCAAGTCCATCTGTTTATAGTATCCTCTCTATAGCACTACAAATTCCGGAACACGACTGGAAATGCCTATCATGGGAATGAGCGTCACAAATGTCCCTGTCATTGCATCAAATCTGCATGACAACAACTCTGAAGTCAAGGCGCCTGTCCTACCCCCCCTGTGTTTCAAGCCATGTGCGCCCTGGGGCGGCAGAGAGGGGGCACACAGTGTGCTGCAATGGTTCCTTTGGCATGACAACTCTGGGTTGGGGCTGTTTTTACAGAGGATAACTGTACCTGCGAGTCCGGTCCTACAAAAAAGACATGGCTCGGACGGTATTGGGCCAGGTGGTTCCTGGGAAAAGTATCACACAGAAAAACACCGGGGGGCCACGTTTGGCGTGGCCGTGAAAGTACGGAAGACAGGCCTTCCTACGTCATCACGAAAGACGCAAGAAAATCGGTCTTGCACCATAGCCAAAGATGAAGCCAGCACACTATAGGTTGAGGTTCGCCCAGAACACAAACCTATTGTCTGCTCTTCTTCTTTGGTATTATGATCCGCACTTCAAACGTACGCCGCGCCTGCTTTTTTCTGTGTGATAGCAACGCTGAAGTACTTGGTTCTCGAGGTCGTGTCGAATCGCCACGACTTTAATAGCGATGGCGTTACCCTGGTGTGGACTGGAACTGGTTTGCAAGGGCCGCTCGAGCCCGGCCGTGGAGGGGCGGACGGACTCCGGTACTTCGACAGGGGGTATCTCGGGTACATGCAATGCCGAGCACATATCTACCACGAAGCTACCTACGGCACGGACGAGTGGGTGGAGAAGGTGGATAGCGGGGTGGCGCACCACGTTGGAAAACTGCCAGACGGGTGGGAAACGTTGCACAAAATGATGAAGCGCTTGGTGGCCCGCGTCCCCGAGCGAAAATACGATGCAGAAACTTCGAACGGGAACCATTTCTTTTATGATTTGGTCACGACGACGGATCCGCAAACCATGATGGCCGGTTCCTACAACGAACCAGTTCACGACATCCTGTTCGACCACGCATACGGGGATGCTGCAGCCGACCAAACCATTGGGCAGTGGCTTTTCGACCACGCTTTGGCCTTCGCCGGAAGCAGTGGTATAGGTAATTAGTGAGGTGGGTTGCAAGTAGTAATTTTTATGCTGATCATCATGAGGAAAAAGCCGAAGCAGCAAGCACATTGTCATGTCAACCCGGCATACGAACCTAAATCAAGGTAACCATGCGGACCCACACGTATCGCACAGAAATCAGGGAAAGAATCCATGCTACTACTAGAGAGAAAAATAAGTAGAGCAAAAAATGGTCAGAAGTTCAAGTAAAAGCCTTGCAGTGGTTTATGTTGCGCTCCGCACCATCTATGCTGCACGCTAGTTGTGGACATAGTCTCTCGCCTGCGAAAACTCACTTTCGTAGATATGTTGATTGCAAGTCGCAATTACAGTTGTTGCGTCCCCCTCTCTGTCCCATGCAGTGTCTTGGTACCATAACTGAAAAACCAGACTCAGCTGGGTGCGCTGGAAAAAAATGTATCGGTTGTGGACTTTGCATCAACACTGATGCTATCGTGACTTCTCAAGTTCCGCAACGAAAGTTTATAAATTTTCATTTCTTTTCGGCATGGGTCACTTCTCGTTTTCTATCGAGTGCAAATATGTCTGGGTTTGGAGGAATGCAACTTGTAGTGCTGAATTTGGATTGCAAACAAATTTGTATTGCATGAACAGCAAATTTAGTCTAATTTGTGCTACACGGAGAGGGAATTTGTCATGCGGAATAGGCATCGAGAAGCCTTCAACAGATCTGTGATCATAGGGTATGCATCACAGACATCATGGCTCATGCAAAACGTGCATGACAACCTTCCAGACACAGACATATTTGCATTTGATACTTTCTATGCGATAACAAGCGGAGTCCGACGCGGACCTGCTGAAGAAGCTATATCAAATGTAAAAGTGTCTGGGTCTGGGAGCATGCAGCTTGTCATGCTAAATCTGAAGCATGCAAAATAAAAAGCTGTGTTGCATAATTACCAAAAGCCGACCAGTTTTGACAAAGTCGGGAGGGAGTTTCTCATGCAGGATACACAGGCATGAGAGAGATCGCATGGAATCTGTCATGCTAGGTCCGGCAGTCCAGACCTCATTGATCATGGAAAAGCTGCAAAACAAATCGCGCACTCTTCCAGACCCAGATACTTTTGCATTTGATAAGCTGCACACCCAGGCTATGAAATGCTCAGGTGCTACAATCGCACCGTCGCACGATGCAATTACACCTGATATTTGTCTTGCATGAGCAAGGGCATGGATGAAAAACACACAATACATAGAGCCTTGCGCCATGGCGATACTTACTAATGTAGCCGGATTCCAATCGGATTTAGGACTTCTACAAATAACCTTTCCTGCGTACTATTTGTGTGAGGATAGGGCAGCCGGCTGTGCATTCCAAGTCTGCGCCTTCGTTGCGGCAGTTGAGATTGTAACACCTGTGCGGGCGATAGACGTGGGGCAGCGACTTATCAAATAAAGACACACCTGCACCACTCCGCGAAGCTGCTCGCGGCGCGTTCTTCTTTATACAGTTGTTGAGTAACAAGCATGCACACCCAGCAGGGATCATTGCACCGGACTTTGCCGTCACCGCAGTCAACGCATTGCGTGAAGATCCATAATACCCGGTCACGCAACGTTGGCCTTCAGGTTCAGCCAAAGTACTAGGCCTGCTTTGTTATTGGTGTCATGACATACGAAATAAAAGCGCACGTGAAGTAGGACCCTGTGACCGTGGTGCAGCGTCTCCGCTGAATACTTCTAGATGGCAAACATTCCAATTTTTGTGGCGCGACTGCCTTCTATTCCGCGGAGAGCACTGATAACACGTACAGAGAGCTGGAAAGCCTGATGGATCGAGACGAGGTTAAAGATGCACCTGCTGTGCGAGAGGTGACGACGTCCGTATCCATTGAAACTGTGTCGGGGTCAGGAGGTCCCGTGCCTTCCACTTCATGCGAAATAAACGAACGACACCACCATCAGCTTTGTGATATGCGCCAATGCAACTTCCTGTTTTATTGTTTTTGTCATGCTCGGGAATTCTCATTCTGTTATTTATTTGGTCATGCGCAAGAATGTGCAGAACGTGTCGCGCGTTTCGCAATTATCCGGGAAACAAGTCTTGTTGCCCTAGTCCGAAATGAGACCCGGACGCGGTTGCGCGGTTGATATTCAGCATCAAGCTCCGGTGAGGAAACGCGGCCGACGAACGGCTTCGCCGCGGGTGGCCTATTCGCAGGAAACACGGCTGTACCAAACGCGTCGCAGACGCTGAGAGCACCGAATGCACGCGTCGCCACGGGTAGCAAGCGGCAGCACCACGAATACAACATCTACAATGGCAACGAGTTTATCAGGGTTTGTGCGAGTAGTACGAACGGGGTCACGCGGGTAGGCATAGCGGAGGACATGAAGTCATATCTTGAGTCTTGCGCAACGGGGGCTTGGTTTTTTCAGATCTTGAAAAGCTGGCTGGGGAAGTTGTTGGGGAGGCCACCCTATCGTTAGTGGGTTCACCCCCTTTTCATCTTCTTGCCTCACCTATTTCGCTTCTTTTAGTTATCGCCCCGGCCCTTTGCTTTTTTTTTTTTGTCTATCTTCCCCGCCCCTTAGAGTGGCTTGGCCACGGAAGGGCGTTGGCAGAGTAGCTTGGTAGGCGTTTCGGACAATGTTTTTTCCCGGGCTGGATGTGTTGCCCTGAAACGTAGGTCCTTGGGCAAAATATTTCTGCCCGGAGGGGGGCTGCCAGAACATTTCGGCCGAAAGGGGGTCGGCGGTTGAGGAAATGTTTTTGTGCAAGGATGATGGGCACTAAGAAAATGCTCTTTTTGAGGAACAAGGCGGGCTTGATGGCAAATTACTCTCGGCCCGCCCCTGACCAGACGCTTCAGTGAACTATCATTCGCCGGGGGGCTGCAAAAGATACTCTGTCGATGGAAGGGCTGCTCGTGCGTAATATTCTAGCTATGAGGCTTACGCCTTTTTATTTGTAAAGAAAGCGCCTCCGCTCTCGCTTCACCCCGGCCAAGACAAAGCCGGCCAGATTTGAGCCCAGTGGGGGCAGCTCGTTAGTAGCCTTTCGCAAATTTCCAATGAGGCAAGAAATGCGTGCTCTCCGCGACTTAGGGATCGCTGAGGCTCCTAGGCTGCGGTGCCTACGCTGGTGCCCATGAATTGATGCGGAGCGGGGGAATGGCTGGAGAAATACCTTACTTCTTCACGGGGGGATAAAGTTACTTCTTCATGTAAGTAGATGTGCTCGGGTGAAGCACCTTTCTTCTTTTTGTTCGAGGGTGTTTCGCTCTCCGTTGTCGAATAAAAAACGATGCTGGCCTCCTGAGGAGGCCACGAGCGAGGGACAGCCCACTGAGGAATTTCTCCACGGAGGAGTTCAAAAAAAATAAACTGGGCGCATTTTTCTGGTCGAGAAGCCGTGAGGGGTCGCAGTCGTCCTCTCTGTCAGAGAGCGGAGGCGACTCCGCGGCCTGCAAAGCGAGGCAAAGCCGTTCTGCGTCTTGGTCTCTCCAATGCCAGTTTGCCACGGTGCCAGCCTGAAATGGGTTTGCGCAGGGTCCGAGGGCGGCACTTTGACAAGTTCCAAAAAACGCCGCGCATTTATTTTGTAGGCGCGCAGCGAAGATTCGCGTTCTCCGGCTTTCACGAAAAACTGAAAGGAAGCTGGGTCGAGCGCCACTGCCCCGATTTTGGGTTCCAAGGGGCCGGCCCTGCCTGGCGGGGCTCCAGCCGTGGCTCGACCGTGTGGGGACGCATTCTGCGCCAGTGATGTGGGCACGGTACTTGAAGCGTTGCATGTGCCCTCCGCGCACCACATTGCGAACTGCCAGCCCTTCGACACGATTGCACTACGCACGCGCGCCATGGCGCATTGTCGTGCTTATCTGTGTGCCTACCTGCTCGCGTTTTTGGTTGCACACCCGCCTGCCCCGACCTCTTCGAGGCGATCTCAGGTATGTTGGCCTTTGGGCAAGTTCATTTATTATGTGGGGTGCTATACACGTCGTCTGGCCATGCGCCTACATTCCTTGCCCGGACTGATTGCACGTCTTGGAGGAGGGTCGCAGTGCGACTGCGGCGACGTACGCATACCATAAAATGAAAACCAAAATCATACTCGGAAATAGGGGCCCCCACTTCGGGAACGCGAGGTCCCAGGCTCCCTCCCTGGGCGGCAGGAGCAGCCCCCGGGCGCCCTTCGGGGAAGGCGGTCTTCCGTGGGCCTTCTGGCGCTCCAGAAAGTTTCAGGAAAAGATGACGCGACAACGCACGTCGCCCCTCCAGACACATTCCAGCGGTCACTACGGCGCCGGCTACCGGCGACACGCCTCCCGGCCCAATGCCCTGCCCCCCTGTGCCCCTCCCGAGGCTGGGGGATTGCCTAGCGGCCCACCGGAGGGTGTGCCCTTTCTTGCTCCTCCATTCCAAAAGCCGGGGAAAAGTTCACCGCTTTTGTGTTGTGTCGATGATTGCGTTTCTTTTTAGGCACCCCATCGCGCCAATGGCTTGGCTGCGGGCGGCTGTCGATGAGTTGCTTACCGGCTCCGCGGTGTGCCCTTTCTTGCCCCCCCCAAAGCCGGGGAAAAATGCACCGCCTTGGGGTTGTCGCTGAATTGTTTGGCGCCTCCTAGCGCCAATGGTCTGCGGCTGTCGTTGAGTCAATTGCTTACCGGCTCCGCGGTGTGCCCTTTCTTGCTCCTCCCAAAGCCGGGGAAAAATCCACCGCCTTGGGGTTGTCGATGAATTGCTCGGCACCAC